ATTTCAATGAGGGATTCTAGAGGCCAAAATAAGACGAAAATCAAGAATACCAATTTCTTGACGGAGGCTTCGTGGAAAAGTTATTAACATTCAAAGTTCCGCTCGTACTGAATTTTTTTCTCGAAAATACGCATGATTTCGGAGGTATGTGTATTCACCAAAAATGATTGTAATTGATCCCCGTAACCGAAAATAATTTTTCCAAAACGATTTGAAATTTTTGAATTTAATTGTTAATAACTTTTTAACGAAGCCTCGTATTATTTTGGCCTTTGGAATCCCTCATTAAAATTTTTCCAAGGGTGGCCGATTAACCTGTATATGGTATTTTTCTTGCATACACGATGATATTAAAGAGGAATAAGGTCGTCGTGGGCGATAAGAAAACGCCTAATAGTATATGTATCACCAAGAAAGTTGCTGTATCTAGCGAACTTTTTACTATCGTATTACCATAATAAACACTTCTGTAGATACACGGAATGACTCGAGGAATTTATCCACGGTAAATTATAGAGTAAGAAGCCTCGTACAGCCAATAAGGGTTAATTATGCTAAATGTTAATCTCGCGGGAGGATCAATGTTGTAGAATTTTATTGATTCTACCGTATGCATGCGGTGAGAATCCTTGAGGATAGATATTAGTATCGTTAGAGTTATACTAGAAGGTGTCTCATCTCGAATATCTAGAATATTTCTGGCTTCGTTAGAATTTTTCAAGGGGCAAATGTTAAATGATAAGCGTCGACTGTTTTTTCCCAATTATATTTTACGTTTCAAGGTCGTCGACATTACGATAATCCCTTTGAATGAATTCCAGTACCAGTAATTTGTTTGTTGCACGATCAATTAATAAATTCCAACGAAATATTAATATTAATATTAAATACATATTTAATATATAATATATATGTATCTATTAATCTTGAGGTCTATATACATCTATTAAAATATATTAAGAGTCTGATAATATATAATTATTTATGGGTTTGTCGAATATATAATTTATATATTAATATGTAATCGACAATTTATATACAATAAATTTTATATATATAGATTAATATTACGCAAGGTACGCCCGATCGAAAGTTTGTTCAATGATCTTGAACGACATAGTATATTTCTGATCGTGGAGCGTTTCTCGGTAGGACGAATTATCCGGTTTCATTAACATTACATAAAAAATAGGCCAAATAAGATTAACGTCTGGTATGAGAACCGGTTGTAAATTGCCGGTGTCAGTATATTACATTGAGGCGTACGATACCGAACGTGTTAAGTGCTCGTTAACTATTAAGTATAACAAACGTATTCGTTGAACTTTGCATCTCCTCGCAAATGATCAAGTACCCACATTTTGTACGTCTGTGCTGGAGAGGATAAAATGTTCAATTTCATTCGATTTCCATCAAAATAGGTTAAGAAATTAATTTTGCTGAAAATCGAAATATTATTCGAATCGTCTCTCTACTAGTTCTCGCAACGAATGACCATATTTAACACTTCGACTGCCACGTCACCTGTCGGTGATAGGATTCACCATTACGACACTAGAAAAATTAATTCCCAAGTCGTTGAGGGGAACAAAAATAGAATTTGTGAATTCTAACAAGGTTACGGAAACATGTAATGAAACAAATTTTAGGTTATGTAGCCCACAATGGTCCGAAATCGATATTTCACTTCTGCAGAATATTATGTATACGGTTTGTATCCGGCAGCGAAAGTGTTAAAAGGTTACGTATGTCGGGGCAGAGAGTTCCGAAAGAACGTTTGTTGAATGGGAGTTGTTGTGTTGTCGGAATCGAGCGTTGCGCTCGCGTCGGAAATGTTTATCAGCGAAATCGTACACCTATGATTCTCCATTGTTGTGTATCGCGAAGGGAGTCTGCAATCTAAGCATTCGATTCGTCCAACGGTTGGGATTACCATGAATTGCTAGTTCAGTTCTGCGAATACAGGTCAGAGAATCCGATGCTGCGAATCGATACAGCGCGTACTCGATTCTCCGGACGTCGACCGTAGGTAGACAGATACTTACATACGATTCTACTTTTCCTAGTACATTTACAACCAGTACGACGCACACAACGTTTTATATTCATTGTTAAATAATTATCTAATAACGGATCCCTTCCTTTAAATCAATATTCTCGATCGGGTGGACGTCCCAGCGTGAAGTTAGCTTCTGTGTTCGGCGTAGAAATCGATTGTAACGTCGAGTATTCTTGGATTCGACGAACCGTCCACTTGTGCACACATTCGTGCACGATCGTTATCCCCTTTTCGTCGAATACTCTTCAGAAAGGTGTTTCTCGACACTTTTTTCTAGTCTACGAAAATTTCCGATGAAGCTCGTGGGATCGTTTCCTAAAATTACGTTTGAAAATATTAACTAAACCTCGAAGCACGACGTTCTTCGTGCAATCGACAAACTTAGGTTAGTTCGACGCTTAACCGTCCAACGATACTTTAAAGTTTACGAATTGAATTTTCATAAAATTTTCTAAAAACCGTGTAGCAGATGTCGTGTCTACTTAATTCACTAGAAAATAATTTCATTAATCGTTTTCCGATTCTAATTTCCGTATAATTCGTTGCCGATTCAAACGTTCGTACAAAACTGAAATACTTAGTTCTGAAACGAACCACCGATGTCTCTGGTCAATACTGTCGGATTATTGGTAGATTAGTAGAACAATGTAGAATAACGTAGATCACGTTAAAGCAAGAATGTTTTATATGCTGTGAACGAATGTGAATGTAAATCAAAATGTTTTCATTCTTCTAAATCTTAATGTACAATGCCATAATTCCGTGATTCTTGATAACAGTGTACATAGATACAGCTTACAATATTACCCTTGCTACTTCCGCGACTGTTTGCTTATTACGAACTTATCTGTAAGCATATATAACGTTGGCAAACTATATTAATTTTCATAATACTGTTATCATCATGGTTATATAAATATTAGCCGTCGTACGAGTTTGTTTATCTGTAAATATTGTCCATTAGTACGAATAATACGTTTATTTGTACATACGTAATACGTGCACGATTCTTTACGTACCAAAATTAACCTAAAAATAGGCGCGATTAACCTAAAAATAGAAAGAAACAAAAATACGTGTAAACGTGTCGAGAAGATTGTTTGCTTTTATGAACGCGATCGCGAATGAAAATTTCGATCGACGAACAATTTAATAATAGCGGTGTCGCCATAAAGGCCGAAAACAATTAGAGATTAGATACAAGACAAGTCGAAATTTCCCCTTTAACGCTTGATTTCTACGATTGCAACGAATTATTTCGTGAAACCCACGAAGATCGAATCAATGAAGAGGAAACGTGTTCGTAATTACGAACCCTTTGGTGTTTGCATCATAACGATCGATCGTTCTATTTCAAGACTCGGAATTAATTACGTTCCTTTGTTGTTCTGTTTATTTCAATTGATTATTCTTTAAATTATTCTATCGTTCGCTACGGGGCTTTAATATAACCTTTAACGTAATTTGCTAAATTCATTAACCTCGTAAAAGAAAAAGGAAATCGTTATTATAATTTTTTATAAATAAAAAAAAAAAAAAACAAGAGGAGGGAATCTATTAAATATTTACAAATGTGAAATTTTTAATTTGTTCGATTGTTGGAGCGGTTTCGATCGCGATTAGAATTGTGCTGTTTCCGCGCGTACTTTTCACGGTTGATCAGGTGCTGCCCTCTTTCGCATAATTAATGATCGATGGATTCGACAATTGATCGTTATCGAACGACAAGGGAATAAAAATCCATCAAAATAGTCATAAAATGAATCATAATTCTAACGTGTAATTTGTAGAATAGGAAGTTAAAATAGAGAACGATAAATAATATAAATAGAATGAACGTAGTATGCATTTACTGGTTGTTATCGATGCTCGTAATACGATACATTGTTAGGCGACTATATTTCCGAGAAATTCGCATAAGTGGAATCTTGGTAAGAAGTTGCATTTCGTGCACGTTACGAAGGGCAAATAATACGGAATCATGAGAAAATTAAATTAAAGACCTTTTAAATCGAAGGAAAATTGCAATTGGACGATAAATAGTTGCTGTTTGATTACAAGCAAGCTGTTAATAAGACGAGTTTAGAAGATATTTATTATGACGTTTTACGATGCGTTATACGTGCGTAGATTGACGTAATAATTTGCATATGCAAATAGAAAGTAACGTTCGGTGTAACAACTGTCGAGAAAAGAGGAACATTTCATTTCTTCGATCGTAAATTACGACGATCGTATACGCAAAGACTGCTCGCATATTTTGGTTAACAAATTCCAAGATCAATTGTGTCTAGAATGGGAGACGTTTCAAATATTATTTATAAGTTTTACCTACAACGTAACCGAGTTCACAAAATAAAATAAATCCGGGAACTGAAAAGATCCAGTTTTATGCGACAACATTAAAGCGTAACGTAATTGCAAAAACGATTATAGTAAATCCAACCATGCAGTGTGGTTTCGTGTCGGTATTGCGTAATCGGTATGTAACGAATTCTTGCGAAAAATACTTAAACTTTATTTTACCATCGTACGATTTCGTATTTTTATCTGTACATTTGCGTCAATTTTATGTTCGCGGTTTTTTTAAACTAATTACAGATTGAATAATGGCTCAATGGTATTCGTGGTTATGTACCTTTTCCATGTAATAGTTTCGCAGAATATACATATGTACAAAACGAATGGTATCAATGTTTTCGTTCTTTTATTATTATTATTTTTTTTTTTTTAGGAGGCTTCGTTAAAAAGTTATTAAAAAATGAAATTCAAAAATTACAAATCAGTATTCTTGATTTTCGTGTTATTTTGGCCTCTAGAAACTCCTATTAAAATTTTTCTCTGATCACTTTCCTAATCATTTTTGCTGTGTACTTTTTAAGTGTTATAAGGAAATTCGTTTAGTGGATTTGAAAAGAAGGTATCATTTCGTTTGTTTCAGCTGATGAAAATCGCCAAGCAGGTGTTTGGCGAGAGGCTTTTCACGAAGCTTATGAAGGCTACATTTTACGGTCACTTTGTCGCCGGAGAAGACGAGGTGCAGATCACTCCTGTCCTGGATAGGTTACGACAGTTTGGTGTAAAACCAATCCTAGATTACTCCGTCGAAGAGGATATTTCGCAGGAGGAAGCGGAACGTCGTGAAATACAGTATGTTATAATAGTTTTAATTCGTCAAATAAATCGACGTATCTTCGACGTTGATCGTCGTGGACATCAGCGATTTATTTAATCTTTAATCTTTAATCTATCGCGATATCCGAGATTATCCGTTTCATCATAATCGTGAATTGTTCGTTTGATTAAATTTTGCCCAATGTCGAGTAACTGAGTGCACGTGGATTTCACGTTGTTACCAGTCCAAACTACGATGATATTTGCCACGTGTTTACACAATTAAAAAGTTGATTCACTTTTTGTATAGATGTAGAAGAAGAAGAAGTATCGGTAGATTCGAATTTACTAGATTTATCTAATACTTCTAATTGTGTAAATGTCTTTGGCATAAAGACACCAATTTAAACGACGCATTACAATATAATTGTAGATCGACGGATTTCCAAAACGTTCGGACGCGACACAATTTTCTGTTCGATTTTCTCATGTAAGCACGCACGATTCTGTGGTTCGCGAAGCAGAGCCCAGAATGTTGCACGTGTTCCCCCTACGGGTACACGTGTACACTAACGAAGGGGGCGAAAAGGTTGCGTATCGTGACGCGACAGGAATCGTACGATTGGTGGAACGACAACGGCAGCGCCACATTTTACCAATCGTGAGTCACCCGTGTCTTACGACCGATCGAAAGACTCGCGATCCGATTGGCGGAGACGGCCTTGAGGCTCTGGTATTCTCACCAATTGTCGGTCGGGAAATTTCGCACCACGTGACAATGTTTTCGCCCCCAGAAAACACACGCGTGAATGAACCGTCGTGATTTGACGCGCGTTTCGACACGTGGTGTGACACTTGTCACGTGTTCGTGCACGTCTCACGCACATGACTTAACGCACAAAGAAAAATATATCGCTTTAAAAAATTATTAAATTATTTTGCAAACGATCACGCGATAATTTCAAATGCATTAAAAAAGTTGCAAATATGTGTAAATTATTCGACCTATTTAAGAATCGATGGTATTCGTCGTAAATAATTGATTACTTTTTGAAGAAATATATTTACTTTTATCGCGTCTTCCGTTCTCGCGCGAATCAGTGAAAATCCCATGAATCCGTGCATGAGTCATGTACGTGAGACGTGCACGAGCACGTGACGAGCGACGTACCACGTGTTGAAAGTGCGACCACGTGACATTCACGTGTGTGTCACGGGAGCAAAAACATTGTCGCGAGGCGCGAAATTTTCCGATTGACAAAATCCGGGCACGGGTGAGTCGATTGGTAAAAATGCCACATTCTCGACGCCGTTCCGCCAATCGGAAGTCCGCGCCATACGCTCGTCACGTGACACCACGCTACTTCTTTATCTTCCCTGTGTTCACACGTGAACGCAGACTCATAATCTACAGAATTCCGAGGAGCCCTTTCCGCTTCTCCCCCCACCTTTCCCAGTCGTAGAAAAACAAAGGCGCGAAGATTTTTGCTGGCCCGCTCGCATGGACGTAAATAAAAAGATAATACACAAATTTTCCGCTGGAAATACGTTTGTATTCGGCGCTCCAGCGTGTATAGTCGAGCGTGGTATCGCAATAGGAGCGGTGGGGGCGCTGGGGTGAAACGTGTCTGGCGTAACTGGACTTGGAACAGATGCTGAAAAAGTGACCCTAGCCTCCTGTCGTCAGAGGGTCAAACTACTGGGCAAACTTTGCCAGCGATAAGATTATTTCAAAATGCGACTCTACGTTTCGGTTATTAATTATATAATTTTTTCGACAATGCTGACGATCCTTATGTTTTCCGATTCATTAGGAAACGATGTAGCAAATTTTCAAACGACTTCTTTTTTCCCCCGAAGAAACCTAACCCAGACTTAACCCTCTGAGACAATAAGATAATTTTATAATATGTATACGCGTGTAATAACACGGATGAATGTTGATTGCAGAGCTTCCGTGTCAGAAGCAGGGGACGAGAAGAGGGAAGGTCCGCTGAAAAAGTACCATGTCGCGAAACCGTTCGCCGATCGTCGATACAAAGTGTCCTCGGCGAGGACGTATTTTTACCTGAACGAGGCTTCCTGCGAGCGTAACATGGACATATTTATCAGATGCCTGGAATCCGTCGCGGGTGAGTTTACATCGTGCAGAACGAACGATACATCTCCGTACAAATAATTAGAAATTCATCTCCACGTGATATCGTGGGGGAGCTTGACTTTCGAAACGATTGAATTTCGCAGCGACTGCTTGGCATCGAACTGTTTCGGACTCGTTGGTCACCCGTCAGAGATAGGAAAAATTTGAATCGAAGCGTGTAACGAGCAAAGAGGGCTAGAAAGTAAACTGCAGTCGAATCGAATTCAACTGGCTGTTCGAGGTCATCGAGGAGTCGAGCCCGCTATAACGATTAGTTACCCCCACCATTTTGGTTTCTTACATCTGCGCAGAAACTTGCACGCACGCTACCCGTCGATACAATAGGAAAAGAAGCGGTTGATTCCTGTTTCTAACGAGGGAAATTTTAATTCGCAAATTTTACAAGAGATTATTCTTTTCCCAAGAATCAGCCAGATTTGGTTCAAGTCTACGTTTATAAAATATCCTAAAATTCGTGACACGAATTGTCTGAAAAGTTTCCATTGGGAAGCCTCGATACCGCGAAAACTGTCTAACGATTAGCAATCGACGAGTTTTATTACTGTCAACAAGTTCATTTTTTCTTTTCTGGATGATTGTGTCTAGGTTTTTTTGACAAGCGTGTCACATAAATTTCGCATGTGTAGTTAACGTTATTAATTCTCGAGATTAGCGCTTATCGCGAGTAACGGTTTATCGGCTCCTTCATAAATCACTTTAACTTTAATTATTCGGTGTAGAGAATTTGATATCAAGCGGTAATAATGCGGGTAAACGGTCCAATGATTGATCGAATATGTCGTAGACGGAGTCGGAAAAATTTCATTCACGTACGATGACTAAGAATCTGGTTGTATTCTCTGTGGTGAAGTTCCACTCGTAATTAAACTTTTTCTATATAAATCTCACCATTTTATTTCCAAGTATTCTCAAACGTTACTGTTGCTATACTTGTACACAATTGTCTCAAACGAATTGGTCAAATATCGAATAAGAATATTCGTCCAAGTCTTTGTATCGAGCACAGTGAAATTTGGAATATTTTAATGACAAATTCACAACTCGAGTAGTTTTAACACCGTGCTAATGGGAACCGAGTCTTAATCGGTGCATGAGAGCTCGTTGTGTCCAAGATTAGTATCCAGACGTGTATGTATGTGGGAACCACGCGAGAATCATATTCTCGAATATTCTAAAGCAGCACCAAAACTTAGTTTTGGATAGTTAAAGCAACGTTCTCGAATAGCTGCATCTCGAGTGAAATTAAAATTAGATAGCGACCACGTTCCTAGAAAACCTACAATGACCACAGAGCCTAACAAGACGCTTGGTAACCGACAATAAACATGAAAAATATACCTTTCGCTCGTGCTAATAAGCAACCGTGTAACATTGAAACGAATTTCTATTTTCTTGCGTCCGAGACACGTCCATTTTCTCTTCGAGCGTTCGTATTTGTCGCTCGAATTTTAAGAAATTTTTTTTTCTTTTTTCCACCGTAAATACGGTTCCGTCTCCGTCTCCGGTGTCTCGGACCAAATTTTTAGCTGATAAACTTTGGAAATTTTGCAAGACAAGAACGCGCGAACGTATATCGTCTATAAATATCTCCTCTAGGGTATCTTGTTTTCTGCTAACCGCCCAAATAACGTGACATAACGGTGCTCGGTGACCACCGGAAAAATTTACTATTCGCACGAATAATATTAATTTATCACCGCTTGTAAATTATTACCGCGGTGGTGTTTCGTCACCGCGGAAATTTCTACGAGCTTGGGAACTTTTAACAACAATCTAACACGTTCTCGAGTGCCCAGATAACGACGACTAGACTTTGTTTACTTACAATCGAAGCTCGAAAGTGTACGGTGATTGCATTATAAAACGGTATCGTGAATTGTCGTTAATTTTTCAGCGGACGACAATGACTCATTGAACTTGACATTTTCTACGATGTCAATTACCACTAATTTTCAAGTTGTTTCCTGTCCTGGTAAGACCAAAAAAATCTCCTTATCCCTTCCTCACGGCCTTTGGTAAACTCTTCTTCCGCATTTTTTGCAAGAAAACCGACTTCTGCTTGCTCGTTTATTCATATTTCGAGAATACACGCAAGTTTTTTGAGTAAAAGATACTAATGTTAATTTTAAAAATTTTAATTTAAAAAAAAAAAATTAAGTAAAATTATTATTAAATACCACATTCGATAACAAAAAAAATTGTTGACCCACGTAACCGAAAATAATTTTTCCAGAACGATTTAAAATTTTTTAATTTTTTCGAAAAATTTCATACCTTCTCGAATTTTTTTCTCCAAAAGAGGGACAATTTCGAGGGTATGTCTAATGACCAAAAACGTTTGTAATTGATCCCTGCAAATAAATATAATTTTTTTAGTGTGATTTGAAATTTTTTAATTTTTTCGAAAAATTTCACACCTCGAATTTTTTTCTCGAAAATGGGTCGGATTTCAGGGGTATGTGTATTCACCAAAAATGATTGCAATTGAGTCCCGCGATCAAAAATAATTTGAAATTTTTTAATTTAATTTTTTAATAACTTTTTAATGAAGCCTCAATCAAGAAATTTATATTCTTGATTTTCGTTTTATTTTGGTCTCTAGAAATCAAAATCAGATCGAGTCTTAATATGTCTAGTTCCGGTGATAAAGGCACGTCTCCCGATGATTCAGTTTAAATTAGAACTCGAGATATCGTATCAGCCATTTGGATCCGTTCTTTTAAATAGATCGAATGTGTTATTAAATAACTTGTACAATTTTTATGATTTTCTACTTAAAAGAAAATTTGTATTCTCGAACGACGAGTAAAAAGTTTTATGGTTTCTGTTGTAAAAAATGCAGAAAAAAGCTTATTTTTCCAATCCAATTTGTACAAAGTTCCTTTAATATAAATTTCGCTCGACTTAAATAATTATTCTTCTAAGCCTTCTTTATTGTCCCGCAGGTGCCTCGATGGGTGTTGGTTTCACTGCCATTAAATTAACAGCACTTGGTCGACCACAGCTTTTGGTACGTACATATTTTTTTTTCTGTCTAAATACTCTGAAGACACATAATCATTAAGAAGAATTAAATGTGCTGGACGGTTATGTAACCAACGTATATGTTTGATCATTTTTCAGCTACAATTATCAGAAGTAATTATGCGAGCACGACAGTACATGTCTGATGTTGTTGGCGGTGAGGGGGCCGTCTTGACTCATCACGCAAAACCAGACGATTTTATGAAGAAATTCGAAGAAGCACACATTAAAGACGCAGCGCCAGTACAAAAGTTCCTTCAAAAAATCCAATCGGATAAAGAGGGGTAATTTATGAGAATCTGTTAATTATATACAATAAAATCCCTTACCAGTTCTATTTCATAGCATACATAAACGTAGATCGTCTTTCTAAATACGTTTTATGGTACTCTCATGTCCAATGCTATCTGACTTAAATCTAGCTCTACTAACAGATAATTAAAGTTGATATAAGTCTTTTTGAATTGTTCAACCTTTGGTGATTTACCAAGGAAGGGTGAAAGTTCATTGGTTCAATCTAAAGCCAAGATTTGTCATTAAGAAACACACTTTTCTGATTCCAGTGTTATTCACTTGTTCCCATGGAGTGGTATTCTGGACGAAAATTATGAACTCAGCGAAACGTTCCAAGTACCAGATATTAAAACGGGAAAGATGGTGAGGTTGATGTCACAGCTCACATCAAAGGAGGAAGAAATGTTCAGGAACATGATAAGACGTCTGAATAATATAGTCGCGGTACGGATATATAAAAATAAAATAAAAGAAGTATATTAGACATTGTCAATGTCAGTATTAGCGCTTTCTCGGACCTCTGATGAACCATAGTTACAATGCTAGGCGAATCCGTTGAAATCATTTTTCAAAAGGATAACGGCTTACGACTGGAAGCCTCTAACAGTTTCAGCTGCATTGTCAGTGCCTTCATGATGACAAATATTAGGTCTGTGGGAAAGTTCTGTCATTTTTCTCGCTCTATACAGTGTTATACTAATACAAAACTCAGACAATTTATTTATTCCATGTTCGGACCAGTCGTTAACCATTGCGCACATATTTTTATTGTGGGGCAATTTTTTATGATAAACATTCAAGACATCTTTTAAAATATCTTTCTTTTGATACAGACTTTGGCAGAAAAATATGCAGTTTCCTCGCTTTGTACCTTTGACTCTATCGTCCTTCCACGAGAAGGAGGCACCGCGTGTTTGCATCCCCCACTCTTGCTGCAGTCCGCTGATTGGCTGTTTTCGACCAATACCTGTGAGTCAGCGGACTGCAACTGGAGTGGGGATGTAAACACTCTGTGCTTACGTCTCGTGGAAGGGCGATACTGCAACAAACTTTTCAATCCTTCTCTCATCCAGTAAGGATTACACGAAATCTTTTGTTCAACCGAATTGTCTGTAGCGTAGAATCACTGTAGTTGGTCGAACAGTAGACTTTCGAGCAAGAAAGATAATGTTTCACGATTGGAAACATTCGACACGATTGTAGTCGGTTTCTTCCGTAAACGAGTGATCGTATCCCGCTTTTCAACATTATTCATTACTACGGAGATACCATTTGTCACATTCGCTTGTAACGATAACTTACTGTCACGAAATTAATTTACGCAGCAATAACATTTAAGTATCTACTCGTATGGATTTTTTACGCAAAATTTTCATCATTATTCGTCGAACGTTATCTCGGTAATTATAATTAATTTTTGACCCCGCGTATCTTGATAGTTTTTTTTATTCGACGATCCGAAAAGATGACCCTCGTATCTCGACGAAAGAGGCAATATATTACAAGCTAATTGTTACGTAAATACCAAGTGACGTTTATTAGTCGAAACTTTGTTTTTTATGCGATGATTAGTTTGCAAGTAAATGTTTTTAATCGACGAAGTTAATTGTTTGTACCGTTCTTCCACAAGAAGACGCAGCATGTTTACATCCCCACTCCTGCTGCAGTCCGCTGACTCAGGCATTGGTCGAGAACGGTGACAGCCAATCAGCGGGCTGCAACTGGAGTGGGGATGTGGAAGGACGATACATACCAGAGTATTCTAGGATCAAATTTATAAGTATATAAATGTGTGCAGTGTGAAAAGTTGTTTTGGTATATTCACTGATGGAAACTAGAAAAATGAAATCGTGTAAATATCATCGCGATACGTAAAAACGACAGGTCTTTCCCAAAGATTTAATATAATAAGATTACTTTGTTTGTCAACGGAGACAGAATTGGTGACTTGTGTTGCAGGTGGCCGATAAATTAAATGTGCGTATAATGATAGACGCAGAGCAAACGTATTTCCAACCAGCGATTTCACGATTAACGTTGGAAATGATGCGCAAGTACAATACAGATAAGGTAACAATTTTATTATCATAGATATGCCGTTATCACTTAATAAATTTTCAGTGAATGATTTCTGAATCCCAATGGTCTACTCCATAGGCCGTGGTCTTTAATACCTACCAGACGTACTTGCAAGAAGCATATAACGAGGTGAAAACGGATCTCGAACAAGCTCAACGTCAGAACTTCTACTTCGGAGCTAAGCTTGTTCGCGGCGCTTACATCGAGCAGGTAACGCTTTCCATTCGTTCAACCAAACTACAAATTGATTCTTTCGAATTCATTAAAATATTGAATGGTTCGCGTAGGAGCGAGCAAGAGCGGCAGCTATGGGCTATCCCGATCCGACGAATCCTTCGTACGACGCTACAACCGAGTCCTATCATAAGACGCTCATGGAGTGCTTGAGGCGGATGAAACAGTACAAAGATAAAGGCGAGGATCCTAAAAAAATTGGAATTATGGTCGCATCCCATAACGAGGATACAGTACGCTTTGCGATTGAAAAGTATGTAAATGACTGAAAAAAAAGAAAAAAATACTTATCGCTGCCTTGTTCGATAAATTTGAAACGATAATTTATGTTTGTTCAGAATGAAGGAAATAGGAATCTCACCTGAAGATAAAGTAATCTGCTTCGGTCAATTACTGGGAATGTGCGATTACATAACGTTCCCATTAGGTATAAAACTTTTTTTCTACTTAACGACACGAATTAATCGCGTGCAAAATATAAATACGTTACGCGCTAATGTTGTTGTTGTGTCGTCCTTCGGCGAGTACAAGGCACAGCGTGTTTATATCCCCGCTCCAGTTGCTGTCCGCTGATCGACTGTCGTCGAGCCTCGTCACCGTTCTCGACCAATGCCTGCGAGTCAGCGGACTGCAGCGGGAGTGGGGATGCAATCACGCTGTGTCTTCTTCTCGTGGGTGAATGGTACTTAACCCTTTCGCTACTACGGGTAGCTAGACGTCAATCGCTCTGCATAAGATGCCCCGTATTGGATATAGGATATATGATATATGATATATGATATATGAAATATATGAAATATATGAAATATATGATAAACACCGTCAAACCAATTTGGGTTGCAGTGAAGCGAAAAGGGTTGATTTTGGCACGTAGCGTATTATCACGCATGTGCAAAGATTTTTAACACGATCCACGTACCGTTGCTAAATTTCAGGTCAATCCGGATATTCGGCGTATAAATATATTCCCTACGGTCCAGTCAAAGAAGTATTACCGTACCTTTCACGGCGCGCGCAAGAGAACCGAGGCATACTTAAGAAAATCAAGAAAGAGAAACGCCTTCTGTTATCCGAGATCGTAAGACGCATCGTGCGTGGTGAGATATTTTACAAACCGAAAGGAAACTACACTCCTGTCTGAGCGGCTGATTAATCACGTTGCACAGACAGATTCGAAGTATCAAACTTAAGTAGTGATTGTAAATTATTAGACTCTTGTGGTACGCAGAGCAACGCGCGCGCGTGTGTGAATGGAAGTATATGCAGTGTTATTCATTACACAAAGTTGCCTCAGTGTGACGTTATCAAGTGCAAACTGCTCAATATCGCACCATGTGGTAGAACTATGTTCATTGCTCTTTATGTCCGTTATAAAAAAGAAAAACAAAAAAACCGTCGATTGGTAATCGTTTACGACTTTTAAAAACACGCTTTGTTAAAAAAAAGAAAGAAAAAAAAAACAATATGTCGTGTTCGATATTACGATCGCATAAAATATCGAACACGCACATTTTTATCGATCAAAAATTTGCATACGGATCCAGAAAGTATATCGAAATTATCGTAATCTCATTCGCGACGACGACGACGACCCTTTCACGTTATTTTTCTTCCCGAGATTTTTTTACAAAGGATAACATCGAATTCGATCGATAAAAATTTCTACCCGAAATGGAACAAATATAGCCTTGCCTGAAACGTACTAGGTTTGTTATTAATATTTTATTTAAGAATCTCGTTGTGCGCACGCGCACGATTTATTTATAGTGGACATATTTAAATATTTTTTGACATACGTTCTTTAGTATTTTGTTGAATGATATAATTCCCCGTATGAAAATAGGCAATTATATAAAGTTATGTCCATAGCGAGCTGCATTTAATTAAGTGAAATACTCGTGTGTGGAATTAACATTCAGCCCACTTCCATGCTTTATGCGTAGTTACCAAGAACGGATTTAACCAAAGTGATAGTATTGGCAAATACTAGAGAATGCAAGTCATAATACCTAGGGTCTATTTGGTCCGAGTGGAAGTGTTTTTTGCACATTATCAAGGAAAATGGCTCTTATAAATTTTTAGCAAACGAATGATATGGTCTTTAAAAGATTGGAAATGTTTCGTTAAATTTTCTGACGCGACGATTATTACACGTGTATAAGAGTCATTTTTTTCTGCGTGCACAATTACTACGCGTGTTGAAACAAACGTTAAGTAATCTTGGGCTGAAACAGTGATAAGCTGCGAATTAGGAATTGAAAGAGTCCATAATTATGACACGTTGTATAAGTTTTTAATTCACGTTGCTTCAGCCTAAAGTTGCTTTCTCTTATCGAATAATAATAATCATAAATATACAATGCTGTTTAAAAAACGATGCGCCCCCCATGAAATAATATGGCTCATACACAGTTCTGTGTTAATTTTTCTTTCTAAGAATTAAAATTAATTTTAAGAAAAATTAATCATCAAAGAAGTTTTATAATTTATAAATAATAAATTGTTCTCAAGTTTTACGTAATGGTTTTTACGTATCGAATGACGAATCCTGTACTTTTGATTAGCCGGTATTATTCGTATTGTTTCGATCGTCTTTTTTTTTTGTAAAGGAAACGATGAATAATATTTGCACTGAATTATTTTTTTTCTTTTGTTTACAATATTTCAGTTTCAATTCGTTTATCGAAATATTATTTGATGCGCTTAAGGATGCTGTTTGTATTGCTAGCAATGAAAATAATTCGACCTTTGGTGGATAATTTCCATGCAGTTGGATAACACTTCGATATTTTCTCGTCAGTATTTAAAAAGAAAAAAAAAATATCAAACTGTAACATCTTCGTTTGACAGGATTCCCTTTTCTTTTCTTTTTTTTCTTTTTTTTTTTTATTAATCAACGGTTAAAATTACAAAGATACAATTTACAATTGTTGTAAACGTCTCTCGTCTTGTTTTATATAATATACAAACGTACAATTTTATATGATCTCCTGTGTTATATTACTATGTAATCGCATTCAGAATTTGTATGTAGTTTGCATTTGCAACTGTCAAAAGAAATATGTATTTTGTTCTATAGAACAGACGTTTTGTAGATTTATGATTTTATCGAGATTAAGTTAATCTCCGAAATATCATGTTATACTTGCAACCTAAGAAGAAATTTAATCGATGAATAAAGGGGCATTGTTGAAGTTATACAGGCTATAGCTAAATGTTTTTATGTGGCTAATGGTATGTTGAATGTGAGTGATTTAGATATAATTCTACTTGTTATATATTTAGTGTTCGGCTGTTACGTCGATACATTAATTAACTTCTACACGTCTCGTGATGATGACAATAATTTAGGTAGATAATGTTATAAAAAACTTATACGCTGTAAGTATAAAAACTACATGCCATGATGGATTGCATTTGTCATCACCTATGAAGTTAAATTTATAAAAAGATAATTTTTTTTAAACGACACGAGATTAGTAAATGAAAAGGATCTAGTAGAAAGTGAATAAATAATGACTATCTTCGTACAAAATTATACGAATCAATATACAATTATATACACAAAGAAACGTTCCATTACTGCGAACGTGTATTTTGCTGCCAGAATGAACTTATACAACCATACTTTCTTGGCTAGATTATGACAAATTATTTACCTGTGTGTGAATAATATATACATATATATATATATATATAAATGACGATGAAAGTAGTATGTACAATGGTGTTTTAATATGTTCTTTTTAACACGAAATGTTAGTAAATTTGATTTATTGTATATCAAATTGAATATAATTTAATCATTGAACGAATGATTATAACGATATTCTTCCATTTGCTTTTTCTCAGAGTCAAAAGGAGAAAGTATCAAGAAATGAAAGTTAATTGAAACATGGATCAATATAAAATAAGATAATATTTATTTTTCACGAAATACAGTTAATATTATATGCTAATACCATTTATAAATCGGTAGTCATTATACTAGGACACAAACATTTGCTTCCACTTTCTTTATTATGGAATTGACTGTAATTACGTAAGCCTGGCTCAGTGGTCATCGATGGCTACGTACTTTCTTCCCAGTGAGACCAGAGTGAGCAGATTTATTGCTGAAAATTCGAGATTCGTTGGAAGTACTGTTTCTTGTCCTAGCGTTTACAACAAGTAACAATAATTTTTTTTTTCTTTGCGTGTCATTGACTCGATAATCCTTTATGATCGACCGACGCCATACGAGAACTCGTAAAGTCTTCTCTATACGCCGACAAGCACGTTATAAAATTATTTTTGAGTATACAATTTCTATAAACAACATATGCATATAATATCTATATACATATATATTGTTTATATTGCATACGATACATTGCGTGTCTATCAATGTTGCACCCATCGAACTATAGAGAAAGCTAAATATCGTTTTGTACGGTGCTCGTCAACTACGAAGGATTACGGTGGTCCTTTTAATACTTTTCTTTACGCAGACCTCGATGATATAATCATTTCCAAGATTGCAAAATATATTGGTATATATATATATATATACATATAATAAATATAAATGATACCGTCGCATGAATTGATTTCACATTCGTTACGTGTTCATCAGTCGTAGATTGAAAATTATACAGCGACAAGGAGGATGGTGATTTTGTATCGCAAAATCCATTTTCTCTTTTGTAAACTTACAAACAGTCGGGCTATTTGTTTCTTGTTGATCTTTATACATTAGGAAATATTCCATACAAATACCTATTTGCTAAATTACCATCAAACGTGTTGATTTTCCTTTATACTATGTATTATTATCCAAGATAACATGTACTCATTTGTATTTAAAGTTTCTTATACAGTTACAATTTTCTTTGTCCTTAGTATCTATAATAAAATACAACCGTATCGTCGATAGAACGATGCACGTTAATTTTTTTTAGGAAGCAAAATTAAACGAGTACTCGCGATACGACAAGTGCCGGAAGTGTTGGAAGATGAGGTTATAAAAGGAACCGGAATAAAATCTTCGATATTTCCGCGTGCTCTGTTTACTTTATGGCAGTGATGGAAATTCGCGGGAATTTTGGTCATGCGCACTGAAGTGCATGATCACTGCCGTATACACTTAACTAGAACGTAGGGTACCGTTGGATCCCAGTAAGGAACAAAATTTAAGGAAGTTACAGGGAAAGAGACAAAGACAAAAAATTTCCTCTTAATCTACACGAGTATAGCTAGAGAAATACGTAGGGGATCTTCGATAAGTTAATTTTTGTGTGATTGGCGAGCATTTGAAGTAGAAAGTTCAATTTTGTACCTCTTTTTGCGCTAAAGATACATCTATGGCAGAAAGCTAACTCATGCGTAAAAAGGAATCTCACGAGGGAAAATTCTAGTGCGCATGTCCAAGATTCCCGCCAATATCCATCACTGGTTTATGGTCGTTAATAACAAGATGATGCATTGTACTTAAATTTCAATTTAACAAGATATATATATATATATAGTTGTACTAGCAATAAACGACAGTTAGATAATATGGAAAATAGAGAAGGCTGTACGTTTAAAAAACAATATATAACATTCATTTCCTTAACGTTAAAAATTAATTGCTCGTTTGGAATCGTAATCGATTCTCTTTGGTATTTATTGACCGCCGACTATATTAACGATGAATTAACCATAGAGACTGAAATCGGATCGTTCCTTTTTAACGTAAAACGACAAGAATTCTCTTTAAAAAATTAAAAAGAATATAATTATGTTAAATTCGAAGCTTTGTAATAAAACTTTGGTATCGATCGTGTGATAATTAATACTTAAACTATGACTAATATTTATATTTATACTTTATAGTATTTAATTTCGATTCTGTGATATATTCAGGGCAGATGCGATTCCCGATTCATTTTTTCCTCGCACGATTAGAATTACTTTGGTTTGAAAGACATCAGGTACATTTCGACGTTCGAACGTCCAGTTAATATGATTTGTCAGAGAATTGTTACTATGATTGGTGTGTGTGTCGATCGTTAACAATATATATTGTTGATTAGCATAATGTTAGCTCGATCTTGTACGATATCGATTTAATTGAATTGATCGTACCACGGTTGAACAAGATATTGCCAGACGGTGGCAATAAATTGTTCGTTGCATGAAAATTTCTTTTCCGGTCTTACACGTCTATATTCGTTCCATTCAACTTGAAAAAAAGAAAAAACATCACCGAGTAAATTGTATTTAAAAAATAGACTGGGTATACACGGATATTTGGGAATTTTTTTTATGACGTAAAACTACGGAACAGAGTGCAAGTTTTGTTCGTTATAACGTCTATAACAATTTCATATTTCGTTAAATCTCGTTTTAAAGTACTCTTTTAACAATTGTACAATTAGTAATAGCAGGTTACCTGTTTTTATCACAACAACAAAATTGGCATACTTAAAAATGTATCGATTTTGTGAAACACGTACAAAATTGGTAAGATTTTCATATCCAGGTAAGTCCCAAGATTCAATTTAACACTAGAACTGCCAAATCAGTCAAAATGATCCCTTCGTAATTTCTGGTAAAACCTGTAAAAAATTTACTCGATCGAATTTTTGGAGATTTATCGTAATTTTCTATAAGAGAATGAATAAACACTTATTTCGTTTCAATTTCCTTGATACAAATAAACACACTATAATTGTTGATAGTTCTAGCGTTAATATTCATTTGTTCTAGATCGTTGATCGTCGTTAATATGTGCAGCAAAAAACGCGGGAAACGACAATATCGGGATAAAAAGTTTTATGAATATCAAAAGAAGAAAATTTATATTCTACGATGATCACAACAGCAAATAGATGTTGGCTGACGGTTAAAAGTATAATTAAATGGTTTACTAACGAAGAGAATGTACAACATTGGTTAAGAGCTATCTATTTACCTTTTCTATTATTACTAATCACTTTTGGAGGGTCAAGTACTTTAAAACAAGATTTAATAAGATAGCATATTTCGTTTCTAAGCTATGCACGATTGGATTAGAAAATACAACCTGTACCAACACTTTTGTTTGGCGTTTGTATTGAAACAAAAGGGAAACCAATTGTCAAGATAAAAATGTCTACAGCAATGCTCTCTGGTTTAAATATACTTACAATCATTTATTCTTCGTATAGTCTACTTGAGCACACGTTCATTTACGTTGTTGGAGAAATCATGCGACAGAAAAGAGACAACCATAACCAAACCTGAGAACCTAGCCAATACGATGCTGAATGAAAGTATTTGCAGAGCATAATTGTTACGAGACAAATGCTTGCAACTACTGAACAAACTGATCGAAATAAAACGTTAATTCATATATTTATCGATTACCTAACCTAGTTTACGACATAACAGAAGTAATAAAATAAATAAAACGATACACAAAATTATAAGTAAAATATGTATTTTTTGAGCATTTTTTGCTGGACAAAAGCATTGCCACAATAGGACAATGAACGAATGAATTTATATTATTGCTTCTGTCTAGGGTAGACGAGTATGTCAAGAAACTTTTTCTTTGGATTAATTTATTTAGTAGTTATTAAACGTTTGTGCTGTAACGATCATGCTGTGTCAATACTTTTGTTCAATGTTAGCGGAGAGCATTGATTTACGCTATAGTCCGGATAACTGGAACAACTTTACCCCAAATTAATTAAAATGGATCCATCTGCACCATCGATTCATGTTTCTTTGGTTTAATGCCTTGCCAATCTCATGGTTTTCGTCGACCACGACTATCTTAACTTAAACATAGATCGTAATCAGGGAATCAATTGTTAATACGAAATTTGAAAACTCTTCCCGATACATCTCATTTTCTAGTCTGTCTTGTTTGTTCCTTGCTAATCGAAGGTTCTTTGATTACATCTAAATCTTCAATATCGTTTAAGCGCAACATCATGTAAAAATCGTTTAAATCTTACGTTATTATTGTTTAACGTCGTATACATTAAAAAAGCGTCTTCTTACAAAATGTAGTTGTTTTCTTACAAAACTGCAGATTTTTTTTTTTTAGTAAATCTGTCTCTGATACGCTAAGATTTAAAATACAACACGAGCTAAAAATCTTGGTATATTGGGTCTCTATAAATACTAAATACCACCATGCTGTATAGTGGTACTACGTTATTTCGAATCTAACGTTGTGCCACTTTTTCTCTTCCGTCTGCTCCAAAGATGTTAAATTTATTTTTATCCGTAAATAATACCCTTTCCAAAAATTGTTTATCCTCTTTTTTATACTTGCTCGAGAATTCGATACTTTTTAAACGGTCGATGTCGCTGCCATGATATACAAAACAATACACATCGTTAAGCGAACATAACGTTATACAAAGCTATTGTTTATTGAATACTGAAATTTCAAATGACCCTTTTAGGGGTAGTATGAAGAGTTTCGTGATGTACTCAACGAGTAACCAAATACGTGGTGTCGGTTTCAATTGTCGATGCGGCCTCAATTTGTTCAGTTATCCAGAAAATGTCGGAAATCGGTCAATGACGGGCGAACTCCGGGCCTAAATTAAATTGGTCCGCGATTGTCGACAACGACGCCACCTGCTTTCTCTTGGCACGCTCGCGGGCCCATGCGAGATGTAACCGTTACACGGAAATAATTATTATACTTGCATTTCCTTTATTTCAAATTCAAAATAATTATCATACTTGTATTTCCACCCGTGGGAAAAATTTTAATGGGAGATTCTAGGGGCAAAAATAATACTAATATCAACAAATTGGTATTCTTGATTTTCGTCTTATTTTGGTCTCTAGAATCCCCCATTAAAATTTTTCCCAAGAGTGGCCGAACACCCTGTATAATAAAGTACTAATTTTCTTTGGATATAAAATACGTTGGAGTGACTTCATTTGACGGAAAACGCAACAGAAAATAATATAGACAAAGTATTTCAGCGATACTTGAATAAATACTTAAAAAGGTGAACGTACACGGTGTAGCTCTTTCATCCCCAGTCTAACGTTTAAATATGAAGGATATTGAGAATTGATCAGAAGTTTAATCTTTGGAGACAGGAACGATCGTACCGTAATGAATTTTGGTACTGTTTTTAGGTTCATTTATGGGTGATTGGGACGGTTGGTGGCAGAACATCCTTTGTGGCTGCGATTAATATTGCTAGAAAAAGCAACGCTGTGAGCTCTTCGTCTTGTACATCTCTTTGACGAGATAGCACAGTGTTCCACAAAAGGTCTTCTGCTTCTAGTATGCCTCTTAGTTGTTTTCAAGTTGAATGGAACGAATTTGTCTCAATCTCTGTAACGAGATTCCGTTTTGATGCTTGAACCACGATCGTTCGCTGGTGGATCTCCCAGTCACAACGGTGCCAGGCTTTTACCTCTTTTGGCCAGTTTGATCTCTAGCCATATATAAGGAACCACGGACAGGAGTAGCACGCAAGCAAGACCAAGCACGCGAAACTGTGTGCAGACTAGTCCGTGCAAACCGAGGGTGAGGGCAAGACCGAGCCATCTCCAGAAAAGAGACGTCGACAAGGGTCCTTGCCAAGAATTTGGATACAAACCCAACACTAATGCTAGAAATTAAATTATTCCTTCGTTATATCACGAGCAAAGTATCCTAAATCTACCGAGATTCAGAATACTTTGGACCAATTGTATTTAAATCAGTAGTGAGCAAAAGTTTTTTTTTTTTTGGTACACCTGACCCTCTTTTTACACGGTGAAAGAGTACTGTGTAAAAAGAGTCATGCAAATATGTACAGATCAACTGAAATTTATAAAGCTTGTTTATAAAAATCAGACTCTCGCAGTTTTATCAATACGTTTTAAATTAATTGATAAAATTCATGTGGAGAACTAAGGTCGAAATTAATTATTTCCCAAGTAAGACTATTAAGACCATTTTAATTAGAAGTGATTTAATGTGCAGCGACTTACTGTATATCAGAGTTTCCCAAATGGAATTGCAAACTCCCCAGGCAGCGGATATAACGTGAAAAAGTGCTGGATCGTCGCCGGATGGCCTCCACGTGATTAAAACCAGCAGTAAACACGCATGGAACACAAATCCGACAACTTGTAAGGAAACGCAACAATTAATTACTAAAATTTTAGATTTATTACATTAGAATCGAAACACTGTTTACTGAAAGTTACTCACCTACGACAAAATATCTTTTAATGTGTCTCAATAGCATCGATAAGGTTACGCCGGCCAGGGCTTGCAATGATGCCAAACTTAAAAAGCTTAGAGTTACGGTACCGGCTCCGCCCAGCGCACAGACTACATACGCCTTTAAAAAACGTTAGCAATTGATATTAGAAGCTTTTGATTAATTTATTTTTGCGCTACAACTTACTTCTATAAAGTCAGCGTAGATGAATCCCTGCTCGAGTCCGATAAAAAGTGTTAACGGCGCTGCCAACTGTAACTTTGGATCCTGAAATGCAGATTTTACGGACGCTAGTATGTTTTGAGCACTATGCTTTTCATTTACGTTCTGTGGTTCCTTCATTCTGGAATCGAGGAAAGCACACGATATACTTAAGCCTAGGACAGCAAGACCGAGCCATATGCTGACTAATATTTTTGATGTTCCAGGTGATAGCGTCGATATATTAATTGTACCGTTGTATAGATATATTTCCTCTGGACAATACTCGGCTCCGCAAATGTCATTTACCTCGTCGTTCATTGTACTAAGAGTCATCGTGTCTGTTAGTTTTACAAATATGGCAGCAATTAGACAACCTGGAAGGAAATTATTAAATTATTATGATTTGGGAAGAATACGTATGTTGAGATCCAAGTGTTCGTACCCAGTGCAAGACCTATATCTTCTGCTAATCTGATTCCTCGATTAAGTCTTCTTAGAAGGCACTCCCGTCTTGTTTCGTCTGGATCCTCAGGATCTATGCACACTAGAGCTAAACTAGTTGCTGATGCATTTACGTGTGAGACTCGTGCTATGAAGTTTGGTGTAACGCAAACACCCAACATTGCATAACCGGGCAACAGTATGTACCTGTCGATTCGAAAACATTTCAATTACAATTATAAATATTCGTTACAATTACTGATAGCTCAGAACCAAGTATAGAAAATTTACTTTCAATTTAAAATAATTTTCCGTGTCGTTGAAATGGCCCGATACGCTGTTAACGGTATTAGGGGTAATTAACAGATTATTTAGGGAAAAATTTTAATGGGGGATTCTAGAGGGCAAAATAAGACGAAAATCAAGAATAACAATTTGTTGATCGAGGCTTCGTTAAAAAGTTATTAACGTTTAAAGTTAAAGTGTGCAGCGCGCACGGTTGCCGTCTCACAGGCGCAACTATAAACGTTAATAACTTTTTAACGAAGCCTCAATTGAAAAATTACTATTCTTGATTTTCGTCTTATTTTGCCCTCCAGAATCTCCCATCAAAATCTTTCCCAGAGATGGCGAATATCTGCACAGAGCCATTTACTTGAGAGGTATAAAACGTTTGAAGGTTATTTATCGTATTGTTTCTGTATTATACTTACGTACCATTTCGGATAAAGGTGTAGACCAACGAAAAGGATCGTGACTAGGTGGCTGGCGCTTATCGCGAGATTAGTTCCAAGCCTCTGTACGACGATCGATGCAAAGCAGCTAGTGATCGTCGCTGTCGCGTAAAGGAGAGCAAGAAGCATCGGTCCCAGATGAGGATCGAAGGCACCAAGACCAGCTTGTAGCGGGAATATCGGGAGAGTGGCGGCGGAACAGCTCGCGTGCCCTAGCAGAAGAGCGGCACAATGCCTGAATATGGCCCTTTTCGGTGGTCGAGGACCGGAAGGTGCCGCCCTTACAGCGGCTATTAACCGACGCACCGACGACGCACCAGCCGCTGAATTCATCGAGTCGCGTCTACGCCAGGATAACGCGGATGTTCTCGTCGAACGACAGGAGATCGGCGAATAAGCTGCCATGTGCTACGAAACCAACATTTTTCCCTTTTCAATACCTTTTTTCACCCAATTAGATCGAGCGTAACCAGCGTCGACCAAATTTTATTCACCAACAATCCAGGGTGTTCGACCCGGGGAAAAATTTTAATGGGAGGTTCCAGAGACCAAAATAAGACGAAAATCAAGAATACCAATTTGTCGATCGAGGCTTCGTTAAAAAGTTATTAACGTTTAAAGTTAAAGTGTGCAGCGTGCACGGTTGCCGTCTCACAGGCGCAACTATAAACGTTAATAACTTTTTAACGAAGCCTCGATTAAAAAATTACTATTCTTGATTTTCGTCTTATTTTGGCCTGTAGAATCCCCCATTAAAATTTTTCCCCGGGATGGCCAAACACCGTGTATAAATAAGAATTTTCGAAGGTGTTCCAAGTATCGAATACGTGACAAACGTGAATAAAGAAATATTATATTTTTAATTTTTCAAATATCAAATAAAGTCCATGCAAGCGATTGTTTGTGTTTAACGAATCTCGCGTTGTGTTTACGACTAGGAAACAATTTCTACCGTACCTCTAGCATAGCATCGTTGTCCCACAAAGTATGGTGGTGACCACTACTTCTAGCGCGTCTATGAGTATGTGCTAATGGCGGAGGCTGAGCTGGTAGTCGAATAGGGCCTAAACCACCGATCGGCGCTGGTCTGTACGCAGGACTCTCGAGTTTGTCCTTCGTCAACTCGTGAAGATTCGGCAGAGAGCCCATGATTCGTTTTCTTCCTTTGTACGATCTAGACCCTTAAAATCGTCCCAACATCTCGCCGATTCTGATCGGGATCATTTGCCAGCGAAACACGCGATCGTTATCATCGTTGCGTTCATCTGCTGGTTACCTGTAGCTTGAATAAACAAAACGCCGTTTGACCGAAAAGCCTACGCGCGTACACGTGGCGTGTGAAATTGAAAATCGAGTAATTCTTCGCGATACTCTGGTCGCGAGAATCTTGCGTAATTCGATTGACAATCCCTGGCCGGAGTACGTCCAATTACGCAAAGAATAGCAGAAAAAAAAAAGAAGAAAAAACGAAGATAAAAATCCTGCAGTCACCGACGAAACCTTGAACGAGAACGTGCCGGCAAAGGAACTGCTAGTATAATGAACGCACACTAGCAGTGGCCTTGATACCAGTCTGCGAAAAGAATTTCGTCCAATCGTGACGCTGCATCGATCGACAGCCGGCTATGTCGGATATGCAAATCGATGGAAATTCGACAAATCCGACTTTGGTCTGCAGCTGCACGATGATCTATGTACACTGTACGCAATTAAATCGAGAGTATAGCAGAAAGAATGTTTCTTCGCTGACGGAATGGAAAGATGCATCAAATAAGGGGATTACGTAGAAAAATCCTGTTCATTTCGAGTAGAATAAATTTTAGGTTATTGGTTCAAAATCATGGCCGCCATATCGAAACATGTTGTTATGGGACACGCGGTGGACAACTTTTTCCTCTACACGTTATGGCTGCTTGATTTTGGTTTTAGTTATCGAGATATTTTCAACAAATTGTTACTATTCCATAAAATTCAAATTCTAATACAAACTGCATTGATTTGAATACGAAGGGGACTTTGGAGGTTAGAACTCATTCAGGGGACATGATTAAACTCATAGCTTTTTTTTAAAGATGAAAGTTTATGTTATACCTTGGGAAAGATTTTAGTGGGAGATTCTAAAGGCCAAAATAAGACGAAAATCAAGGGTACTAATTTGTTGATCGAGGCCTCGTTAAAAAGTTATTAAAACATTAAATTAAAAAATTTCAAATCGTTCTGGAAAAATTATTTTCGGTTGCAGGGGTCAATTATAATCATTTTTGGTGAATAGACATAATCTAGAAATCCTACGCACTTTCGAGAAAAAAATTCAGGAAGGTGCCTAAATTTTTCGATGAAAAAAAAATTTCAAATCGTTCTGGAAAAATTATTTTCAGTTGCAGGGGTCGATTGCAATAATTTTTGGTGAATAGACATACCCTCGAAATCCTACATAATTTCGAGAAAAAAATTCTTTACTGAAAATATACTGTGTGGCCGGAAAAGTTTCTATAATTTTTTAATTGGATATATTAGTGTAGGGAAAAGTTGCTTAGAATATTGATATCTACACCATATTTAAATAAACGCGGTGACCATGATTCTGAAAGTTACTCTTACACCGATTGATATTAGCTGTAGACTCTTGTTTACAAACACTCTAATACGCAATATTAGAGGAGACTGTCTGGACGTAAATGAACGGAAGATAGGTACATCTGAGATACAGTTTTTTTCTCAATTCTGTAGAGCACTTTATAAAGAGTAATTTGCAAACAAATCATGCATCAAGATGTTTGCTCGTAGAAATATGGATTAGGTGTGAGAATAAAGCACGGGCTTACTTGTTGACAGCTGTGTCGAACCGACGACCAACATCCGCCACGGTTCCGTGGACAAAGCAGCAGCTGGACCATCGAAATCATGGTGGAATCGTCAGCGAGTATCGACAAGAACACCAAATATCGACACTTGACGCGTAACAAGAAAAGCCAAACGGTACGGTACACTATCTTCAACAACACATACACGAACATAATTGGTCGTAGCTTTCGGTTCGTCGTTCTAAGAAATATTCAGAGGAACGTTTGCGACGAACGGAGACCTACCAATCGTAAGGTCTCGAGCGTCCAAAGTCGAGGAGGAACGCTCGGACCGTTTCCCGTCTCGAAACCATCTTCAACGGATTTACGTCACTGTCACTATTATTTATCGTGTATATTTAGATCGTCTGTGTCGTTATAGACGATCGATAACCACGTTTAACGGGAAACCGGAGGAGCAAAACGACGCGATGCACAGGACAAGCGAATTGTCGAGGAAATCGATTCCTCTTTAAATATTTTCCTCGTCTCGCGAACGGAACTCGTTGATTTTTACGATCCTCGCGTTATCGGGTTCCTTAGAGTTCGTTTATCTGGTTAACCCCTGACGATCGTTCGCGGATCTTCTCTCGTTCGTGATCGACAACAACCACCGTTACTTCGTGCAGAGTTCCTCGTTCACGCGATCAGGCGAACGTCGTTGTTTTACCGTGAAAAACTCCGTGTATTTGAGAAAACCGTCGACGTGCTTCGGAAGGACACGAAATGTTTGCGATGTCCCGACGAAAGTACCAACACCGACCACGACTTTTCTCTCGGCCGGACTCGGTCCCGCTCGTGCTCGTTCGCCATCGTTCGTTCGTTCTCTCTTAGTTCCACTCCTGTTGATATGGTCGATAACAGCGAGAGTGCGTACTGTGCATCCTCGTTCCTCGATTTCTCCAACGAACGCCAGATAAATTCTCGCACGTTTCTTTCGCACGGTACAGATTCCCAGAGATAGCAACACGTCGACCGCGAAATTTGAACACAACCAAAACCTTCCAAACTGTTTATCCACGCGAATTTATCCGACATTCGTAAACTCTATAAATTCCATTTGTTTTTTTTATTTGTAAACCTTAGATAAGGTTCATATACTTCTTGAATATTTTTCTAGAAAGTGGGTAGGATTTCGGGGGTAGGTCTACTCACCAAAAATGATTGTAATTGACCCCCGCAACCGAAAATAATTTTTCCAAAACAATTTGAAATTTTTTTTTCCCTCGAAAAATTTCACACCTTCTCGAATTTTTTTCTAGAAAGTGGGCAGGATTTCGGTGGTATGTGTAATGACCAAAAATGATTGTAATTGACCCCCGCAGCCGAAAATAATTTTTCCAAAACGATTTGAAATTTTTTTTTCCGTCGAAAAATTTCACACATTCTCGAATTTTTTTCTCGAAAGTGGGTAGGATTTCAGGGGTATGTGTAATGACCAAAAATGATTGTAATTGACCCCCGCAACCGAAAATAATTTTTCCAAAACGATTTGAAATTTTTTTTTATTCGTCCCCTGAGACAATACACAAACAATATCAGCGATCTCTAGTGCGAGGGTTAATATTGTTTTATTACTCTTTATTTGTTTAACGCGTGTACGGTGTACAGGGTCTGTTAATTCGTGATTGTTCTGGCAACATAATGTTATTAAAAGCTGCTTTATCACGGTAACAGAATTCAAGGAGAGTCCACAAACTCTTTATTACGTATCACGATGCGAAACAACTGACACGGGAATCAAAGTGTGTCAATGTTACAGAGTAATGCAGCAACGAGTGCAACCATACATGCCTATTTACACGCAACGTTCGTTAACCCTAAACTCGGATGTCAAGCTCTCTCATTGTCGGGTCGTCAATTACCATTCCTCAAGGACTGGTAATTCGTAACATTAACGGTTCGTACGTTATATATGTTACGTTTAATGTAACGGTGAATACTTTTGTTATCCATTTGATGTTGCGTATTTGTAATAAATATGTCGTAAATATCATAAGTATCGTTGAATTGTTCTTTTATTTTACCAACACAATCCTGAGAATTTCTTCTTGCTATAGATACCATGTTGCATCAAACCCTTCAGTTTAATGTACACGTTTGATGTGCTAGAAGTTGTACCACGTGGTGGTCCACGCAACTTGTGCACCTTGTATAACTCGTAAAATATGCGTTGCAGGAACAAATTTTATATACGAAAATTGGTATACAATAGGTGGAGGCGTTTTAAAGATTTGTAGGTCAATTTTGCAACTTCACTTTACTCCTTGTCAATTTCATCATAGATTTCTGAAGAACAGTGAAGATTATCAAGGAACAAAGTGAAATTGCTCGTCAGCTATTAGGTTTAGGGCTAACAAAGGTCAATACCGTTTTACCCAGAATTCAATATTCTTCCATATTTTCATATAAAAAACATAGTATTTTATTTATGAATGCACTACGTAATGTACCCCTTTAATTTTGTATACAAAATTTTCACCTGCAGCGTATATTTTGAATATTAGAGAGGTGTACATTTGACGGTTTCTTACCTCCGACAGAACGATAATAAACTGCAGTCCTTTTAAAAACGTAATCGTTCCCATACGATGCCCGTAGATAATTAAAAAAAGTAACACAGGCCCGAGGAGATTTACCAAACGCGGTCTCTCATGTTCTTCGAGACGATCGCTCTTCGTAATTTTCTTTCTACGCTTCCAGAGGAGGAAAAACCACGTAAAAAAATAGTCGATTAAAAGAACCTTGCACGATCCAAGATCAAGAGTATTCCTCCCACTACGGAGGCAAAGTACTTGGCCGAGAGTAGGAATCTATGAATGCAGAGTCTGTTGGTTGGTACCCCTCCCTCGATAGAGCCCGTGGAAGGTCCGATCCTTGGACACTTTCTTATAAATGAAGGTTGACCGGTGGCTCGTTCCTCATTTAACGCTCCATCCCTCGCACCTGGAGGGATCGGTGTCTGCACGTTCGCTGATAAACAATTCAAAGAGTGTATCGTGTATCGAGCAGTTCTGTGATTCGAAACCGCGGTTATCGTGGGACATTTTGCAAGAGGAACCAAGATACGCGGTTGCAACGAACGCGTAAGTATTTGCTTCGAGCTACGATTGTTCGAACAGCCAAACCGGATACGAGAATTACGTTCACGTTCTTTCGTCAAAAGAGTTCGCGTCCTTTGTAGAATTTTCCAACACCAAAACGAGAAATGGCGAACTCGAGAAAACTTTGATACTGGAAACAGAAAAAAATGGATTTGTTAGTAACTTGGATTTTACGAATAAAACGTAAGGGGAAGTTGGTCTACGAATCGATCCGAACAAATTGCATTACTCGCTGGTGAACAGTTCGAGTCGAACGAACCCTGATGCAGTGTGAAAGCTGTAAACAAGGTGGAAAATCGTTACACGTGCACGCGTATAAAAACGTTGACACGTCGGTGCAAATTTAATATAGCTTCTTTAAAAAGTATCTACCGGGTTGTACGTTTAAATCTTAATAAAGACGGGCAGTCGGATCTTTGATACAGGTCTTCCCCCAACCGTTTAATGGTTAAAGAGATTAATGAGTCGAGAAATATGCAATAAGTAGAGCAGAATAAATTATAAGGCAAAGAATAAATTATAAAACAACATTCGCTATGATGAAAACGTGAACTGTTCGCGTAAAGGAAAAAAAGGTGTCGCGTAGTCGGTGTTGGCGACGAATGGAAAATGTAATTTAAATGTAACTAGGATTGCAGATTGTCGCTGTAACATATCATAATACGAATATACAAATCTATTCTAAAGTGACTTTCTTCCAAAACAACTTGAAAGATGGCTGATTTGATAGAACGATTGTCCAAAAGCACCCAGTATATTTCTCAATCAACAGGATTCGATCGATTCCGTGAAAAATGTGTCGCGATTATAATAAATTATCAGAGAACTGTAAATCTTTGTTAGGATCGACTGTAATTGCCAGAGTGAACGCGGTTTTACATTCCGGAACTCATTCCAAACGTACGACTCACGCGGATCTTCTTACGAAAACCGAACCGTGTATCGAGCAATTTACAAAATTCTATTAAAAAATTCCAATATTTAACTTCGTCGTGCTTTAAGTTTGGCCTTTAAGTTACACCTCTGAAAAGAAACATGTAGCGATCGAAGTGATCGAAGAGAATATTCTAGATAAGAGAATCGTGTAAGGAAAGGCGGAGGTTATTATTAACTTAAGAAAAATATGCATATTTCTCTTATTTGCGCAACACGCGTTACGAAAGTGTAAACAGATACACCTATCTAACCAGGTGCTTGGCTACATACTTTGGTCGACATTTTATTCGAGAATAACGAATAAAACATACACCAAACAATATCTATGGACGATCGTTCGATATCTTTAAATATTTTTGCAAATTTTTTTGGTGTTTCTAATTATTTTTTCTAACTATACTATTTATAGTATACTATATAGTATTTATAGTACATAGATAGTTTGTAATTTTCCTGTTAGTCGAATAAAAGCGTAACGAAAGACACACTCGCCCTTCGAGGACAGAATTATTAACCAGAGTATTTAGCCTGCATACTCGAGCTGACATTTTATTCGAGAATAACGAATAAAAAGCCCAACAAAAAAATATCTTTCCACTCGAACAAATTAATTTTTTTTCCCCCTAATTGTCGTATTAATATCGAGCAAGTAAACGCATAGTTTTTAGTTCTTGCTATTGATCGAATACAGGCGTAATAAAAAACATACTATACTCGCCCTTCGAGGACAGAATTATTAATCAGAGCACACCAGCTGTGCACCATTTCTATTAATGAACAGCGTAAACCGCGCGATCTTGAAGATGTCGAGCAGTGCGACTAATTGAGAGGCATTCTATGTCCAATCAGGATTCCAGCTTCCGAGTATACGCCCATTAGGCTCGTTCAGCCTTCGATCTAATCGTTCGGAAATCACAGAAACCAGTGCCTCGCGTAGGTCACACCTTCGCTGGCGGTCATAAATATTACAAAGCTTCGCCGAAACGTTTTCAATCTCACGACCAACGCGAAGAAAAAACTTGAATTTTTTTTTAAATAACGAAGCAAAGGTAAAGGTGACCGTGAAACCCTCGAAACTGGACGTTTCAGGCGTCTTTTCCAAACTACTCTACGACGAAGGATAGCGAAAAAAAGTTGAGAATTTCTTTCTGTTCCAAACTATAGACATTGACATATTTTCGGTTCGCACGATAATGGAATATGCATTTAATGTGAGTGCATAATTTGAGAAAGATTACAGAGATACCGTGGCGATAATTAGAAACGATAGAGCCGCGGGAAACGTGGAGTAACTTGAGTAATAATAAATATTGTTACATGAAAATTACAACGAGTTTTCTTGAAATGTGACTCAACGTCGTCGGACAATCAGCCGTTACGATACGTATGCAAATATTACCAGAGTTATAGTTAACGTACGCGTTGCACGTTTCGACGACGGTAATAAATTTCGCGTCGAATCGACGGATAAAATACCAAAGTTCGAACACAATCATGCATTCGAATACGGTTAATTGGCTCGGGGAATCGAACGACAACAAACGCGCCATCCACGGTTTCGCGGATGCACGTGATTCGCAAGGAACGCGATAATATGACCGCTGACTGACTGATCGGTATGTTTAATTGGCGCGAAGGCATGTAACACAACGAGTAACAGTATCTCGAGTAAAACCTTAATCCCCGGAACGCCGCTGCAATAATTAAGGAGGAAACTACGTGCGTTGAAATACGATTATCACGGCGAGTTATACATCGAAAGAAAACGGCTCTTTTAATTAGTACGCGCTCTTTTTGCTCCATTTTGTTTCCTCGTTATTGAAAATTCTCTATTTCCATTTATCGAGAAACGAAACTGCCTTCCGATTTTACAAAAATTCACGTTTGTTAATCTTCGAACCAAGGCCGCTGGAAGAATGATCTTTGCCGATCATGATTATTTATTAGTTCGTAAGCACGACTTTACGTCGATCGTGATCTTGAATCATCGATCGGATCGCGTATTGTACAACTTGGACGGAAATCGGAGGATTAAATTTCGATTCGATTCGTTTCGTTCTGGTAACAAAATTGCTAAATGATAATTAAAAATAGAACAGAGTGATGGAGTTTGTACGCGATTGTATATGGTCGTCGGTGAAGATTCTGACAACGATTGGACGGAAACTGTGCATTCTCTACGGTTTCTTGCTCGATGGGCGTGTACTCGGGGCAGAATAAATTTTCCGTTTCCCCTTCGACGTATTAATTAATGGCCAAGAAACGATACTGGTTACTCGGTTCTCTCATCGGTTTAATCCCACTTGTCGTTCGAACTGTGCCATAAATTACGATCGATTAATTGCACTTTAACAACAAAACGGCTAAAGGGATCATGGTAGAAAACGCTTTCGAACGATGAGTTGTAAGAAGTGAATATGTTATAGGATTCCTCGTTTATACATAATGCATTAGCTATTGTTTCCCGTACAAGTATCGCTAATTGAACGCCTGGATATCCATAAAAGATTTCGATTCAGAAGAAGATCTCTCTGTTTAAAATCTCTTTGTTGCCAACCCAATCCGGGCAAATATCCCTCTTTTACGGCGATCTAAAATTAAAAATAACATCGACAGTTTATTTTCCAAGGATATACGTATGCACATACGTGCACGCCAGTCTTACGTGGAGTTTAGTCCGTTCGAATGTCGATTAATTCCCGTATTCGAAAAGTTATGCAATTTCAAAGACACGCTTAAGGTCGTCGTTTCTTGTTCTCGAACGCCATCGAGCCGTTTTTTCGAAACTGTAAAACAGAGGACGTTCGGGCCACGATGGTGTTCGAAAAGAGCAACGAAACGATGCGTAATCGGTATCGTGACGTATTCGTTTCTGTTAATTTATCTTCCGTTTCGACGCGTAACGAACCGACTCCAAGGTTTCTCGCTGTTCGCACGAATACGTTGGGCGGAGTTAGGCGTTATTTAGAAAAAAGTCACTCCGATGAATAACAGACTCCGATCCAAAGATAATATTTCACTTTGCATGCGCATGAATATCGCAGCGATCCGCGATGTGGAAAACTTCGAGAACGTTTTTCGATTCTTCCAACGAAAACTAAACCGATTCTAATATCCGCTACCCTAATTTTTTCCTTTTGCCCTAAATCAGACACGTGTATCTATCCAAGCGTAGAAAAGTATCGAAAAAGGTTTACGTGTACTATGATACAATGTTGACGAGTAAAACAAGTAGCACGTTCGACGGTATGGCGCGACACGAAATAATTTATTTTCGATTTCGTTAGAAAGGAAATAGTTCGTTCAAAATTTCTCAGACTCGAAATTTCTTTCGCGAATAATCGAATAAACATTATTAAAACGATCATTTCCGTTCCGTTTGAATGATTTTGGTTCAAGGTGACCGAGTCACGCACGCGCGTTACAGTCCTACAGAAAATGGGCGCGGACGTTTCTTCCGAACATTTGCCACTCGTCGAACCATATTCCCGTTATCTTCGCCCTTTTAAAAACAAACGGTAAAATCGTAACCCTTTCCATAAAAAAAACAAAACATTTATCCAAACAACGCGATTGCATCTTACCCTCTCTTTTTTTAAGTGGAATTCTTTGTACAATTTGAAGCTTTTTTAATTTCCGCAACAAAGTGCCGAGGCGGTGATTAAGATTCGTAAATTGCAGAGATATCGCAAAGTGGTTTTGACCAATTAACAAAGTGTAAATATCGTCGGTTGTTAAAAAGCCTCGTTTCTTTTTTAATTTTAAAAGCTATTCGAATTAATTAGATCGCATTTTTTCCACTCTGACGATTATATGTATATATACACACGTCGTTAAATTGAATGGTGCGCAGCGGAACAACTACAGCGGAACAACTACTCGTCGTAAACCGTGTAGATTTTATAACACATCTATAAATTATGCCTACGAGTCTGCGTTAATTGCCTTAATTGTTCTCGATTACTCGATTATTTACAACGTATCGTTTCATCGATCTCGTACGATCGCTCGTTTATATCTAACAATCGGATTTATTTACTTCAGGGCACAATGTTGCGCACGACGTGCGAGAGATTGCGATTCCTTTACAAGCCCTACGCGTTGGCCGTTGTCTCGATCGGATACGTGCTCGGAGAGCTGGGACATTACTTGATCGGTAAGCAAACACGTTCCTTTTCGATACTAGCCGTTTGTGTAACGCGTTCTTTAACGCTCCAAGGTGTCACGAGCAAAGCCACGGCGGAGGATTTACACTATGGTGACATTTCGTGTCAATTGAATTCGACCACGCTGGCAGTCATCGATCTTCCCATTCAATGCGAGGCAGCCAAGAACCAAAGCTTGTAAGTATGTAAAAAAAACTGAAATTAAAATATAGGAATTTAACCCCTTGACGTACGATTCAATGTAATTTTTCAAACGTATGCTATTCAATTTTATATAAAATGGCCACAAAATAGAACAGATTTGTTTTACGAATACCTCGTCGATGAGTGAGTAGCCTCATGATCATGAAACTTGACATCAAGAACTTGGATATTTGAATTTCCATGAGACTATCGGGTCCAAATAACTTCCAAGTACATTTCATACCGAAGCAATTATATTTACGGGAAATTTTAATTCCGAAAAATATAAGAAATACTCGAGATACGAATTATTATATTTGGGGGTTGAAACGATCCTCTGCAAAGCTCCCCGTTTCATCGATTCTGTTAATAAAAAAATGAGAATTTTGATGAAGATCAGCAGTGTGTAAGTAACGCGGTGTTCGTGTGGTAACTTTGAAAGTAACTGAAAAGATAGTTGTTTCCAGGGCGATTTAATTTCGATACGACGCAGGCGATACAGAGACTTTTCGTCAAAGGTTGTGCATCGATACTTTCACTATTGTCAGCGTACCAAAGGGGGAACAGTGATCACGAATGTTGGTCGAACGTTACCTTCGATCGAATTAGAATCCACCGGTTCAACTTACAGTGTAGTATGTATTTTGTTTCGCAGCTGCGAGACTCTGGAATTGAACGGTTCCCGCTACTGCGAATGGAACTACAATGGCCTTGGTCTGGACTATCAAATCTTGGCCGGGCCGAGTTTTATCGCCGTGTTCACCGTGGTTGGCGTCTGCTTGGGCATAGCCGCTGACAAATACAACAGGTAACCGTTATTAATTACAAAATGATTATCGAATTATGTTTTCCAGCGATTACACAACCGTGTACCGTTTCCAGAGACGGAGATAATATCGTTTGCCGATGTCTCTTCACGATCCTCTACCGGATCTAATCATTCACGATCATAACTATAAAAATAACAATATACATTGCACAACGTCGCGCGATCGCTGCGTCTTTATTCTTAAAATAAATATTTCTTGCTACGTGCACGTCTTTTAGATGAGAAACTTAACTTTGTTATTAAATATAGAGAATCAGACGCATGATACTCTAACAAAGGAAGGACACGAATTGTCCTTGTATACTATACAGGGTGTTCGATCAGCCCTGGGAAAAATTTTAATGGGGGATTCTGGAGGCCAAAATAAGACGAAAATCAAGAATATAAATTTCTTGACTAAAGCTTTATTAAAAAGTTATTAACGTTTAAAGTTCCATACCGACTGGAAAATTTTTCGACGAAAAAAAGAATTTCAAATCGTTCTAAAAAAATTACTTTTAGCTAGGGAGATAAATTACAATCATTTTTAGTTAATAGACATACCCCCGAAATCCTAACCAGTTTCGAGAAAAAAATTCAATAAATGTCTAAATTTTTCGGCAAAAAAAAAAATTTCAAATTGTTCTAAAAAAATTATTTTTAGCTAGAGATGTGAATTATAATCATTTTTGGTCATTAGGTATACTCCCGAAATCTTACGCGATTTCGAGAAAAAAATTCGAGAAGATGCCTAAATTTTTCGACGAAAAAAAAAATTCAAATCGTTCTGAAAAAATTACTTTCGTTTGCGGGGGTCAATTACAATAATTTTTGATGAATAAACATACCCCCGAAATCCTGCGCATTTTCGAGAAAAAAATTCAGTACGAGCGGAACTTTAAACGTTAATAATTTTTTAACAAAGCCTCCATCAACAAATTGGTATTCTTGATTTTCGTCTTATTTTGACCTCCAGAATCCCCTATTAAAATTGTTGTATGCATGTTCCTAATGACATGTATAAAATATTAAATACTCGATAATTTTAGATGTGCAAACAATTCAAGTTACGAACCATACAATTATAATTATAATTTTATTTTGCAGGGTAAGGTTGCTGACTATTTGCACCGTCATATTCAGTATCGCGATCATCCTAATGGGCGCAGTCAAGGAATACTGGCAATTAGTCGGTCTTCGCATGATACTAGCGGCCGGGTAAGTTGAAATATTTTTAACAATCGATACCAAATAAACGTCTACTTCCTCGCCAATGAAGATACAAAAACAGTTCGATCGATTCTCTTTAAGATTTATTTAAATCAACGTAATGTTTGAAAATAATGAATACAGTGTCAATATCTGATAAAAGTCTCTTGATTTTCCTTTTTCATCGGTTTCCAAAATCGCCTTATTAATCACCAGTAGATAGATACTCTGTATAAACAGAACCGTTTAACGCTATTTCTACCAAAGGTATAGAAAGTTACAATTTTAATTTCGAAATTACTGTCGAAGTTCGATCGTTTCTCCACGGTAGAAATAACGTTGGTGCTTCGATGTATTGTAAAGGAAGAAAAAAAAAAAAATGTGAACACATAGGGAGGCAGGGTGCAATCCACTGGCGACTGGTTTACTTTCCGATTGGTTCCCCGAAGAACAACGTGGACTCGTCATGTCGATTTTCAACTGGGGCATTTACGGCGGTTATGGTTTTGCGTTTCCAGTTGGTCGTTACGTACCGAAACTAAACATTGCAGACTTGGTGAGCAAACTTCAAATTTACCTATCTTTCTAACATCTTTCAACGTTCGAATCCGGATCTCAAACAATTTCTATTCTTCGTGATCACGAGTACGCTAAAGTATACGTTTACAAAAGAGTAATTTTTTTTCGTTTATTCGTTACGTGTAATTTTTACGACACTAAAAATGCATTAAATAAATCTCAAAGAGAATTGAATTCTTTCACATTTTGTATTTAATCGTGCATCTTCATCAATGATTCGAATGAACAAATTGATTCTTGGATGTTGAATTCAATTGGATAAAATGTGATGGAAATAATGATTTGAACAGGGATGGAGGGCCTGCTACTACGGAGTCGGTATCATAGGGCTGATTATGGCAGTTTTCACTTTCTCCCTCAGCGAACCGGAGAGAAAGACGATCGGCGAGGAGGAGACGAACAAAGATGGATCGAAAATACCAATTTGGAAAGTAATCCTGCAACCGAGGATCGTTGTTTTGTGTTTGGCCGCCAGCATCAGGCATTGTGGTAAAAACCAACACAATTTTATTTCGATATGTCACAAAAAATGACAACACTTCGAAGTTGAGATATAGGTTTTCTTTCCTCAATTTTTCAAAACAGTCTGAACAGTGTTACAACCCTGTGTCAAACAATTTATACAATTTTTATTATTTTTCCCATAAAAAAAAAAGAGTCGTGTCTATTCTCGAGAAACGAACAAATCCCAAGGGAGCTTTATGCTTGTTTTTTTGTCGCGAAAAAAATGCAGAAATCAAGTTTTGAGAGGAACCGTTGTTGTTGATTTCAGGTGGCATGTGTTTCGCGTACAATTGCGACCTTTACTACAGAGATTACTTCCCCGACTACGATCTGGGCTGGTGGCTGTTCGCCGTGACGATCGTGATCGGTAGCATCGGCGTGGTGGTCGGTGGCGTGGTCAGCGACAAGTTTGTCGAAAAAATGGGAATCAGATCGCGCGTCGCGTGCCTCGCCATCAGTCAGATAATCGCGACACCGTTCGCGTTTAGCTCGATATACTTCACCCCAGTCTGGGCTATGATCAGTCTTGGAATCTCTTACTTCTTTGGTAAGCAAAACGACGATCGGTTATCAACGCTATTTGTTCATGGTCGCTATAGCGAGCGGGTTTATGATATGGACGCGACTTCTCCGCTATTTTTGAGGATTAGGACTTCGAGACATTTCGAGTCACACTCGACATAGGAGTGCAAAGGGTTAAACTTCGCGACTTTCCCTAAACTATGATGCGTCGGTAGGAATAGCGACAAAGACCTCGAATCGGTGTTGCAAGGTGTGTATTATCCGTGGATCGCTTTCATTGCAGCCGAAATGTGGTTTGGCATCGTGTTCGCCGTGGTCGTGGAAATAGTTCCTCTCCACTTCCGGTCGACCACCATCGGCGCCTTTTTATTCGTCATGAACAACATCGGTGGAAATTTGCCGATACTGGTCGAACCGACTAGAATGGCTATCGGTTACCGAGAGTCCCTCTACATCTTTTACGCTGGATTTTATGGCCTCAGTAAGTAAATAAACAATTAATAAATTAGCATCGACAAATTTTAAAAACTTCCCACTTTTATTCAAAATACCACCGTTCTTATAGAAACTTCCTTCGCTGTACATATCAGGGTGGATCTTGTTTTTCGACCATAGAATTTTCATTTTATATGAATGGGGAAACGGTGCCACGTCGAATTTGAAATTTTGTTGTTCTTGCAATTCGTTCTCCGTTTCGATACACAGTTTCTAGAGGGACTCTAGAGGACAAAATAACACGAAAATGAAGAATACCAATTTTTTGATGAAGGCTTCGTTAAAAAGTTATTAACAATTAAATTCAAACGTTTCAAACCGTTCTGGAAAAATTATTCTCGGTTGCGGGGGTCGATTACAATCATTTTTGGTGAATAGACATATAATCGAAATCCTACCCAGTTTCGAGAAAAAAATTCGAGAAGGTGTGAAATTTTTAGACGGAAAAAAAAATTTCAAATCGTACTAAAAAAATTATATTTAGTTATAGGGGTCAATTATAAGCATTTCTGGTGAATAAACTTACCCCCGAAATCCTATCCAGTTTCTAGAAAAAAATTCGGTACGGATGAAACTTTAAAAGTTAATAACTTTTTAACGAAGCCTCCATCAACAAATTAATATTCTTGATTTTCGTCTTATTTTGCCCTCCAGAATCTCCTATTATAATTTTTCCCAGGGATGGCCGAACACCCTGTATCGTTGAATTCGTCTTTTCACGTCCTATAAAAATAGAAAAAATTATTACTTTGAAATTTCAAGAGAATAAACCTTGGACAAAAAAATTGTTTTCTTCCACCAATTTTCATACAGTGACACAATTCTAGGGGGCTTTAAAAAAAAAAAAATAATAATAATAATAATATTGTTTGGTAAAAAATATTTTTACCAAGTGTAACCAAGGTCCACCCTGTCAGTAAGAAGCTATTTAAAAAGATACAATTATCCTCAGGTTCTATCATGTTCTTCTTCACCATGTTTCTGATGGATGGTGCCAAGCAAAAAACAAAGAACATAGCTATCACGAAACCGGAATTAGGATACGATAACGATACGTTTACTAACGACGATGGAACCGCGCCACCGATACAACTCCCACACTTGTATCCACAACCGCCGTATCGTTACGAGCACTCTAGGTTATAGGATAAATAACTATCGTTTAAAAATTGTAAATAGTATCCGAAGCGATTCGAACGACCATCGAGTAACATATCACGCGTTGCTTGGGTCTCCAGAACGATCACTGTACCGAGCAACGTGATCGGCACAATTACTTAAACCGGGCTCAAATTTAAATTATAAAAATACAATTCTTAACAAGACAATTGTAAAAATCCATCTGTTCTGTACTTCTAGAAGCCATAAATGGTGTTTTCTACATCGTGATTAGACAAGAAAATTCATTTAGAGCATTTACTTAAGTAGCGGAAGAGAACAAATTAGTAAAATTTTTGAAATTCATTTCTACCGAACGATATTAGTTGTTTTAGATTTTGAATCCGCCGTGAGACGCAATATCGTCGATAAATGATATTGCGTGCATAGATTGCGAGCATTATTATTTAGTATCGAAGATACGATATTTATAATGTGTTTAGTGTAAGATTTCTAATAAACAGTACCATCAAATTGTTACAGTATTAAGTTTTATTTATTAAATACGGGACGACGATCACGAATTCATCTTATTTGTTACTGTGTATTAAAAACAGCCCTGAATACACATGTATACAAAGTATACGTTCGAACACACACACGCACGCGTGCGCATCGCGCACGTCACACGACGCGCCAGCTAATGTAATATAAGATACACAATAGATTTGTTACCGAGATTCATCCTGAAATCACGTTATAGATACAGATTATTTAATATAAATAAAGACTTGTTATTTGTAATGTACAAAATAGTAGGAAAGCATCCTTAACAGTTTAAGGTCACGATGATTTGTCATGAAACGTTGTGTACATATTTACATGGTCGTACTTGGAAAAATACTTTTCTACATTTATCAATAAATATGTTATTCAAACGTTGTCGTGTAAAAGTATTGCAACGGTGATCAAACTCTTGTAGTTACACAGGGTGTTTCAGAACTGCAGTTACCAAGAGAACGTATAGGAGGGGGAGGGGAGGGGGGTAGCGTTCAATAACATTTGATATTAATTACTATACTCGAATTTCTAAAAACCGAGTACTTTGAGAATAAATATTAACGCTAAATTTTAGTCGAAGATGAAATTTTTCAAATTTCAAAATGACGATGAATTGAGATTTTAAAAACATAAAAATATGCCTCGTTTAGTTTCAAGCATATGCTTACAAAGGAAACACAAGCTTGTTCTAGGAAAACGTGTTATTTTCAGCCCCGTGGGAGTGGGTAGCGTGCTGTTAATTAGTAAACTTTTCCGTTTCACGCTATGGACACTAATTAACTAAGCTTAAAATTCTAAAACATCCTGTAAACTCGTATTGAATTATACGTAACGGTATTCTATAAATGCCTCGGCATAAAATATCGATGTCGCCTCCTACGTAAACGTAAAAATCTGTATCTTCGGTACAGCGTTATCGTCACGATAACTCGTTTCTTTTCTTTAAAATGGTTACTGGTCGGTATTGTTTCGTCGAGATGAACTCTTTTTAACACTAGATTTACGATATTTTTTTTTAATTAGAATATGTATTCGTGCAATTGCGTCAATTAAATTGTTAAAAAATAATATTTACGCTTTCTGCGATTTTAAATATGGAATCGAGCATCCGTCGAATTGATGGTCCCCGTAAATCTAGTGTTGAGCAACCATAAAACATTTCTCGCGTGAATCGATCCCTCGAGTTACCGTTCGCGTGGAAGTAAAACGTGCCATTAAGTAATCTGTTATCTGGACGGCTCGTTTCGCGCTTCGTAACGGCTGAACGACATCTGTGAATAACAATTAATTTTACCATACGACTATCTTACACCTGATACGTGCGCCCGTGGAACAAACTCGAGTCGGGATCGATCGATGGGAGAATAAATCGAGCAAATTGCACACGATTAATACAAGTGCAGGAGAAATGCACGAACACGAAATAAGAATGTGGGAAAATCTGTTACGAGGATACAGCCCTGGTCGATTGCGTGGAAATAGTCGGTGTACGATCGGTGAAATAACAAACACCGACGAAAATATGCGAGAATTCGATAACAAAGGCAACAAAATATCTTCTGAGATTGCTATGATCGAAGCAGTAAATGTGCCTCTCGGAAGAGAAACTGATCTCGAAAATTGATCTTTAAACCATTCTTTTTTCGCGCCGAAATGTACGGAAAAATTCGGAAACTTTATTGTATTTCGCGAAAATACGTATAAAAACCTGTTTTAATATGATTTTCGTTCGTTATCGCGAATGGTGTCCAGTTTATTCGTTAATTTGGAAAGTTTGTTCGAACATGGTTCGACTCTGGCCTGCGGCCAACGTGCACCTAGTCTAAAAGTTATTATCGGTATAATTAGACGATATACATATGCGTGTATGTATGTATGTCCTTGCCCGATCTCGATCATAGAACAGCTACACTTTCTCGACAATCTCTTATAACGTGCCTGTTTTTAAAAATATAATACTTACGGAAAAGATCTACCACGTATCTGTCGAACAGACGGCAACCTTCGGAGGGTCAATCGATCAACACTAAACCTACCACGACCGGTCAAAAGACCGTTTTTTAAATTTCTAACATACAATATTATTTTAGCGCCATAGATCTCCACGACTCTTCTTATAGTATACTTATAGTATATATAAATTTTTCTTTTGTAGTCCAACTTGTCTACCATGATCAGTTTCCACTATCTCACAAAGTCTAGCAACGCGTATTAAAAATAGTTAAAGACGCGTGCAGTTCTGAAACTGTGCTTTATCCGTGATCGAGTCTAACAGTGGTGTTAGAAGCGGCGAACCTTCCTCTTTGAAATGGTTTTTGGTTTTTGTCGATCCGACTTTTCGTTTTCGAGATATCGTGATTTGCGTGAAAGGGTAGCTTCTTTGATTCGACTATCTCTGTCTGAGCCCGCGAGGTCAATGACCGCGCGACGTAAACAATGAAAAGTAAACAAACGCTTCGAACCCTCGTATTTCCGGAACCAATTACGCTATCGACTCGAAACAAGTTTCATTTCAAAGGTCTCTTCATCCTCCATCCGATGAATACAGCTACTGTTCCAATTTATGCTGTCTTCTATATTTCAGAAGTTTCAGCAATAAAACTATTATTTTTTCGTAAATGATTGTTTTCTCTGGAACCAATTATGGTGTATCGACTTGAAACAAAATTCGTTTTCAAGGGCGTTTGATCTTCCATCCGAGAATCTACCATGAGAATTAACGAAAGTTTAAGTACCAAGTATGCACATTTTGAGCAACAGTAAAAAGACATCTCGACAACTTTATGTCCATATAATGGAAAAATTAAAAGTACGTTACCTCGTAGAAGAGAAAACGAAAGACTGGTCATGGTAGGAACGAGTCTACACGAAGCGTCGGTTGGTTTAGTGTTAGCGAAAAATTCGAGGAACGTTACGACGATGGTCAACATTCCTCCGTCGAGGTGCTGGAAATCTGAGTACTGGCACCGCTGGAGAAGCTGCTTCTGCACGTTTCCACGGTCAACGCGGTGTCCGGTACTTGCACAAACTGAACCTTCTCCTTCGGCCATCGATTCTTCCCGTACACGCAATTAAAAATATTGTACTTGTGATCCATTTCGAGGTGGCTGAGCGTGCTGCTGTGCCTTCTCTTTAATACTTTCTTCGCCATCAGGCTCCTGTTGTTCTTGTAAGACAGCTCCCGCCTGAAGCAGAAGAACCTTCTCAGCTCGCGTTTCACGCGTTTCGAGCGATAACCGAACAGCAACGGGCTGATGTAGGCGGCCAGTATCAAAAAACTGGACGTGAACGCGTCGTATCTGTGGGACAGGTGTTGATCGATGGATCTGGGCAGGTTCTTCATCACCAATATGATCACGTACGGTGACCAGCAGATCAGGCCCATCACTATGACCAGGGCGCTTATCTTAGCCGCCCTGGCCTCCTCTCTGTGCCTGAATATCGAACCGTTGCTTATTCTATCCTTCAGCGAGCTTATGTAGCTCGAGGTGCTTCTTATGCTCGACACGCGATGCAAACCGTCGTCGTTCCTGGCGGGCGCCGGCGTGATCGTCACTATAGGCGTCAACAGACAAGCGGAAGAACGTTCCGTCGTGTTCTGTCTACCGATCACGGACTCCTCCCTCTCGATCTTGTTACCTTGAAACCTTGGCCTCGATCTGTCTTCCAAAGGAGCCTTGAACATAATTCCCGATTCCGCGTCGGTTTTAGCTTCGTTTGGCTGTTCGAGGGCCGCCGAAACCTTCGAAGAAAATTTCTCCAACTCGTCAACATCGAAACGAGCCTTGTCCTCGTCCTCGTCCTCGTCCTCGTCCTCGTCCTCGTCCTCATCTTCGTCTTCGTTTTCAGATTCGGAATCAGAATTAGAATTGGAATCGGACTCGCTGCTGCTCCCCCGTTGGCGGTCGGACCAATCTCCGGACGATTTCTTCCCATCGAGATCGTTGCAATTTTCCTGAGGATCGGACACTTCCATTCTCTTCGAGCCCACCGTGAAGACGATACCCGTGGCGTGGTCGTCGACAGGCGGGGATGATACTTCGATGGAGATCGAAGAGGAGAACGAACGTCTTCGCGATACCTGACCGGTGGTTTGCACGGTCTCGCTGGTCTCGTCGATGGAGGATAAGCTCGATATCTTTTGCAGCTTACGGAAGTCCTCGACAGTGTCGGCGTGAAGCCGTTGCAGTCTGTGGGGGCCGTTCTGTTCCTCTGTGAAGCTGCCCGACGAGAGGATCGGCCTGGATCCGCTGCGTCTCGCCCTTTCGGAATTTCGATGCGCCGCCGCGTAGATGCTCACGTAGATCCAACATACGGCGGCGAACGGTAGGAAATAGGCCAAGATACTGTACAGAACCGCGTAAACGAAACCGTAGCTAATGGTACTGTCCACGAGAAGCGTACCAAAGATCGCGGTGGCGTTCTCTGTCGGATCTATATCCTCGTTTGTCGATGGATCGAACGTTCCAGTAATGTTCGGTTCGTTCGTTTCGATCTCTATACCAGCAACCGTCGACACTGTCGAGGGATCTATGGTACGATCGTTCATAGGAGCGCAGGAGAGCCAGAAGCCTCGTGGATTCGGATTTAGGAACGCGAGAATCCCGAAAACGATCGAGATCAGCCAGATGGACATTATCAATATTCCAGACTTTAGCTTGTCGACCCGCGCTCGGTAACGCAGCGGATCCACCACGGCAAAGTACTGATCCACGCCGATTAAAAGAACTGAAAGTACCGAGGATGTCGTGACGACGGTGATGGCTGCCTCCGACGAGCCGCAAATGCTTCCCACGGATCTCGATTCCTCCATTCGCGCGGCAGCCGTCGACGACGAAGCGTCCATGATCAACAGGGTGTTTATGATGCCGCATACCAACAGATTCGACGCGGTTAGATTCATCACGAACCTGAAAACCGATCGAAATATACACATCGTTATTTTAAATAGATTTTTAAAAAAAAGAAATCAGTCGTATGCAGCTAGCAATGACGTCGATCTTAAACAGTTGACGAATAAAAGAATTTTATGTATTTTATTCTGTATTAATAAATTGCATTACCACATTACTCATGGTAGGATTATTTAAAATGAAAAACGAATTTTTAAGAAAAATCGACAGGAGGTAGGTGCCTAAATTTTTCGGTGAAAACAAAAAATTTCAAATTGTTCTGAAAAAATGATTTTCGGTTGCGAGGGTCAATTACAATCATTTTTGGTCATTAGACATAATCTCGAAATTCTACGCACTTTCGAGAAAAAAATTCGAGTAGGTACCGAAATTTTTAGACGAAATTAAAAAATTTCAAATCGTACTAAAAATATTATATTTAGTTACAGGGATCAATTGCAAGTATTTTTGGTGAATACACATACCCCCGGAATCCTATGCATTTTCGAGAAAAAAATTCAGGAAGATATGAAATTATTCGACAAAATTGAAAAATTTCAGATCGTTCTAAAAAAATTATATTTAGTTACAGGGAGCAATTACAATCATTTTTGGTGAATACACATAACCCCGAAATCCTACGCATTTTCGAGAAAAAAATTCGAATAGGTAGACAAATTTTTCCGGTGAAATTAAAAAATTGCAAATCATTGTGAAAAAATGATTTTCGGTTCTACACGGTGAATACTCTACTTGGTGAATATTCAAAATCAATTTCTTCAACAACAAAAAAGCCTGAAATAAAAAAATTTAGTTCCTCGATTTTGTTTTTTCATGGTTGTACAGAATTTCGAAGAAACACGAACCTGTTGGAGATAGTCCGTAACGAGGGACGTACGAGGAATGCCAGCAAAAGAGTGGCATTTAGTAGAAAACAGCCCAAAAGGGCGAAACTCCAGGCTGCGATGCCAGGATTATCCCACCATCCTTCTACGTCCCTCAGATCCGAAACCGATCCTTCTCCAACAATATCTGGCGGATCTCCAAACATTCATGTAGAATAGATACGACACAATCCTGAAACAGTAACAACGCACAACTGACTTTCAGTGATCGCGTAAACATGTTTTCTTATTCATGATTTAAAGAGTACACTCTGAAATAGATACATGTGTAAAACGTAAGAATACAGGTATGTAGAGTTCGTATGGTTCTTTCAACGACGACGATGATTGGTGATGGTGGTGGTGCAAGTAATAAAAATCTTATATAATTATATCTGATGCTGAAACTATCAAAGGAATTAAAAAACTGTACCAAGTGTTAAAACGTGTATATCAGCGGGCGAATTTTAGTTTAACGATGAGGCAGTCGAGATGACAGAAATAATCGACCGCAACGTACACTCGTATGTACTCGTGTACTATACGGATATTTTCATGACACGTTTCTATGGGAAAATCCGTCGAATCTATATATAAACTGACGGCGACGCTATGCTGCAATAATATGTGCACGCAATTTTGTTTTCATAACAAAGGTCAGCCTGAACACTACTCTAGGTTGTTCTACGCCTTAACAATATCCGAAACTAGTCCTCTCTAAGGGCAAAAAGAAAATTACTTCCACTTTAAAGTTATACACGATACTCAGATCATTGCAATCAAATTCAACGTAAATTCCTAAAAAATAATATTTACGAATCCCGAAACGTTCAAGTATCAAATCTGGAAAGATTTTCTCCTCCTTTTTCGCGCTAAATTGCCACATCTTTGCCAATATAAAAAATTCATACGGGATCATCGAAGCGTACATTTTCATTATTCGATATCTGTTTAAATTCCAATCCCTCTGCGTCAATTAACGTTATTACTCATTTGCGATACGGGGCGACCGCGACCGATAAAACGTACATTTTTCGCGAAGGAAAATTTAAAAATTCTCCGTTTATTGAGCCCGTACGTGAGAGCAGAATATTTTTAAAAAATTTACAAACGAACGTTTAATCAGTTTGCACGGGAATGACGCGTTGGCGAGCTGCGTCAAACGATTCTTTAAAACGCACACACGCACACGGCGGGCAGAAAATTAAGCGTCGTTGTTATGTCCTGCTCTTGATTGCTCCAACATATCGAATAGAATATTTTGTACATTTACCTAAAATAAGCAACGAGTTATTAATAGCTGAGCAGATGCGTCTTTAATTAAACACTAAACCACAATTGTTCACAGACCTTTGGATTATTACGAGCCGTGGATCTCGATCAAGCAATTCCAAGGAGCGACGATGATCCGGTTGTGCACGTTTCGAGACCTTCCATTATTCGATAAATCATTTTCGGCGAGTATCACGGACCAAGGAAAACAGTTATAAAAATAATAATAATATGGGTTTCGGTTCTTGAAACACTTACGAGTTACAATTGTTATGGACGTAACTGCATTTTTATTTTTTAAATCTTAAAAAAAAAAAATTGAATGGAAGATTCTAGAGACCAGAATACGACGAAAAATCAAGAATACCAATTTGTTGATGGAGACTTCGTTAAAAAGTTATTAACAATTAAATACAAAAATTTCAAATCGTTTAAAAAAAATTATTTTCGGTTGCGGGGGTCAATTACAATCATTTTTGGTGAATAGACATACCCCCGAAATCCTGCGCATTTTCGAGAAAAAAATTCAGTACTGGCGGAACTTTAAACGTTAATAACTTTTTAACGAAGTCTCCATCAACAAATTAATATTTTTGATTTTCGTCTTATTTTGGCCTGTAGAATCCCCCATTCTCGAAAGCCTAAGAGTTCAAGACTCATAACACTTTTACTTTGAAGCAACTTGAAATAAATTATAAAAATCCACTTTTTTTTCTAAATGCATCGATGCATAAAAATGAAGAAAATTACGTTCACCTATTACGTACACGTTGTGTGTAAGTTCACGTTACTAGAAGCGTATAAATTAATGCGGAATATTTGAAATTACGTTTGTAAATTGAAACACGACTTATACACGTTATCCGTAATGAAAGCGATACAGGCAAAACGTTTGAAGACATTTTACAGATAAAATAAGAAGAGAGCCGGCTATATTTAGAGACAATGTACAAGAGGGTACACCAATACATTATTAGATCGCTGAAATCGTTATTCCTTATCGACACCGGCGACATGCGGAGAATCGTTGTAAACGAATCGCTCGAAAAGATAAATCGTAGAAATTTTGTACGATTACGTGACAATTCCCGCGATACGTGCAAGAATTTGCCTTCACGGGGAAAATATATCTCGTATTTTTCGCGCGAATCCGAGCAAACATGCGCCGCCGTAAACTGCTAAATACGCAAATTGTTTAACGATCTAAACAAACGAGCAAAACATAATTTCACGCACAAACACACCCATACATATGCGTTTGTAATCTCAATAAACTCTAAATTTCCACAGTAAAATAACTTCAATTTGCAAATGTTTCATCGATGCGATCAAGAGAGTTAATTTTTTAAATTTCAGTTATAATTTTTTTTTTATGGTATATATTTATTTCTATATTTTTATTGAACGTGAAAAAACTAATTTTTAAAAAAAATCGACAGGGGGTAGGTGCCTAAATTTTTCGGTAAAAAGAAAAAATTTCAAATCGTTCGGGGAAAATTATTTTTGGCTACAGGGGTCGATTACAATCATTTTTGGTCATTAGACATACCCTCGAAATTCTACGCACTTTCGAGAAAAAATTCGAGTAGGTACTAAAATTTTTAGACGAAATTAAAAAATTTCAAATCGTACTAAAAAAATTATATTTAGTTACAGGGGTCAATTACAATCATTTTTGGTGAATAGGCATACCCCCGAAATCCTATCCACTTTCGAGAAAAAAATTCAGGAAGATGTGAAATTTTTGGACGAAATTAAAAAATTTCAAATCATACTAAAAAAATTATATTTAGTTACAGGGGTCAATTACAAGCATTTTTGGTGAATAAACTTACCCCCGAAATCCTATCCACTTTCTAGAAAAAAATTCAGTACCGGCGGAACTTTAAATGTTAATAACTTTTTAATGAAGCCTCCATCAACAAATTAGTATTCTTGATTTTCGTCTTATTTTGGCCTCTAGAATCTCCCATAAAAATTTTTCTCAATGGTGGCCCGAACACACCGTACAGATAAATGTAATATTATTGCAATATATTAATAATAAATCTATCATTTTCGAATCTGTAACGAGGAACGAAATGTATCGTCAAAACTACATGTAACTAATTAAAAACGACATCTGTATTATTTTAACACACGCATACTTTAATTTACTTTAATTAAACGAATCGTGCCTTGTATTTTTAAAATAATACGAATCAATTGAATTATTATCGTTTTAAAAACGTGTTTCCCTTGATGGAGTGTTTTAAAAAATTGTGAGAAAAAACGTTTATTCACTGCACCTGTTAATGTTCGTTCCAAGAAGCACGGTCCAATCACATGATTTCCAACAATTGCCACGCATTTATCGACCGACGTTCTTGAAATGCAATAGTTCGCGTCCAATGAGGATTCTCATTTCACCTGTAACGAACGTTATACCTATACAGTTGGACGTTAGTAAAATATATATGTGATCTTGTCGGGTAATAGAAACAATGAAAATTAGGTTTGGAAACCGATCTTGATGAAGACACGCGATGCTAACGCGGTACCTATTTGTGTTTTTTTTAGTACCTTTCTGAAAAATATTTCCTTCGACGAATATAACGATACCAGTTAGTAAATTACTGTGCTGATTCTAATGAACAAAATTACGTTAAATTCTTTCTGCGAAACGATTTGTGTTAATTTTATCTGCAACTGCAACTGGGACGTACTCGTGGAATTCGTACACCGCGTGATTCGATCGCTATACGTTTCATGACTGCACATCGATCATAAATATTACGCTTCGGACGAAGCAAAGACTGTAATGGAAATTTAATGAGAAAAGGAACCCCTTGGTACCCTATTTTATTTATTTTATGTTCAACTATTATTAGTGTACAATATAATAACAACTTAGATCATTATCATCGATCATTATATATGTATATATATACATATATACGAACGAGGAAATATTATTATTATATATTCTAATCACAAGATGGATTTTATTTGCAAAAAGGTCAATTTAAAATGTAAAACTTTTATTTAGATTAATGGTTTTTTTTTTCTTCGTCGACAGAGATAAATAAATAAATTACACCTCGGTGCTATTAAGAAACAGCAACGTTAAACGATTACCAAAGGAACCTTGTTTTAATACTTTCAACAATCACATCTGGCGTTTGAATGTAATATTTTCCGACAAATATTTGCCGAGGATAAGCATATGAGTCACGATTATAAATTCAAATGAGCGCTAAGGTACATTATGACGGTCGACGACCATGCTAATAGAGATCAACGTGAGCACGTGACCTAATTAATCTTGTACGTCTCGATTAAATTCAATTTTATTATAAGCGCGTATTCAACTTTTTTTTCCAACTTCAACCGTTCACGAAATATTTCCTCCGACATTTATACATCCTCCATAGATAGAATAACAACGATTTTCAGATTTTTCTTCTTCCAATTCTATTTACAAAAACGTAAATAGTATAGTGTTCGGCCATTCCTGGGAAAAATTTTAATAGGAGATTCTAGAGACCAAAATAAGACGAAAATCAAGAATACTAATTTGTTAATGGAGGCTTTGTTAAAAAATTATTAACGTTTAAAGTTCCGCCAGTACTGAATTTTTTTCTAGAAAATGCGCAGGATTTCGGGGGTATGTCTATTCACAAAAAAATGGTTGTATTTGACCCCAGAACTTAGAAATAATTTTTTTAGAACGATTCGAAATTTCTTAATCTTTTCGAAAAATTTCACATCTTCTCGAATTTTTTTCTCGAAAGTGGGTAGGATTTCGAGGGTACGTCTAATGATAAAAAATGATTGTAATTGACCCCCGCGACCGAAAACAATTTTTCCAGAATGATTCGAAATTTTTTATTTTGTCGAAAAATTTCACACCTTCTCGAATTTTTTTCTCGAAAGCGGGTAGGATTTCGAGGGTATGTCTATTCACAAAAAATACTTGTAATTGATCCCTGTAACTAAATATAATTTTTTAGTACGATTTGAAATTTTTTAATTTCGTCTAAAAATTTTAGTACCTTCTCGAATTTTTTTCTCGAAAGTGGGTAGAATTTCAAGGGTATGTCTAATGATAAAAAATGATTGTAATTGACCCGTGTAACTAAATATAATTTTTTCGGAACGATTTGAAATTTTTTAATTTTCGTCTTATTTTGGCCTCCAGAATCTTCCATTCAAATTTTTCCCAGGGATAGTCAAACACCCTGTATAATATTTTCAATAAAATAAAGAAAACCGGTATTTCGGAGATCAGGAAAGTTTCCCCGAATTCTATGCACCGTGAATAATGTGCACACAATCTAAATAAATTCTTGTTGGGAAACTGGCCAACGAGAGTAAATAATGTAATAGTTGTACGAAATTTACCGAAACGATATAAGCGCGAGCGGTTTCGAAAGAATCCTCTTATTCTGTCGACGATTGCCCAACCACTGGCGTTTACCTACAATTTCGCCAATCCTATGTAGCATTTGAAAGTTATCCCGGAAAATGAAATCTGAAGTGACATCAGGTCGCGGTAAAAAAGATAATACCATTACGTCTAATGACACATTAATTACCATTCAATTGTAATTATAATTGTAGATCTTAAAAGCGTATGAAGAACTGTCTATCCAATTATGTAATTTGATCTAGGCAAGCGTAATCGGGATTACATTTTGCTGAATTCATATACGCGATAATAATGTAAACTATGACGTTAATCATGTTTGTAAACAAATGTACCAACGTTATTTCTAAAAATTTTATTCTTCGTTTCTCATCTACCGTTCCGTGTGGAATTAGTCCCTGGTCCAAAGGGGAATCGTAAAATCGTTTGCCATGTTGTTATACGAGCCTTCGTTACACAGACTAACAGCTAGAAATTTACAGGTGCGACTTCCGGCACGCACTGTTTCAATTCCAGTTAGACGTGCGTGCGCCAATGTGAATTTACACTGTCGAAAAAAACACCTTTGAATATTTTTATTATCTCGCTTCCGGCAAACAGCTAAAATATCCGTTGAATTGAAGTTTAAATTGCCATAAAATAATGTTGTTAATATCGTAAAAAAATTATTCGACAGTTTCAAATATAACTTACATAAATCAAATTGAAAACACAAACTGTTCGGCACGTATTTATTTTAAAACCCACTTAAATTAAAATAAATTTCTGGTATCATTGTTCACAACGAATTGGAAAACTCAATAAAAATTATGGATAGTATTAAATTCTACGTTTCCTTTTTAGTATTTTAACATGTGAAACTTTAGTTTTCTTTACTTTTGTCCATTGCTGGCCACGCTGTACGACACTAAGCTTCATTATGCGGACTCAGCAAATAGCAATAGAATGAAAGTCATTGTGCGCGTACAATGCGTCAACGGAAAGAATGTCGCTTATTCTTGCGCGCGACAGAATATTAACCGAAAAGTCTTATTCTATTTTCATACGTGTCCAATGATAAGCCACGAAATCATTGAACAAACGGTACATTCCTAAGCAAATATCAGGTATTGTTTAATAACTAAATCGCTATTCCCAGGAACTTTTTACTGATTTTCTTCCAGTGTCTTTCCATCGTGAAAATGGCACTTTTCCTCTTGTTAAATACTTATATAAGGCTGAGAGTTATGTACAAGCAGGCACCAGGTAATTCTATGTAAAAAAAAAACATAAAGTCTGAAGCTTGATTTTCGAGAAAATCAAATGTAAAGATCCGCTTTTTTACATGCGCTGCATCGAGCGACTTGTATCGCTTATCGTGTTTGTCAACAATGCCTGTGCAGCATTTATAAACTACTGGATTCGTGAATGCACGCACAACTAAACATTGTTAGAACGTCGTTTTCGTTATTCTACACAAAGTTGTGTTCGTCTAATTACAAACACACACGCTAAGATAATGCGTTTTGACTTTTTAAATTTTCAAATGCATCTTGTATACATTGATTTAATTGGTCCAGGCAATCGGTCCAAACGTAACCTGGGCAAAACCGTACTATACCTTAACATATGTACAAAGAGGATCTTCGAACACGATTTTCTCGAAAACTAAGCCTCGAACGAAAAAAGTTATTCCACATATTTTTTGTACAAGGAACCATCCGATGCGATGAGCCCGCTTGTACATAACTTTTAGGTACGCCCTACATACCGAAACATCGAAATTTCCTTGCACGCCACGTGAAAGTCGGTCCGAATTTAGTTCGCGTAAGAAAGGCTCCTAACACTCACCGAGACGAAATTCCTCGATCGAAAAAAAGGAAGGATTCACACCATTTGTACCAAATGGAATCCGATCGATTTATGCTCTGTTAATCCTTTTAATAGCTGCACGCATTTCACCGAGGTGGGAATCGTTATGTTGCCGAGGGGTGGGGGACGTTAAACTGTCAAACAACACTGTCACTCACAGGCACTATCGAAATCTGATGCATCGCTTGCATTTTACCGTGGGAGACGCGGTGGGTTCGTACGCCAACGCTTTATGCCGTGCGTCAAATATGAAAAGACACTAAGAACGTGAAATTAATTTAACGTTGCCTATGTACGATAAACTGCAACGTGAAATATTATTATTGCGCATCGAGCGTTCCTTCCCTCCTGGACGAACCGAAACGAATTGCGAAAGATTCACGAAGGAAACCGTTCTTACCTAGTTGCAACCGAACTCTCCCGACTCCGCCAACCGTCACTGCACTGTGATTGGCCCATTTCCCTCTGGCCAACTGGATGAAATCCTGTCCCCTCCACGCCCCTTCCTCCTCGCCGACCGGGATAACAAGGTAAAAATCACAATTCACTTCTGAACGTTTAACTTCGACAATTTCTAACTTCACCGTTCTTTTCCTTTTTCTTTCTTTCGATATACCAGGCGTATAAATAGAAATACGCCGCGTTAATATTAATGCTTGGGAAACGCGTATACCTTCTAAACTATTTGGTAAACGTTCACCGACAGCCTCATGCTTCCCGATTCACTCGAAATGTTTAGCGCATAAAATAATTACGATTTAGAAAACTTGGTATGTCACTAGGAGTGATCTAAAAATTTGTAGAATTTATGCCGAGAAGATTGCAAATTATTATCGAAGACCTAGAAATGCATACAAAGTATACTGCAGAATTTAAATGATCATAAACTTACCGTTAGAATAGCAAGTGTACACATGTCTAACACGTTAACTGTTGGTGTGATCCGCCGGCGGGTCACGGCGTTTTTAAAGAGAATAATCAGAATTAAATTGAAAACATCGAAATTGTTGATCATTTTTCAGGTTACATTTCGTCGAAATTACCTAAAAATTAAAAAAGTTTTTGAAAATTGTGTACACTATACATATAGTGCAATTCGACCTTAACTTGAAATTATTCCTTCTTTATTTTCGCTTAGGAAGGAACTATTGTAGTTTAGTCAGATTTCTGGAAATCCTATATGTATATGGATTAAATCGCTGACAAGATAAATCGAGTATCGAAAAATTGAAACATTCTATTAACACAAAGAATTGTCTTTTGAACGTCAAATAGGAGTATATACGTTAAGATTCGTAATGAACCTTTCAATTTATTAGATCTGTACATTTATATTTAAAATATTGCAAAGAGAAAGATCAATCAGAAATTGAATAATAAATTAATCTTCTTTTGTTAATCACGTACTTAGTCGACAACAGTAAATTTAAAACTAGGAGATCTTACTGACCGTAATATTGCCAGCTTTTGAAAATAAACATTTTAACGAGCTAATGTACTTTTCAATAATTCTTTAAGAATGTTTAATGAGAAAAACGTAGAAGCCTCGACAAAATACTTGTTTTTATCATAAAATTCAGAAAGAACGAAAGAAAATGGAAATGTATACTAAACGAATGGCAAAATCAATTTGTGTCAGAACTAATTAAAAAGATCATCTTTCAGAATCGTATATCTCTAACTAAAATATATTTCTATCGAATAGCGTGTAAAAAACGTTCGTAAATGTCAAATAATAACATACTAGACGAAAATTTATTTCTAGTGTAGACACAACCTAAAATATCGATCGGTCAAATGAACTTGACATTCTTGATTTACTGATTTATCGTACTTATTGTGCTCATTATTATATTGTTATTGATATTACAATTTGAAATGATCACATATTATGTGAAAAACACTCTAACGCTAACAAAACTCGTTTAAAATTGCATTCTTGCAAATACATCTGCAAAATATTGTGAAAGTATTTTCTTGTTAAATACAAGGAAATTAATTGCTATTGTGTAGGCATCGTTAATTGTCTTTTGTATATGTGTAAAAAATGGTATAATTATACAAAATATAAGTATAATAATTAATTTATTTTAATTGCTAATGTAAAAATACAATTTAGTTTCAAAATATAATTATCGAACAACGATTCCATTACAATATTTTTCCTTTTTAAATAAATATAACGGTAATAACTTTGCATTTATAAAACCTACGATAACAGGAACTAATTCAACAAACAATATTATATGCATAGCACATTGACACTGTTCGTACCTGATTTCAGATATTGCAACGATTTTTACTATTTTTATAACAATAATAAATTATTTTTAACAGTTGCAAACATATACAGTCAACTTTAGGCTAGGCATTGTCTCTTGCATAAAATTACATAAAATCTGTATCAGTATATTAAGATTATCGTTGTATATCTGTAAAGAAATAATTTAACATAATACTATAATGCCTACATATACATATATATATAATATATTGTATCATAACAGCTTGTAATCGCTTGTTACAATTAATAAATAGCGATAAATATCATTGTTTAAGAACTTTGATAATTTGTTTTCACGAAAAGTATGAGCATATTATTTCGAAGGGAAGGTATTATATGTTTAAACAAATATACATACATTTAAATGCTGTATAGTACAAAAGAAATTTACATTTTACATATATATTGATTTTATAATCAACTATGTTATATTTTAATAACCTGAAATTCCAAATATAACTATCATCGACTATAGTTAGATTTTCAACAGAAAATATGTTTTATGTTGTTTCTTCTAGTTTATACAATGGTTTTATCCCGATCGTTTTAATCGTTCTTTCATAGAAAGAAATACACGTGGTTTTTGAAAATATTCAAACTTATTACTGAGGATTCGTATCTATAATAAAATAATTATAGTGTCTTGCATATTAGACACAATAGATTCTATTATGACATGTAGTTTCATTATATCGCATAGATACAGACTAACTAATACGTTAGGAAGAACAGTTTGTACCGAATGTTAATAATAAATAGGCAAAATCTAATTAATGATAACGGTAGTACAAAGAAACATTTATTTTCATTGAGTTTCTCGATTATGTATAAACTTTTCAAAAGAAGCGATTATGCTTTTCTTTGAAAATTTATATATTATACGCATAACACATCGACATGAAATTAAAGTACAACAAGCAATTGAACAAAACTATTTGTTCTCTTTAAAAAAGGTCGTTGTATTTCATATCCTGTATACTAAATTTTTGACTAGCAGCATACAGGTTTTCGCAGTAATCAAAATCGCATTCTTTATAACATTAAGCAAGCTTTAATTACGCTGTTAGCAACAAATAAAAAGTAGCATCTTAACTTCGAATAGTCTAATAATACTAGAACAAGATACTACTTTTGCGTAGATCCATGATTATTTTAGAATTTGTTTCATTTGCTTTGTTTGATGTTGCATAGTGTATTGAACATTTTCAGCTTTTGTAATAAGCGAATCTAATTTATTCAAATGGGAACCCATTTTTTCATTGATGTCTAGCTTTTTTGGCGTCGATGGATTAGGTTTTGTATTATCCAGAATTTTCTCCTCCTCCGATAATTCTGCTATCAATTCCTCTTTGTCGGCAGCTGTTTCATCGTGAATATGCGTCGTTTCATTGTGGTTCTGTTCAATGTTTTTATCGTCCAATGCATTGTTTCTAGATCCTACTTTTACTTTCAGTAAAGTACCTAAACTACCACAAACAGTCTGAAAGTAGTTCAATTTTATTAACTGGTAATTTAACGGTACAAGATTATTATTTAATCAACAATGTAACCTTGAATCTGTTAATCTTTTTCTGCGTTGCATTGAGAATACTATTAAATTCGTCTAAGCCGCCGCTAATCCGTTGTGCGGCTTCGTCCGAGGTAGCCAAATTCTATAAATTATTCGAGAATTTGAGTACTCTCCTTGGATAAAATTTCAAACTTTCTAATTTATCGTGTATTATATTTCTTAAATAGCTTCAGTTTGTAAATAAGTAAATTAGGCCCATAGTATAAAATTTATAAATTTTTTTAAATACTTAACTGTATTGCAAAACAACGAACTACAGAAAGTTCTTTGCTGTTATTTATTATTTTCTATTGAAATGTTAATGCAATTACCTGAATCACTTCATCGTCGTCGTCATTGGCATTATCTTCAGCCTCTCGTGTCTCTTTCCATTCTTCCTCGCTCGGTATCGGTAATCCTAGTAATTCAGCCCTTTCGCACGCGTGAATATAAGCTTGAGACATTTTCTCGAATATTAAATAATACTTAACAATATATAACAATAGGATATAGATCTATTTTATTGTTTCTTAGAGTCGTTGATTGGTTGATACTGACGGAACATCAGAGGTAGACGAAGACGTACACCACCCGAGGAATCCATGCTTATTGGAATCATGCGCAAACGTCAATGGGAAATAAAATGTTGAAAACCACTAACGATTATAATTTTATACAGGAATAAAATATTAATTTTTTTGGAGATAAAACGATCTCGAAATGAACAGCAAACGAAATTAAATAGACTGATCGAAATATCGATTGTATCAAATTCTGTTTGCGCACAGGACCCCGTTTCATTTGGGCCCGTTGATCTTTTATTTTGCCTGTTGTAGACGTTTTATACACAGGAAACAGAAATTAAACTGAAAATCAAACCATGATATTGTAAAGTAGAGATTTTTAACTATACTTTTGTTAAAAAATCATAATTTTACAATAATTTTTAACAGAGTTACAATAGTTTCAAAATTTCTAATTTTTTACCAATAATTACTGATTACTATCTACTTGTATAAGAAGTAGAATTGAAATTTCCTTAAAAATTCCGGAAATTCTTATCTGCGATAGTTATTTAAATACACATAATTAACAACAAAGTCATAGACTACACGGAGTACTGAATTACGGCTTAAAGTATGAAAACATTAGCGTCATTCATAAAGTAACTTATAAACAGGATGTAATGTTGTTTTTAACGACGGTGCCCAAATTCTGATTAAAACCACGAAAACATTACGTTGATCTTGACGATAGATTAAAATAAAAAAGAGAATTCGGATTATAAAACAAAAGACAGAATAATTTTCCTTATTACGCTCCTAAGGTTTTCAACTTTCAATTTTTATTCGTCTGTATATTTGCGTACTTAGTCAATGAACTATGTACATTTGTACATTGTAAGCAAAGTGTATGCATTGTAACAAATTTCCACGTATTCAAAAAGCACCGGTAGTGAAGTGCAGATTTTAAAAAGTATATGGTTAAATATGCCCTATTCTGAAGTTCATATTAAAAATAAACTAATCGAGAAATTGAACGCTTCACATGTGGTACGTATTTTCTGTAATTTATTATGCGTGCATAAACATTCATTTGTTTCTTTTCTTATTTTGTGTTTGTTCTAACCTCGAATTCTCTGCTATGAACTTAGGTCGCTAGAACGTTGTTTCTGAGACATTTATTAATTGCAACCGAGGGTATGCTTGCACGATAAATTCCTGAAGATTAATACATATATGTATAAAAATGAAAGGGATTATGCAGATTATATTAATCTCACTTTTTGCCATTCTTCTAAGATGGTGCGTTACGTACCATTCGTACAGTGGCCAAGGAAAGCCTCCAATGTTTGGAGATTACGAGGCGCAACGACATTGGCAAGAAATAACGTTAAATCTTCCTATTGACAAATGGTATACCAATACAACAGACAATGATTTACAATATTGGGGGCTAGACTATCCCCCTTTATCCGCATATCATAGTCTTCTACTGGGTTATATCGCTAATAATATTAATTCTTCGTACGTAAAATTACACGAATCTAGAGGCATTTCATCCGAAGATCATAAATATTTCATGAGACTTACGGTTTTATGCGCAGATATTTTAGTTTATATACCGTCCATAATATATTTTATGTTTTCTAGTCAAACATCAAAAGCTAATGAAAAAGAAATATCAAATTTATTTGGTTTTAATAGAAAGCATATTTCTCTTCTAATAATGCTCATTTATCCAGGTTTAATATTAATAGATCATGGTCATTTTCAATATAATTGCGTATCATTGGGATTATTTATCAGCACGGTTGCAGCCATGCTCCAAAATTCATATATTATTGGATCGTTTCTATTCGTAGTAGCATTAAATTATAAACAAATGGAACTCTATCATGCATTACCAATCTTTTTTTACATACTTGGAAAGTATTCGCCTTTGAAAAAAGCGTCATGGTTATTTAATTTAAAGATGCTGTTATGCATATCGGTTACGGTCGTTTCAACATTTGCCATCGTTTGGTTACCTTTTTTTAAAAACTTGGAAATATTTACGAACGTTGTTTCACGATTATTTCCGTTTGGCAGGGGCCTGTTCGAAGACAAAGTTGCTAACGTTTGGTGTACCATAAACGTATTTTATAAAATACGTAATGCTTTTACAAATATTCAGTTGGCTAAAATTTGTTTGATAGCGACAATGTTTGAAGTTTTACCAAGTTGTATAAATCTATATCTAAATCCGCAAAAAGAGAAGTTCATTACATCCCTTATTAATTGCGCATTGGCATTTTTTCTTTTCTCATTTCAAGTTCATGAAAAATCAATTCTGCTCGTTGCTATTCCAGTTTTATTATATTTCAAAACGGATCCATTCTCTTGTTTTTGGTTTTTAATAATTTCACACTTCAGTATGTTACCTTTATTTTTAAAAGACGATTTGTTTACACCATATTGTGCTACATTAACGTTTTACGTTTGTTTTATATTTTGGATGTGTCCCGATGTATTTAATAATATCAAATTACCAGGCAATGGTAATTCGACACACGACGTACGCGTCACAGCCAATCAAAGGCAAACGAAAATAAAAGTAAAAAGTAATAAGAAAAAATCGTTTTTTGCAAAAATTAAAAGATATATATCGTGTTACTACAAAAAGGCTTCGAATGTAATTTTAAGTTACAATCTAAATTTGTGGATAGTAGTTCTGTTTTACAGCTCGATTTTAGGAATAATAATATTATCTATTGTTAGTCGTTTCTTGAAACCTCCTAACAGATACCCAGACTTATTTGTGTTATTAGTTTCCGTATATTCCTGTGGGCATTTCATTATTTTTTATATATATTTCAATTATAAGCAGTTTTGTACACCAGGAAATATTTTATAATATCTCAAATAAAATTAATTAATTAACTTATGTGTATTAATACTATATTTTCGAACCCTTTCGCGAAATAAATAGAAACACTCACACTATACTTAAAAAAATGATGTTCCACGAATTATTGGAAAAATATTTATACAAATAAAAAGCGTTATACTTGCAGAGGACGTAAATGCACGTCTTTTGCAAATGATTATCAACTTATTGAAATAATATGCATACGTCCTTGAAAATAAACATCAACTTCCAAGAGATCGTGTATGCACGGTTTTAATAGCAAAACAATTATATTGCAAAATTTTCGTAGCAGATAAATATTAACATCGTACTAAATAATTGTAAATAAAAAAATGTTGCATCCAATTTCGTCTTTCACAAATTCGCCTGTAATCATATTTCTCTAATTTTCGAAATAAATAATAAATAAAGGTTTATAAATTTTTACTTTTCGATTAATGTATTCTAACATAAACGCATGAATATTTCCTTATGTAAAATTATGTATATTCGATTGCAATATTTATAAAATCATGATATCAATTTAAAATATAGCTTTTATTTGTTCATATTTCGCGACGTATTTTCGTGTATTTATACACAAAGAGCCACAACGTACTGTTTAGATTATTTATTGCCATGTTATTGTTATAATATATGCAATATCGGTAATACATGCCACCAACTTTACTAACAAATACTAGATGATTGCATTTTTTTTTAAATTATATAATCTTCAATATGGATCTGAACTTTGTCCCATTACTGAATATTAGTTTGCTAAATTAACATAACAATATTGCTTATACTGGTTTAATATGAGTCAGTAGTAAAATAGATTTTGCTCTGTAAGCATATTGTGTGATCTGAAAAGATATTTTTATATTATGCGATAATAAAGTAAATGTTAGCAAAACCGCACATATTTCTAAAGTAAACAACACAAGTTTTATAACGGCGTATCGATTAATCAATTTTAGAGCGCGTTAATTAATTTTTGTCTCATTTTAAATGTTACAGGAAGTGATAGATCAGTCTGATGGTTGTGGTGCTAAATTTTCTGTAGTGGTTGTTTCGGATGCGTTTGAAGGCAAACCTTTGCTACAACGTCACAGGTATCGTATTTCCATGCATCTAAAAGATTCTATTAAAGTGTTTCAGAAATTATATAAGGTCTATTTACAATTTGTTACACGTCATATTAATATTTTAGATTGGTGAATGCAGCTTTGGAAGAAGAACTAAAAACGATCCATGCATTTTCTCAGAAGACATTAACACCGGAACAGTGGAAAAAGCAAACGAACTGATCCATTTTGCTTTAGATAAGCCAAACAGAAGCATTAATGTCAATCGATTAAATTATAAAAGGTATACGTTATGCGTTAACGTAGAATTCTTACAAATAAATAATTACTTTATTTTGTGTTAACATTATGTTTTGTTAATTTCAAAATGAAATTTTTTTTGTCTGTTAGGTGTTACGAAAAGGAAACTAATTAAACGTAAAATGATTCAATTCAAAGTTTCTGCGCCAGGAAAAGTTATTCTTTATGGAGAACATGCTGTAGTGTATGGGAAAACTGCTGTTGCAGCTAGTTTAGGTTTACGTACGATTATAGATTTCATTGAATTGCCGGAAATAGAAGAAATTATTAAGATATGTTTTCCGAAAGTAAATTTATTTGTAAACGTACCTTTACAACAAATACAGAATTTTTTCTTTATCGACAGAAATTCCGAGTGCATAGAGAATCACGAAATGTTTTATAATCGAATAAAAGAGTTTGTCAGTAATATTGGTTATAGCAATTTGCAACAAAAGTTTAGTTTAGAAGTGTTCTTTTATCTTCTTATTTATACCATAAAGAGAGACAAAATTAACGTAAAACCTTTTCAAATTCACTTAAATACTGAAATGGCAATTAGCTCTGGGCTTGGTAGTTCTGCTTCGTTTGCAGTTAGCCTTGCTGCGTGTTTCTTACATTGGTCGCACTTGCAAAAAAATATTTGTAAAATGTTTGATATTTCTGATTTAGAAATTATATCAAAATATGCTTTAAATTGTGAAAGAATTGTGCATGGCACTCCATCGGGAATAGATAATTCTGTCTGCACGTACGGATCGATAATAGAATTTAAGAAAGGCGATTACATAAAACGAATAACAGACAGTACGCAAACTATGAAAATTTTATTGGTAGATACAAGAGTTAGTAGAAGTACGAAAGCATTGATAGAAAAATTAGCAGAACTGAAGCACAAGTATCCTGCTATTATCGATCTGATTATGGATTCAATTGATAATATATCAAAAGAAGCAATTAAAATTATTAAAAAAATTAATAATCTTTCAAACTCTGATAACGAATCTCTCTTCGAAGGTTACAAAGAACTAATGGTAAGTGTTAAAACACTGTTACTGATTATGAAAAACAAACTTATTACATGTTGTGTATATTTGCAGACACTTATTAACATGAATCAAGGATTGTTAGCCACGTGTCATGTTTCGCATCCGTCTTTAGACAGGATTTGCGCGGAAGCACAAAATTATGCTTTAGCAGCGAAGCTTACAGGTGCCGGTGGTGGTGGATATGCATATATTTTATTATTACCAGATACCCAGCCAGAAACTATTTCAAGTATTTCGCGGAAGTTAATAGCAGATGGTTTTAATGTTACATTAACAACCTTGGGAGGTGCCGGTGTACAAATTTACAAATAATATATTAAAAATTTCTGTACATGGCATAAATGAATTTATTTATTTTTTCAATGTATTTCAGTACAATTAACATTTCTCATAGAATTATAATAATTCGTATTCAAATATTTGTTGTATAATTTTTACGAATATGTGAATTTTATTATTACAAAAATACAAATAAAATCTAATAACTATTTGTTTTGTATAATTTCATTATATTTTTCTGCTGCTAACACAAGCATATAAATCAACAATTTTAGCAAAAGAATCTCGACTGCCCAACATTTTTATTATTACACGAATGAGTATACTTCATAGGTAGCTGAGACGTCACCTTTCGCATGCGCAGGAAGGAATTCTACGAGGGAAAATTCTCGCGAATATATAAGCAAAGCCCATAATAAATGAAAAATTGACACGTAAATACACGTTTCAAGACCCCCTGATCATGTTTGACATAAAACAATACTTTGGAAATAAATCGTTTGAATATAGTTTCTCAAGTAAGACTTTCGAAATTATTTTCAAACGTTTTATTTTTTAATTGTTCTATTATTTCAAATAATAATTTTTTGATTTTATAGCAAAGAATGTTTATTTAATATCAATTCAATAAATTCAATTTGTATTTGTATATTTTTTGCCTATATAGGCAAATATACCATGTTCAGTTTTATTACATTAAAACATTATAACCTCCGAACGGATTGGAGGATTTTAATGTTACAAATTGCAAACAACGCGTATTTTGGTGAAGAATATGTAGAAATTCTAAGAATATTCGAAAAGTTGTTCCTTAACGTTGTAAAGTGACAAAATGCTCAGAAAAATTGTCAATTCTCAAACGATCATAACTTTTACAATAGTAAAACTTATCTCATTTAAATTTTTTCTAGAAGTTGAGCTCATGAATACCTAGAAAAAAGTATTAGACAACATTTCATTTTGATTCAGATTAAAAATCAAATTTATATTGTTTTAAATTCGCAGCCATTAGCTCGGTGTTACCCATAATGAAGAAGTTGTTCTTCAAAGGTAACACCGATTACCAGGTCTCACCACGAGGAGGTTGCTGCGAATGGAGACCCAAAGTGAGACCGATGGAACAAAGTTCGATCAATCTTCCTTTTTACACACTTAGAAACTAGATGACGCAACTAAAAAGATGCCAAGTAATTACTTTTCTAAAACAAAGGAGGAAGGTAAATTGTGGGAGACGCGACACGACGAAACGCGACACAATACTGCACAGTGCAGTAGGAACATGAGGTGCGACACGTACCGAATAGCGGGTCAAAAGGGGCAGCTCGTTACCTCTTAGCAAGTCCAATTGAAGGGGAGGAGAATCGACGCACCAGACACGGGTTCCCCATTTCTCCAACGCGTCCTGCTGGGAGCCCGTAGGACCCAACCCGGGACGTCTTACACAGGAGAGAGATCCTGAGTCGGGGCTACCGCAGACAGGAACAGGTCCCCTCTACGGCCGATGACTCTTTCCCTAGAATTGTCTCACCAGAGGACGGCAACCGACCCTTCGAACCATCTAAACGGCCGATCACTTGCTTTCTACATTAAAGCAGCGGTGACCGGAGCTAGAAACGGGGAAACGAGACTGGAAAATAAGCTATTAATTAATTCATTACTTGGCAATCTACGCATTAAATAAACTAATATACAATATAAACTGAAAATTAACGTCGTAGGTGGAATTGAGAATTAATGTGAATTAATGAAATATAGGAAATATCGGAAAAACAAGGAAAACAAGGAAAAAGAAAAATTCGACGTTAATTTTTACATTCGCGCCGCGCCTTAAAATTAATCGGCTTACGTTTACGATACGGCCGACGTCATCTATTGATCTCCTCCTCCTCCTAGAAATTGATCTGGTAAAAAACTAAAATAAAAATTAATAGTTATACATGAAAAACAAAAATATAACCTAGATAAATAATGAAAAACAAATTGTATGGAATAATGAATTGGAACAACCCAACGAAGTAAGATAAGGAAATGAATTATTAGAAAAAAAACAAACCAACGATGTGCACGGTGAATAATAGAGTAATTTTGAAGAGACAACCCAACGAAGTAAAATAAAGAAAGGAACAATGAGAAAAAGAAGAAACCAACGAAGTGCAAGATGGAAGATAAAATAGAATCATTTGGAAAATAACAAACCAACGATGTAATACAGATAAAAGCTGAAAGAAAACTAAATGTATTAATTAACGAGACGAACAACCCAAATATTACATCACCTATATATATATAAATGAAAAAGACAATATTGGGATTAGTCATATTAATATTAGTTATGTGTATAATACCAAACGGTGATCCTTCCTGGTCAGCATCGCAGAATCAGAGAATCTGAAACAGAAAGAAAAACGCGTGACAGTACCCCCGGCGGTTCCAGGAGTACTGAAAAGAGCCGATCAGCTGTTCCCGTTTTTATGCAGTCGGACAAAAGTAATCCCTAGCCAATCAGCAGCCAGTCCGCTGGGGGCGACACTCCGATAGGGCGGCACTTGCTTCACCTAAGTTTATAAGAGACCCCCCTGAGGCCCGCGCGGGGGAGTTATCTCCCAACCATCAAGCAAGACGGACCGTATCGAGATGAAGAATTTAATTGAAGACTTACATTCGATCAAAATCGAAGATGGCGGCCAAGAAGATGTTTCACGAGCAGCGGCCAAGGGACAAAATCGGTCTTTTTAAAGACCAAGAAAATCTCATTTGTGGGAACAACTTATGCAATGAACTGAACAACTTTTATATTTAACAATTCAGAGACACTTTACATCACTGTTTTGTAACAACTTTTATATTTAACAATTCAGAGACACTTTACATCTCTGTTTTGGAACAACTTTTGTAATAAAACTGAACATGGTATATTTGCCTATATAGGCGAAAAATATACAAATACAAATTGAATTTATTGAATTGATATTAAGTAAACATTCTTTGCTATAAAATCAAAAACTTATTATTTGAAATAATAGAACAATTAGAAAATAAATCGTTTGAAAATAATTTCGAAAGTCTTACTTGATAAACTATATTCAAACGATTTATTTCCAAAGTATTGTTTTATGTCAAACATGATCAGGGGGTCTTGAAACGTGTATTTACGCGTCAATTTTTCATTCAATATGGGCTTTGGTTATATATTTGTGTCTATATAACTTGAATTTAAATTCAAATGGTAATGAAAAATCAATGACGCATGTTTGTACATTATTTTTTAATCCTGGACTGAATAACCACAACGTGTTTAAATGATTGAATAATTTGCCGTCTGTGCACTCAGCTTTTACTAAAGGTTAGAAATGATAAATATATGCAGCATGAGAATGTACTCGTTTCTTATTGAATTTACAAATTATTGTAATGAATAATGACAATAATTTTCGATAATAAGTAGTAATGATGCATAGAAAAAGGAAAAATGACGATTAAATTTATATAAATTAGGTTCTATACATTGTGTTCATGGTTTTTACGCCGAGAATAGTCTGGCTATTAGATTCGAAAGTACATATCTTCGTCTGCACTAAAATATTCTGTATCATTATCGTCTGTATTTCGGTCGGACTTTGCTTTTTTCTTTGGACTTTGGTCTTTGTTTCTTACGGAGATTGATTTCATTTTGAAGATATGATGCAAACAAAGGCGTTACTGTCGATAAAAGTGTAAAAAACACCCTCCATAGGCTTGGAGAATTATCGAGGATTGTATTTATATAACCTTCCATGTCGTACTGTGTTTTAAAATTATTAGCTATATTGTACAATAGAGTACCATTGAATAAATTGGCCGTTTCAATCTGTGGATAAGGGTAGCCTAATAATGCATTCAAATTCATACTGTGTCTCAAACAATTTTCAAACACCGCAAATGCATGAACGATAGATCTATTAAATTTTTTTGGATTTCTATACAATTTTCGATTCATCTCGAAATGGGAAATAAGAAATGGTGCTGCCATTAAACAATCATCAGGATCAACATTTTTACAAGCTTCATAAAGTGTACCAACATGTATTGAATAATGTGGTTTACACGCACTCGTTTTTCATTTCTGCTTTATATTTTGAATTTTTGTACCATATTTCTTTTGAAAATTATGTATAATTCTATGTTTCCCAATTTTTGTATCGATTATAATTGAATAATAAACAGACAAATATAGAATACACCAAACATTTATCTGATTTGTATAACTGATCCTGTTTTATCCAATACCGAGCACATGCAATATACAACATCCATTCTGGTGGTAGTCCATATATGTATACATTCTATGTTTCTAATCTCTAATGTATCATTTAAAATTTCTCTTCGAATCATTAATGGTACTTCTCTAAGATTAGATAGGGACAGTGATGGGGAAGAAAATTTAGTGTCAGTGCCTTCTAGTTTGTAACATTTAAGCTTTTTATTACAGTCTCTCATCATGTATTTCATGAAACCTCTCCTTCTATTCATTCCTGATTGCAGAAATGCATATATAACTCTAATAATTTTTAAACTTATTACATTGCTCAATGGATAGGAATAATCCTCTATTTGTACATGACAAATATATAAACGTCGAACCAACAAGTCCATAAAATATGCAGGATAATTGCCCATAAGATATTCATCTACAAACAAATTAGGTACATTAGCTAGTGCATTATTGGTAGCAGATTCTGACCCCTTTAAGCATGTCTAATATTTCAACTTCGTTTTCTTCCTCTTCTTCTTCTTCTTTGGATGATTCAAAGTCTCCATTTTTATCAGTTTCTTCCATGTACATTAGACTATTAACATCTCCATCAAATTTAAAAATTCTGTTTATGGAATGTGTTGTGGCACGAGCTGCATATTCCTGTAAAAACCCCAATGGAACAAGTATTTCTGCAGATGCATTTGTATAGCCATTTATATTGATTTCTATTATGCTTAATATTTTTTGTCTTACGGTTTTAGGTGATCTACATAGTATTCCAATGACTGCTCTGTCCAAGGTGTAAAATAAACTCAACCATTGTAAAGTCGCTTCTATACAATACTGTCGATTACTATACCTTTTTCTTGTTATTCGTCGTAACTTTAAATAACGAAAGAAGTTTCTAAATGTACCACGTTTTACATAATCATTGCCTAGTAATATTGCAGCTAATGGCAGTGTAGATTGACTTAGACCTCTATAAGAATTTAATAAGTGTTCAACTTTATAAATTTTACAACGTTTCGTGTAACCATTTCCAGTTGAACTTTTCACCGTGTAATTGTCCAATGTATCAAATGGTATGTACAATGTCCCAAACACATAAAAATCTGAATCATAACTCGATACAGGACAATTCAATATCCTTGCTACAGTAGCTATAGCATTATCAGCTTCGAATAAGCATTGCACATGACGAATATTCTTCTTTCTCGTAACATCTTTGAAAACTTCCTAAATATGTAAAGGAAAAAATTTCATTTTCTGTTGACAGATCGGAGAATAAGATGATGCTGTACGAACCTTTTCTCTAGTTCTAGATATAACTGTTTGCAGTTTCTTATCCTCGCAACCACAATCGATCAAAACTAATGGTACTGCATTGCACTTTATCAAATCGTCAAAAAAATCCGATACTCGTTGAGCGTAATTATCGTAATCACTGACAAAAACACAATTGCACTTGTACGAATTATATATTTGACAGCTAAATAACTAAATACATATCACGTAGCTCGAACTATTCCAAATAACGATCTGAACGATTGTTTATGAAAGTTGTTAAACCCGGAATACCCATTTTGAAACCTATTTATTAATTTACACTTTTCTTAATGTTTCATATCACAAACTAAGTTCGTTATGCGTATATCAATATTAGTTATTATGCATTTATACATAGGTTGCATGTAACAGGTACTCAAATTTTGTGTCATTCGTTATTTTATTTGAATCAAAAGTTTGTTAAATATTATACTTTGACTACTTGGATAAATCAAAGAAATACAAGAGCTGTGCATAATGTTTTTGCATTGATCTTTACGATATTACAAACCGGTATAATAAAAAATAAAATTAGATAGTATACTGATCTTGCATAATTAAGTGCATTGACGGGCGACAATACTAACGACGAATTTCCTTCCTATACATATAGGCAAATATACCATGTTCAGTTTTATTGCATAACTTGTTCCATAACAGAGATGTAAAGTGTCTCTGAGTAGTTAAATATAAAAGTTGTTACAAAACAGTGATGTAAAGTGTCTCTGAATTGTTAAATATAAAAGTTGTTACAAAACAGAGATGTAAAGTGTCTCTGAATTGTTAAATATAAAAGTTGTTACAAAACAGAGATGTAAAGTGTCTCTGAGTTGTTAAATATAAAAGTTGTTACAAAACAGAGATGTAAAGTGTCTCTGAGTTGTTAAATATAAAAGTTGTTACAAAACAGTGATGTAAAGTGTCTCTGAATTGTTAAATATAAAAGTTGTTACAAAACAGTGATGTAAAGTGTCTCTGAATTGTTAAATATAAAAGTTGTTCAGTTCATTGCATAAGTTGTTCCCACAAATGAGATTTTCTTGGTCTTTAAAAAGACCGATTTTGTCCCTTGGCCGCTGCTCGTGAAACATCTTCTTGGCCGCCATCTTCGATTTTGATCGAATGTAAGTCTTCAATTAAATTCTTCATCTCGATACGGTCCGTCTTGCTTGGTGGTTGGGAGATAACTCCCCCGCGCGGGCCTCAGGGGGGTCTCTTATAAACTTAGGTGAAGCAAGTGCCGCTCTATCGGAGTGTCGCCCCCAGCGGACTGGCTGCTGATTGGCTAGGGATTACTTTTGTCCGACTGCATAAAAACGGGAACAGCTGATCGGCTCTTTTCAGTACTCCTGGAACCGCCGGGGGTACTGTCACGCGTTTTTCTTTCTGTTTCAGATTCTCTGATTCTGCGATGCTGACCAGGAAGGATCACCGTTTGGTATTATACACATAACTAATATTAATATGACTAATCCCAATATTGTCTTTTTCATTTATATATATATAGGTGATGTAATATTTGGGTTGTTCGTCTCGTTAATTAATACATTTAGTTTTCTTTCAGCTTTTATCTGTATTACATCGTTGGTTTGTTATTTTCCAAATGATTCTATTTTATCTTCCATCTTGCACTTCGTTGGTTTCTTCTTTTTCTCATTGTTCCTTTCTTTATTTTACTTCGTTGGGTTGTTCTCTTCAAAATTACTCTATTATTCACCGTGTACATCGTTGGTTTGTTTTTTTTCTAATAATTCGTTTCCTTATCTTACTTCGTTGGGTTGTTCCAATTCATTATTCCATACAATTTGTTTTTCATTATTTATCTAGGTTATATTTTTGTTTTTCATGTATAACTATTAATTTTTATTTTAGTTTTTTACCAGATCAATTTCTAGGAGGAGGAGGAGATCAATAGATGACGTCGGCCGTATCGTAAACGTAAGCCGATTAATTTTAAGGCGCGGCGCGAATGTAAAAATTAACGTCGAATTTTTCTTTTTCCTTGTTTTCCTTGTTTTTCCGATATTTCCTATATTTCATTAATTCACATTAATTCTCAATTCCACCTACGACGTTAATTTTCAGTTTATATTGTATATTAGTTTATTTAATGCGTAGATTGCCAAGTAATGAATTAATTAATAGCTTATTTTCCAGTCTCGTTTCCCCGTTTCTAGCTCCGGTCACCGCTGCTTTAATGTAGAAAGCAAGTGATCGGCCGTTTAGATGGTTCGAAGGGTCGGTTGCCGTCCTCTGGTGAGACAATTCTAGGGAAAGAGTCATCGGCCGTAGAGGGGACCTGTTCCTGTCTGCGGTAGCCCCGACTCAGGATCTCTCTCCTGTGTAAGACGTCCCGGGTTGGGTCCTACGGGCTCCCAGCAGGACGCGTTGGAGAAATGGGGAACCCGTGTCTGGTGCGTCGATTCTCCTCCCCTTCAATTGGACTTGCTAAGAGGTAACGAGCTGCCCCTTTTGACCCGCTATTCGGTACGTGTCGCACCTCATGTTCCTACTGCACTGTGCAGTATTGTGTCGCGTTTCGTCGTGTCGCGTCTCCCACAATTTACCTTCCTCCTTTGTTTTAGAAAAGTAATTACTTGGCATCTTTTTAGTTGCGTCATCTAGTTTCTAAGTGTGTAAAAAGGAAGATTGATCGAACTTTGTTCCATCGGTCTCACTTTGGGTCTCCACTCGCAGCAACCTCCTCGTGGTGAGACCTGGTAATCGGTGTTACCTTTGAAGAACAACTTCTTCATTATGGGTAACACCGAGCTAATGGCTGCGAATTTAAAACAATATAAATTTGATTTTTAATCTGAATCAAAATGAAATGTTGTCTAATACTTTTTTCTAGGTATTCATGAGCTCAACTTCTAGAAAAAATTTCAATGAGATAAGTTTTACTATTGTGTATCGTGTCAATTTTTCATTCATTATGGGTTTTGCTTATATTTGTGCCTATATGTATAACTTGAAACGTAAAAATGTCGGGGCAGTCGAGATTCGAAATTGTATTGACGCTAGGATGGTAGCTGTTAAAGACCAAGAAGGAAATGCTACCATTCACTCTTTTTTTTATCGATTTTCCGAAGTACCGTGAAACGCTGACCTGACGTAACATGTGTCTCGTGCGGTAGGATATACATATCTGCTTTCCCCACCACTCAGTTAAACGTTAAGGAAATTCGTCGTTACTGGTGTCGCCGTCGATGCGCTCAATTACACATGCGCATATGCCAAATCTGGTCACACACCGTTAAACGCTAAGGAAGTTTGTCGTTACTAGTATCGCCGTCAATGCAGTTAATTATGCCAAATCTGACCACGCTGTTTTGTGGTGTAGTTTTACGTGTCTGATAATTATACGACATATAAAAAACCGCACATACAACGTTGTGATAAGTATAAAAAAACTACAAATAGATATACATTAATACGCAGTGAAACTATTAACACTTTAATCGTATGCATTTATAGTATGTAACTTTAAATTGTAAATGATAATAATACTTATTCAGGATGTAGATATTTGTTCGAGAACGGAATCAAATATTGGGCAGTGTTTCGTTTACGCATTGAACGAAACATTTAATTTTATTTATTTTCCAACTTTTAACGTACAGTTGCTCGCGAATTTTTACGATTGCTAATCGTACGCATCGACAAAAGTTTATATGTGGAAAAATATGGCCGATGATTACTATTTTCTGCAAAATGCTCTGTTGAGCGAATGTCAACATTCTGTTTAAGCGAATAAAAAGGAATTTCAAATAAAATCACTCCCGTACAATTTTAACCATGTAATCTTTTATTGCTGTTTACTTAGAAATTCTTTGTCATTCTGTAAGCATTGAGTATACAGTATCAAAACATATAACCAAGATAATTTATAATTTTATCAAAACTGTTCATTGTGAAAATTGTTTTAAATATGCTAGGAACGTATGATATTTAAGCACTGTAATTTAATTACAGGATGTAAATACCGATATTTAAAATTTATATTATAGATTTAGATTACCAACAATTATAGGTAAATATGGAATTATATGTCTTTTACAGAGAGGATGTACATTCGTTGAATACCAAAGAAATATATTTTGTACATAACCAGAAGTTATGTAAATACTTGTAAAACGTCATTGTAAATAAGATATCGATAAGCTTATTATTTACTATAATGGAAGATACGCGCAAAGACAACAAAGTCTGCAAGCCAAATCCTTGGCCATATCTGAATATAGGTTCATTAGCTGTATCATTTTTTACCAAATTGGCAACCGTCGGCGTTATTTGGGGATGCGGATATCTACATTTAAGCGTAGCATGGTTAATTGTACCTATCGCTTTAGCAGTATGGAAATCGGAACGTCGAAAAGACAATGAATTAAAAGCAATTACTGCTCAAGCTACCGTAATGGCTAAAGAAAAAGAATTAATTATAAGCAGATTAGACGAACTACCTTCTTGGGTTTACTTTCCTGATTTTGATAGAGCCGAATGGTTAAATAAAGTATGAAAAATATTCTTTTTATGATCCTATATAATTTATATCGACCCTTTAGAAGTCGCGAAAGTATCAGTCTTTTGTCAGAATACGAAGAGGTTCAATATTTTTCGTACGAAGCATTATTAATATTCGATAAGAAAAACATGTAAAAAGTATTTCTTCCTTGTTTTTATAATAAATGTGGCCTAATACAAACAATGTTAATTACAAACATTATCAAATTTAGAAATTTTATAGAGCAGCGAGAGGATTAATCTCAATTAATATTTTTTATATTTTAAGGTTTTATATAAAGTTTGGCCAAGCATAAATCATTTTGCTCGCGAACTATGCAAACAGAGTATAGAACCTGCTATTGTTGAAAAATTAGTAGAGTATAAAATAAAAGGATTTCAGTTCGAAAGATTAGTCTTGGGTCGCATCGTAAGTTGACTTTAATATATCAGTTAATGTTTATATATTCTCTGTTAATATATTACACGACTAATTTTCCTTTTGTATTTAAAGCCTTTAAAAATATATGGAATCAAAGCGTACGATAAAAATACTTCCAGAAACGAAGCAATAGTAGATGCCGATGTTATGTATGTATTTGCATTAATAATAATGTTATGTATTTGTATTAATATTTTTGTTCTTGATATTTTAACTGTTATTTGTACCGATTAATACCATAGGTATGCCGGTGATTGTGACATTACTTTTTCTGTTGGCAATATAAAAGGAGGCATTAAGGATTTTCAGGTAAAGAACATCGATTAAAACTGCTTAGTACGCATGTTCTAGCAACTATGAGTTTACTTTTAAAATAACTTTCAGATTCGCGGAATGATGAGGATCGTCATGAAACCATTATTACCTGTTATGCCTTTGGTCGGTGGTGTACAAGCGTTTTTCTTAAATCCTCCGGCTGTCAACTTTAATTTAATAGGAGTCGCGGATGTGCTCGACTTACCTGGATTTAAGTAAGAAAATCTAAACGTATCGCCGTTTAAATAAAACTCAAATAATCACATATTTGTTTCTACAGTGAAATTTTAAGAAAAACAATAGTGGAACAAATAGCAGCTTTTGTTGTACTACCGAATAAAATTGTTATACCTCTGAGCGAAGCAGTTCCAGTTGAATCGTTGAAAATGCCAGAACCTGAAGTAAGTAGTTCTTCGTTTATTATAGCTTAAGACGTTCCATTACGATATTTGTAAGATCGCAAAAATTATTTATTACTACCAATGGCATTTTAGAATCAATACAAAGAAACATATGTGTATATTTAAATAGCAAACGACTTTTTTAATTTAAATGAGTTTTTTTAGGGAGTTTTAAGAATTCACGTGGTAGAAGCGAAACATCTCATGAAAAAAGATATTGGACTGTTGGGTAAAGGCAAGTCTGATCCATATGCTGTTATAAACGTTGGAGCACAAGAGTTTAGAACAAAAACAATAGATAACACTGTAAACCCAAAGTGGGATTTCTGGTGCGAGGTACGTACAATACTCTCCGATATAACGAGTTCTACATTAATAGTATTTAATGCATGTGCTTTGCAATAATTTTTTTCTCGTAAGTTCGTTAAAATTTCAAGCACATGTCTTTTATGCGGTAAGACATGATATATCGTTTAAACAAACGAAAGAATGCAATAAAATAAATACTTATTATCGATGAGAATGTAACAAAGTAGAGGAAAATTTCACTCGTTCATTATTTTCTCATTCAGTTATATTTATATTTGAATTATAAATCGTTACCGTTGTTATCGTTTTCTATTTGTTTTTCTTACGCACAAATATGTATGTCCACGTTCTTGTTTTAGTTATAAGATGTTGCTGATCTAACGCCACGACCTGTTCTTTTTTTCCCCCCTTTTTTTTAAGCTAATTAAGCAAACTGTAACTTCACTTGTGTTTATATAAATTATTGTCGTACTTACAGTAGCGCAATGTGATTGATAATTCGTACACGTGGATCGGAAACATCTTAACTCGTGTCAATTTAATTTAGTTTCTTACTTTGGTATGTGTGTGTGTGTATGTGATGTGCTATGTGGGATTAGTGTGCAGTTACATCTGCGATCGCTCAACAAATTACTCTGCTGCTATGGGACTATGACGACACCAAGGGCGATGAAAGTCTTGGAAGGTAGGAACATACTGTTTCAATCATATATTGTTTCGAATATTTTGTACAGGTGGTACAGAATTAGTAATAATTGTTACACTCGATGTATGAATTTTATTAAGATATTTGAAAATAGATACAGGTGATCTATTTTCAGTTATCATTTGATTATCATCTACGTAACGTAATTGTTATAGCGACATACGAGCTACCCATTTGCCAAATCGATTAACTTCACAAAAGAAATTGACAAAGTAATATACATTCTTTCTTAAAATTACCTTTAAAGTTGAAATTTCTTTTTGTCAATTTATAGGGACGATTATTAAAGATCGAGTGCTTTGCACTAAAATTTCAAAAGGTCCATAAAGTGAAGTTAAACACTTTGGCTCGTAAATGACTGTAAATATATTTATTTATTGGCCGCATGCAATTTCTATAAAGTGTAAAAAGCGTGTTAAGTCATAATAACGTTATATATATCTCTTTTACCCATTGTAGATTATGATCCATATTTACATATTAAAACGATCACTGTTATTCGTAAAATACGAGCACGCTAATTTTGTATCGCTTTATATGCTATCATTTATAATAAGGAGTGGTTTGGGACTGTTTGTACGTGTATCGCTTTACAGAGTTAACATTTATTCAATGCTTTATGTTAAAACTCTTAACAATAGAGTTTGGGTGTATTTATTCTAGTAATATCTGGTTATTATTTTAATGTTAGTATTAGTTTTTATACCTGTTGTTAGAATGATTTGTTTGCTTTAGTTATGTTCATAGTCATTTTATGTGGCACATATATTATTATATTTTCTACACATTTTAAAAAAAAATTTTCTCAGTTTCAAAGTGGAAATGTATATATTGAACTTTTGCTGTTTTAGGTGTGCTATATTCGCTATATTCGCACGATTTTTTCTTTTTTAAATTTCTCACGAATAATAGATTAATTTTTATTGTTCTAACAACCTCAGCGTGTGATTTTCGTTGTATCTGTATTGAATTAATAGATTTTATCATTTTGTTTAACGGAAACTCATTACTGCTTCCTTAAACTCGTAGGTGAACCGAAGATGCTACATTTTACATAGTATAGTCACTCCAATTCTTTTTTAACAAAGTTTGGTTGATAATTTGTTAATATTTATGCTTCTAGAGACATGTTATAATTGTATTTAATTCAATTGTAAATGTAAAATGTAATACCTCAGTAGTTCTCAATGTTAGTTCTTAACTTTACTCGATGGTTTCGTGAGAGTGATTAGGTGACTACAATTGATAAATATAAAACAAAACTAGAATTCGCGAGTACGGGTGTCCCGCTATATTCAATTTCGAATTGTGTAAAACGTAATATTTTACAATTTTCAATGTTCGTTTTTAATTTTATGTAATGGTTTCACGGGAGTGATTAGATGACTGTAATTGACAAATAAGAAACTAAACTAGAATGTATGGTGACAGTTTATAGTGGAAAAGAGCTTGGGAGCCTGTTACAACACACTGGTTGTCCATCTTTTTGATAAAGACAACGCTGGTCAAGACGATCCACTTGGCAGGTATTGCTACTCGTTGCAAGTATTAGTAGGCTGTCCTAAAAGTTTCCGTCTTATATCCCAGAAATAAGTTCCATTGAAAATTGTATGCGATTAGCTTAGGGGAACGTTTGCTCTTACTCGATTTCCATAGATAGCGTGCTTGTAAATTTGTAGTATCCTTGAAATGAAAATTCTGTCGTTATTATGGTGCATGTTGAAAACTTATAAAATCGTAGTGATTCTTTATCGTAATTATATGAAATATGTACATTACGTTCCGTTTACAAATACCAGTGAAATAAAAAATTCACGTCACCGCATTACTCTTTGGTCGACTGTAAATTACTCGTTCGACGAGACGATCACTTTGCCTGTAAGATTCTATAGTGCTGATTATACATGACTATGAATGTACATAATAGAGAATTTATCGTTTAATCGTTAAACGAATGGCATGAAAGCAATAAGTAATAGTTTGCTATGGGTGCTTCATACTATGCACGAAGTATACGAAAAATTTCATGCGCTATAAACTTCAGCTCGTTTATCATCTCGTTACGCTTGTATAATTATCATGATTATAAACAATAATTAGTATATTATATATTTGATAAATTATATAAATTCCTACATAGATTGTTTTCTCATGTTGTGTAAATGTAGGGCTACCATCGAAGTAATTCGGGTGAAGAAAAAGGGAAATATCGACACGGTGAGTGGAAAATATAGTATAATTATCGCGGTGATAATAAAAATCCATTTTATTTAGTGGGTTTCGTTGGAGCAAGCAAAACATGGTATGGTTCATCTGCGATTAGTATGGTTGCAACTTTCGAAGAATATCGCTGACCTGAAAGCCGTATGTATTTCTACTATTGTATTTCTTTCTTAAAATAACAAATTTATTTATAATAACATACAAAAAAAAAAACTTAACGAAACCCTTAATTCCCAGTTTCTTTTGTTCTGCGTGATTACCCCCTACATCTACAAAGTTATGTTTTGATCTATTGAAATCTACTTGTATATCATAATTTTTAATACATGCAGGCGTTAATTGAAACTCAAGAACTTCGAGTGACGTCGATGAGTACGGCTCTTCTGATTCTCTACGTCGATTCAGCTAAAAATTTACCAGTAAGCATGCGATCAATTTCAACTAAAATTATTAAGTTAAAGTCCAAGAAGGTAATTTTACATTATCAAATTTTAGTGCGTACGGGGGAATAAACAACCCGATGTGTTTCTGACGGCAAGCGTGGGTGGAGACACAAAACGAACAGGTACTATATTACGTTCCTGCGATCCAGTATGGGAACAAGGTTTCACCTTTTTAGTCAGCAATCCAGAGACTGGTGTTTTACATATAAAGGTTACATACACGTTACAGAAAATTGAATTTCTTTAATTTTTATCGCAAACATTCTTTTTCTACGTATATTGAATTTTAGATCACGGATGAAAAAACTACTTTCATAGTTGGAGAATTGAGTTATAATATCTCTTTGCTTTTGGGAGAAAATAATCTTGAAGTTGCGCAACAGCCCTACGATCTACAGAAGGCAGAGGCTGACAGTAAATTGATATTGTCTATGTCGTTGAATGTATGGTTTCTTCGATTCGTGTATATACAGTTGAATCTCGATGACTAGAACCTTATTTATCGAGGTTCAACTGTACATGTTTTTCACGTAAGATGAAAACCTTCTGATATATTTATGTATGTATTTTCAATCACAGATTTTGAAATACGAAGAACCCGAGTGTGTTTCGGAAGAGGATGACGACGATCATGATATTAACCAACTGAATAAAAGAATCGAACGTCAAGAATCAAATATCAGCAATACGTTATCTTCTAGTCGTAAGTGTACCGCTTAAATCCAATATAATATACAGTAATGCACGGTTCAATTTCATTAAAAAATAATTATACAATATACAAAACGTTACTTTTCTTAATGTGTATTTTTGTTCAGTTCCACCCAGTCCATTGAAAAGGCAACCTTCGAAGGATTCGATCAACAGTTTAATGCAGGCTACCAAATCAGATGCAGAAATGATATCCGAAGAACCGGTTACCATAAACGAAGAAATAATCGTCACGAATACTGCTCCGTCTTCTCAGACCGGAAGCACTCAGTTGATTCATAGAAATCCGAGCGTAATGTCATCCGCGGGCGAATCGAAATTAGGACGAATAATGATATCTTTGCGTTACAGTGTACAAAGGCAGAAACTTATAATCGTTATACATAAAGTAGCGTAAGTAAATTGTTAACAAAAGGAATCGGAGAATTTAACGAGTCGTTGATCGAATTGTTTTCTTGTTACAGTAATTTACCTTTGCCAGCTAACGATCCACACAATATACCGGATCCGTACGTAAAGCTCTACCTCCTTCCCGACCGCTACAAGGAAACGAAACGTAAAACGGCAGTGATGAAGGATAACTGTAACTCGGTCTTCGACGAGCAGTTTGAGTACGTTGTGTCTCAAGCTGATTTAAATTCGCGCACGTTAGAGGTATCTGTGTGCACCCAAAAGAGCTGGTTGTCTACCGGGAGCAAAGTAATGGGACAAGTCCATTTAAATTTGAGTGAAATCGACGTTACAAAGCAGTTCACGAGCTGGTACGATCTGCAACCAGAGACTAAGGATTAGAAAATGAGGAGAAGCAAGTGGAGATTTACCCAGTTGCTTGTGTGTTTTTGAATCTCTGCGGTAGTGTGATCTTTCTAAATATTAAATAGCTTGAACAATGTGATCGAACTATACAAATTTTGCATAATGCGTACAAAACAAAGAAATGTTCAGATATCACCCGATATAATAATCACGAACGTTATGAAAGTTCTGTGAAAGTGATAACGATTACGATTGTGTATTTATACTTGGGCCGTCCACCGTTTGCTTTTAGTTCTATAGGAATGTTGCTCGCTGTTTTTTTTTTTTTTATGTACTTTCTCTAACAGTAAGTGCCATGAAAAGTTATCTGTCGTTACTAGAGTATACACGATGTGCACAGGAATATTTATTTACATGCATAATTTTTCTACCGTGCACATAATATTACATTTGCTACTTATAAAGTACGCGACATAGCATTTTACATAACAATTTATTAGTTATTTTTTTCTTTTTTTCATTAATAAATTAATGAATTAATTTATTTTTAATTATATATGCAACTACAAGTACTGGATACTTGTATTTTTGCTTTTATTGTGATTAACTATTTCGTTAACCTTGACGCTTTATTACTAACCGTATACATGACAAAATTTATAAATCTTAAATGATAACTCGTTGATTTATAACGTATACGTTATAGCATTAATTACGAAAAATAAAAATATCAGCATCATTTAAATGTGTGCTGTTAATATATAAACTATTACGTCAGATTAATATAATATCTATGATATATTTATACCAGAGTTTTTGCTATATACATATATATATATATATATACATATAATAAATATATCTTTCTGTGTATATTGATAAATACCAATTACAATGTTACAAATTATCGATGATAATAAAGAATAGATGAAAGCATTTTAAATTGAAATTTTTCAGAGTTTTTTCTGCAATCAGATCATGGAACCATCGCCAAGGAAACACAACAGTAGTAAATAAGAGTGGCGCCATTCTGTTGTAATGATGTCAGGTCGCATAAAGTGTTATTAATCATTTACTTGAAATTATATTTGATGGATTAATTGTACGATATTTCTGTTTTTGTAACAAGATGCTACGTGATCGCGAGCTACCCTGTCTACCAGGGTACAATTTCGATAAAAACGTAAGAGATTTTTGAATCGCATAACATTTACGTACGATTGACCGATGGAAACGACAACCCACAAGTAGAGGATAATCCTCAAATTGTGCATTAAGATATTCATATAAAAAAAAGAAAAAAAAGAAACATTTAAATTATACGGTGTATTTTGCTTATTTAGCTTGGTCGAACAAGATTTCATAGGGATCAATATTTCGGTAAGATACACGACGGAGTTTATTATTTATTGGACAAGGCGGATAAAGGCGATCATGTTAGCTATCCGTCCATTTATCCTCGCGGAGAAGCACAAGAATTACCGCCCTGGATCGCTTACAATGGCCAAGTACGACAATCATCGAATTAACAGAACTTTTAAATATATCAAGCATGTTATATTCTCGAGTATTTTGAAAATAATCTCTACTTTTATAAATTTCAATGTCAACTTGATACGTAACTTCTAATGAAAGTACTTTATTTTTTGTGTTTCTTATGTCTTTTTTAGAGATTGATGTTCAAGGCCTTTTTTCAAGAAACCGTTCAAGAGAGATGGAAAACAGCTTATCAAATTCGGGTAGTAAATATTAGTTTCTTCCTGGAGGACGGCACAATGAAAATATCTGAACCTTCTACGGAAAATAGTGGTCTTGAACAAGGTTCAACGGTGCATTGTTATCTTGATTATTTGTTATTATTGCTTTTCGACTATTATTCTTTATCATATTCACAGAGAATGTGTGTCTTTTGCTACGTGCAATCGTTGCAATTTTTTAAACAAAACCCATGATAGTTGAACACATGTACAGTAATCCCCCCCTATAACACGGTAGATTGGTCCCGCGTTATTGGAGAATGCTCGTATGACCCCGTATAACGCGTTATGTACAAATGATTCACGTTTAACTCACCTCGTTAAAGGGGGTTTAAATCGAATATTAAGGAAAATCTATGTTACGAACGCAATATGTGCGTTTTATTAAAATCAAATTAAGAACATTTTAAATAAAATACTTATACATATGTAACTAAAAAACGAAACTGTACAGATCATTATAAATTTCACAGTACAGAAATATAACGTGGGAAATCCCTGCGTTATATGGGGGGAAACACGTGCTATACGAGGAACATAAAAACGCGTCATAAGAGTACCGTATTAAAAGGGGAATTACTGTATTACTGATTTCTCTTGTTGCTTTTCTTCCTGTTAAGGAAACGTAATTTATTGTTATAAAACTACGTTTGTACAGGCGTTTTACTGAGGCGACAGAGAATCTCAATGCCGGATCCAGTTAGCTACAGATATTACGATATAATTGATTTAAATATCGGCAAAGAACCGGAAATATTTGGTAGGGTGTACAAGATCGTCGATTGCGATAAATTTACTAGACGATTTCTAAATCGCATGGGTATCTTGGTTCCGGATCCGATCGAAGTACCAAAAGATCCTTACACGGAATTACGAAGATTTGTAAGCGAAACGAATATTGTGCTTCGCGTAAATAAATAATTAGTTTCTCTGACACATTCACTTTTAATCATACGATCGGAAAACAGGAAACGTTTCCGAAAAAACCCAATCGGAGGGTCGACACTCGTGGCGATTTTATCAAGTATGATAAACAAGTATTACGGTTCTACGGCTATTGGGACGACACGGATAATCTTTATGGCGTCGTTCACGATTTGGAAATTCATTACTATCTTGCGGATAACACGATGGAGATAAAAGAGAATGTACCCCCGAATTCCGGACGAGATTCTGGTTTTATGTTTTTGCAACGAATGAAGGTTCCAAAAGTAAGGGTTTTTTTGTCTATAAAAACTTGAAATCATGTATGATCGAGTTTCTCTGATCTATCCCCACTTTTACTCTAGAGTCAGAACGTAGAATACATATTACTTACATTATGTTGGGAATTAATGGGTAAAACTTTGATTTCTCGATACAGTTCTTTTCCGAGTTGGAACCGATCGGCGCCCAGGATTTTTCTACCATTCTAAACACCATGGAAGACGACACAGCCCATGGTTACTACTTGATAGATCCTTTGAACACTGGGAAAGTTTGTAGAGACATTTATAAAGACAACGAGCTTAATATCGGTGCTCGAATAAATATTTTTGGAAGGAAGATTGTTATAACGGATATGGATGCTTTTACGAAGGAATATTATAGGTAGAACATAGTATAGAATATGCCCTGTATTTGTTCAGGGAACGATAAATATATTATTTTTGTTCGATCGTAACGAAGGGTGAAGTATGGCATGGACGATTTCACGGCTCTGGAGAAACCAAAGAAAAGCGACGAAAATTGTACGAAAGTGGAGAAATATATTCCACCGTACAACGGATTTGGTTCCTACGATGATTCCCTCGGGAATTGCTTCAGCGTGATGCCAAAGCCGCCCAAAATTGACATTATTAAATTTTTGAATTACGATAAGTAAGCGCGTAACGAAACTGATCCACGGCGACTTTCGAGCGGAATCTTTTGATCAATTTTTTTTACAATTTCAGGCAAGGTTTTGACAGTTATGTTCTGAGATTCAGAGCCAAGATGATATCGAACGTTCCGGAAAACAGAGACAGATTGTTTATTATAAGAGTTTTTCTCATGGACGACGCGATATCTATTTTCGAATTGGGAATAAGAAATTCAGGCAAAATTACATTTTTAATCGATACTTTGTAATTCCAATTACAAATTATTATAGTTTAACATTCTTTTAACGATCGTACTTTATCGCGTGTTTATAGGTTTCAGGCGATGTCTGTTCCAGAAAAAAATGCCAGTGATGTTGCCTTATCAAGAGATATTTACGAACAAGAAACCGAATTATTACAAACCGAATGATTTCTATATTGGAGCTCGCGTTAACTTGAATCATTTTATTTTTCAACTCATTTCCGCCGACGTTTACGCTCTTCGTCACATGGAGCTACATTGCGACAAGGTCTTATACAGTATTCTAAAATATGCGATTTATGCCTGTCGCTAAATTTCAGAAATATTAAAACGCAGTATTGTTTAGTTCCCGCAAGCTAACATCAAATTAATAATGGGAAAATTACGTGAAATTTTGAGACCAGTTTATAAGGAATTTATACAGTACTATACGTCCGTAACATTGGTCGACGAGGATTTAAAAATATTGCCGTACGAGAAACTCAGGTATCTTTATTATTCGACACTGTGTTTCTTTTCATTAATAATTTTTTAAATTTATTACTTTAAATCCAATTCAGAGAAATGATATGCAAGTATTCAGAAGGTAAAATAACGGAACACGAGACGATTACGATAGCTCGACACTATTCCTCGCACGAGAAAAAAGAATTTTATGCTCGGGAATACGTAAGGTAATCAAGTTTTATATAAATGGTGAATCACCAGATATTGCCGTCTAATTATGTTGCTCTCTGTATTTTTACAGAAGACTGATGCACACTGAACTTTTGCGATCGTTGTGGAACGACCTCGATCGATTGGAAGAAGATCTTCGCCATTGGGACAGGGGAAGAACAGGATTTTTACCACGCGACACAATATATACCGTACTTTGTGGATCCCGAATACCAGCCGACGTGGAACTAATACATTCTACGCTCGATCAGTATGCATAGTAGCACACAGATGTTTATTATACAGGGAAAAATTTTAGTGGCAGATTCTACAGGCCAAAATAAGACGAAAATCAAGAATACCAATTTGTTGATGGAGGCTTCGTTAAAAAGTTATTAACGTTTAAAGTTCTGCCCGTGATGAATTTTTTTCTAGAAAGTGGGTAGGATTTCGGGGGTAGGTTTATTCATCAAAAATGCTTGTAATTAACTCCCGTAACTAAATATAATTTTTTTTGGTATGACTGTTGGAATAAAAATCGCCGCATTAGTTGCAACTTCAGCAGTTGGTATCCTTGGTGGGGATCAGACAAGTATAAGTACAGGGAATCACCGCGTGTGCGCCCCCTTCTGGAGTGCCACGGTCTCGTGCAGCGCGGATCTCGTAATTCAACAATTTGAAATTGTTTAATTTCGTCTAAAAATTTGTCTACCTACTCGAATTTTTGTCTCGAAAGTGGGGATTTCAGGGTTATGTGTATTCACCAAAAATGATTGTAATTGAGCCCCGCAACCGAAAATAATATTTTCAGAATTATTTGAAATTTTTTTTAATAACTTTTTAATGAAGCCTCAGTCAAGAATTTGATATTCCTGATTTTCGTCTTATTTTGGCTTATAGAATTTCTTATAACTTATTATCGAGCCATTCATTCAAAGCACTACTGTGTTCAAACTTCCCTCTTAAATCAATGCCCGCAACAAATGCAGAATCAAAAGCTTGATAATCAATTTTTCGGACATGTTGACTGATTTTGAGTAAACAATTTCAAATTTAGCATTCGCAGCAACGAGGAGGGAAAATTAGATTACAATGATTTGCTGCGATTCATGAACGTGAAGGTCGATCCTCTTCCTCCTGCATCGCCTATAAATATTAAGGTATTTTTATTTACATTTTATTATAGCGTTATCGGATTCGTTTCAAATTTTGCATATATGATCTCGATACTTCTATCTTTTAATAATTAGAAGATTACTTTCAGAATTTGAATCTACCATATATAATTTTATTATATTAATTTTGAATAATTGTCCCAGATTTTATACAAGGATTATATATTGTCGCATAATTCCCAGACAGCGCTGTGGTGGGCGTCCGAAGTGGAACCAGATTGCGGAACCGGTATAAATTGGTGTGCTTTTGTCAAGGATTTGGATATCAAAGACGAAGAAGATCCCGACGAAAGACCTAAAGTCTTAGATCCGAAATGTGTCGCACTGAATGCTTAACCCGATGGTAACAATTTTAATAATAATAATTCTTTATTTAACGGGTTGGTTGCCTCTTTGTATACGTTTGAAAAAGACCAAATTAAGAAATGGATCAATGCAAAATTAATTTCGCTTAAGAAAATGATTTGAATAAACACAGTAAGTATTGTTCTCCGTTCGCGGAGGATCCGCAAGCAATAAAAATGATAATCGACACTTCGAAGGCGAATAAAAATATGCTTTTATATATCAAGTAGAATTTATTGTAGAATATAATTTGCGTATAATACGTCAAATATAGTAAATTATTTACATTGTACTAATCACATTTATATCTACCATGCAGCTAAAACAGTGTTGCCCGATCATGGAAATGATATATCGTAATGTCGTTTCAATAATTTATAATCAACCCGGCTGACAACACTGTGCTGTATTCGTAACGCATCGATGGCAGAAAAAGTTCAATAAATAGCAAATTATATAAACGAAGATTATACGAAGTACTAATATTAATCGTGTTTCTGTAAATACTATCATCGCCGATGATTTTTATATGATTAAGTAATCGTAACTGTTCGGTTTCACGTCGATGCAAATTACGATCGATCTCTAAAAATTGCTATAAATACGGGTTTCGTAATATTTTCCAATTCTTCGAAATTCCGACGACAATTAATCATATCGTATAAATAAGTTTGATCGTTTAAACATAATGGTGGACTCTATTCGCGAAGCCCCCATGAATAATGCGAATGTGTGTTTCTCGTTTAAACTAGACGAGGATCCCGGTTTTGTTTCGAAATTTATCGTTCTCGCGCATTTATTTGCATTCGTAGGTCTTGACGATTTTCCTGCAAGTCTTGCACTTTACGTAACAGCAGCTGACGTACTTGCAATCGCATCTTTCCAAAACTTCCTCCGTTTTGGTAATATGACCCCGTCCGCAACAGAGGTACTCGCAACCCTCGTAACCGGAACTGCTTCCATTACATTGCCTGAAGAAAAGAATCATAATTTATAAATTATCATAGAATAAAATGTTTCGTTGCGAATTGGGGATATAGGATAGCGAGGAAGGTAGACGAACAAGACTAGAACGAGAGAAAGAGAGAAACAGCGTGCGACAAAGACAGAAAATATTCCCTCGCGGGGTTAAGTTCCAGATTTCAGGTTATTTTTTATATGGGTACGAAGGGCCGTACCATTCCTTGTTATCTCTCCCTTTCTACGACCTCTTTCTTTAATCTCATAAATGTTCCGACTTCCGATATGCGTTAACAATTATTTAATTACGGACGGAGTGGTTATGAAAGGTATCCTTGAATCTTGTCCAGAGCCTAAGCTATGGTATTAAAGTTTAAAAGTTCATAAATTAATCCCAGACAAAGAGTAATTAGTAAATTATTAAGCAGTGGTTCGATTTATCAAAAGGGCGGAAATATGATGTTTCTCTCTCTTTGTCGCACACTGTTGCCTTCTCTTTCTTCGAATTCGATCGCGTTGCCGCCTAGCGGTGGAACCAGAGTACTATTTCTCGACAAACTTGGGCGTTCTGCCGTAGATGGCAGTGCAGTCGACTAGAAAGAGAGATAGCGATAGTGTGCGACAAAGAGAGAGAATAACACATTAGTTTCATTAAATTCGTTGAGAAATTACTGTTCGAATGTTGTCAGTGTTCTATACTCGATAACTAGAGTACAAAACTGAATAAATTATTAAAGAAAGTAATCACGAATGAAGTTACAATAAATGATAACTATTTATTTCGGAATAATATGTTTGTTTACAAAAATTATAATCGGATCGTTTGGTTGTGTAACATCGCCTCGAAGTATACTGGAATTATCGGCTGTCGAAGTATAATTAGTAATTAATTTAAATAAAAAATTTGTGGAAAGATGACTTTAACAATGCCACGGATCTATTAAGAAACTAGAAATGCACAGAAGTATTTAGTAATACGATTTGTCTTCTTTCTCTCCTGCCTTGTTGCCTTTTCATTTTAATCATTCGCTCCTATGAACGTTGAATCCACAAAACTTTAAAAAGATACTAGAAAATACGGACTTATTTTTTTTATTTATTACTCTTGAAAATGTGTAGATTTGATAGAAATACGGATAAATACTCTGTAACAGAAAGTTATTTAATGGATTAGTCGCTGATGGACTCCAGCAAGAGTTCGACAGTTCGGAAGAAAAAGTTAATGTAAACTAAAAATACATTTTCTAACGATTAAATTCATATTATGGAATTCTCTATAATTCGAGCTCGAGGTTTATAACAACGCTAGTTCGAACAGTAGAATGGTCTTGTAATGGCGAATTATTGAGCCCCAACTGTATTAGAAATGAATAAAATTTCAGGAAAGAGAGTTTAAGCTTACAGTACCTGCCGATAGTTCCAAGACTTCCCTTCGATTTATCAGGTAGACAGTAGTCTGGGCTTTTGGTGGTGTACAACAGATTATCGTGATGATACAATGGCGGCAGTCGTCCGCCAGAGCTTGGTCGAACCTCTGCCGCGGTTGTGTATCGTCGAAGGAGACGATTCCCTGCGGCCGAGGGTCCCGAAGAACCGAGTCCTCTCCAGCAGGTACGCACGCTGCACGATCCGGATACACCGTGGCACTTGCATTCCAAGGTCAACGATTGTTCCACAGCCTTTGTAACAATAGTATACGTAACGTTACTATGTATTGTTAGATCTGGGAAAAATTTCAATGGGGGATTCTAGAGGCCAAAATAAGACGAAAATCAAGAGTAGCAATTTGTTGATGGAGGCTTCGTTAAAAAGTTATTAACGTTTAAAGTTAAAGTGTGCAGCGTGCACGGTTGCCGTCTCACAGGTGCAACTATAAACGTTAATAACTTTTTAACGAAGCCTCAGTCGAGAAATTGATATTCTTGATTTTCGTCTTATTTTGCCCTCAAGAATCTCCCAAGGTATGTATATCCATTATTTTTCTTTATAATGTCTTTGTTATAACTCGTGTATATCCTTGCATTACATAGAATAACGTTTCGAATATTTTACTAGGATAGAAGCTAGCTAAAAGAGTTCTTCTAACATTAACTATGTTCTTGGTTTCGTATTACTTTATACTAATACAAGGTGTTTTTAATAGGTCGGCTGATTGGCTGATGCATCGTTCCGGATGAACAACCACCGCTGTGTAAGGACTTCCCGGAAAACAGGAGACCTCGATCACCCAGAGCCTCCAATACCAAAAGACGCACACGCTGCAATGTTCGCGAAATGTTGGCAAATTGCTGAAGACATAACCCCCAATTGCTAAGAGCATAAACCCAGGCCGCGAAAGCCTAGTATCCGATCTCATATTTGACACAAGGTATCAAGCGTGTATCGGTGTAAAATATTACAGAATCATTCCCGCCAGAAAGCAGCGTATTAATTACCCTTCGACCTGCCCGGTTGTTGTGCATATTAACAGCGTGCATAAACTTGGCTGTTGCACCGGTACCAGGAGGTGTCGCGCCCTGAAGAAATCTCTTGGCCATCCGTGACGCTGATCGAACATCGTCCCCGCAGCCGCCCCACTTGAACGAGTTCCTGGCGGACAACGTGTTGAAGGAGACGGACGTCGCGGTGAACGACGACGGCGAGATCAACGCGGACGGCGACGGTGGCTCTCTTCGCGGTGGCGTGGCGCAGGAACAAGCCGCGAGGCTTCCCAGCGCGCATCCCCTTGCCAGCCTCCACACTGCTGCAGCAGCCGACATAGCGTACACGAAGGCTTGCTCCCTTGTTCCTGTTCAACGAACAAAAAGAACATACAAGGTCGTCGCGCCGAGTTTTCTATTACAACTTAACACTTTGACGGCCGCTGTCTCACGTACACGTGTTACTTTGGAAGCGAACAGACGTTGGCCACTGTCACGTGTGCATGATCTACCGTATGAGTCACCATTTCATCATACATTCAAGTTATTAGATTTATAATTCATTGTAATAATATTCCTAGCATCTTCGTGTATCTCACTTTGGTCTACAATGTCAGTGATGAAGAACAATGGTCTTCGCGTGATACGTGCGGCCATTAAAGTGTTAAGGATGTAGGACTCTTTGAGTAAGACATACGAGGGTTGCACAATAAGTCCTTGGAAAGAGATAGAGAAACAAATTATTTTAGGTAGATTTTTTTGTTATTTTTCAACATTATTAATCTCCTTTTAACTTTCCAAGCGTTTCTCCAACTTTTCCAAGCCATCTAAAAAGCAAGATTTCAGAAGCTCCTCAAAATAGGCATGGTCCTTAGTACGCCAGGTTTTGGATTTTCCAAGGACTTATTAAACGACCCACGTATTACAAATAACTGCGGAAACGAAAGTCACCCTTAATTTTCTTCAAAACTTCTTTGATTTTTTATTAAAATGTAGGTGAATAATGACATTTTCAAATTGTTTATCCACTAATAATAGTTGTATTTTATTTCTTACAAGCTTCCGTTTTATTATACGCTAATAAAAATAGTCGATCAAGGAAATTTCGTTCCCGTGGCGTGGATGCCAAATTTCGAGCTTCGATGTAGTATCTATTTGTTTAAAAGTATGATACTGCGATTTCCCGGTAATTCTGAATATTTGGAATTCACCTGACAAGAAAGCGTATCCCTTCGACGTACCTAAATTAAATCGGTAATAGCACACAGTTCGGTACGTATTCATAATTTCCCCTCTTTGTTGCAGATTCGAAATAATTGAACGAAAGCTGATTAGCGTGCTGACGTTACCGGGTATGAAAAGGGAGGCGCCTCGAGTTCCCAAACAGATATCGGGCGTCTCTGTTTCCTCATCGGCAATAAAATTCAAGCTAGGCTTCTTGGTTTCTCGTTAACGGAAGATCCCCTTTCAAGGTACTCTTTTATGTATAATATAATTATCATTAAATGGCGAACGATTAATCCGGAGGGGGGAGTAGAACGAACGAGAAAGGACCGGAAGCACCGCTTTGGTAATTACTACTAATTGAGGTCTTCCTATTTATCTTGAAATTCTTCAAAGGACTCACGTATTCTACGCATCTGATATTTTCATTTTATGCGTACGTTATAAAATTTATACCAAAGTAGTACGAGGATACCATTGGCTACAGGCCGGCCAACAATGCATTGACCGCATTTCTAACAATAATTTGCTTTTCTATCGTTTTTTAAGGATTTAAAGAACGACCCTACGAAGGAAGACGTGTTATAGAGTGCCTAGTGTAATCAGTCGACAGCGTTAGCAAGTGACAAGCAAAAAACGGAGCTGCTAAGTGTTGAGGTGACACGTGGACGATATATTGTACTAGAAATTTATATGTATAAATATACATGTTAGTTTTTCTTATACAGTGTATCGCGTCTCGATGGAAAACGTACCGGTGAGTAATTCGGGCGTGTAATCTGGCGCACGTTCGATGCTACTGCAGTTCCACCTACGATGTCGAAATGCTTGCTGGCATAAGGTCGAGGTATCCATCGCTGCTTGCACCAGGCTAGGCATCACGTCCGGGGTGGCTCTGCATGCTCTTGCCTGCTTCCTCTCCAGAAGACCGGAGCTTTTGACGCTGGTGCAGGATTCCCTCGTCCACGAGTAACCATCGCCTGTGCGGCTGAGAGCTCTGAAAAAGAAAACAACATTCAAATTACAAATGGTACCTTTCCTCGCTACTTTTATCTCAACTAGAGATACATTTACATTTTCAATACCCTTCGATTTTGAACGAATTACGTTGTTGAAAATTCCAACAATTTATACCATAGGACAAACAACAAAACGATGTATCAACTGTTTGTAATAAAACGACACAGAAGGAACAACAGGCGGTAGCGTGTTGTGTATAAATTACAATTATGTACGTCGATCATTCAAAGCGTAACGCATAGGTATTATCACGCGTATGATTGTTAGAAGATTGTGTAAATTATGTAAAGAATGAACTTCGTGGAAACATTGTACAGGATGGTTGGCGGAGTTTGCGTAACCGAAAGACGATGGAAAAATGTAAAGGTCGAGATTGAAATTGTCGTCGCGGGTGATTCGCGCGCTGTAACGGGGGGCTGTTCGCGACGGAGGGTAAATTCTTTGCGCGTGGCTCGGTCGTAGCCCGTAAATCAGGGGTGAATTTCGAAAATTATAGGCCGTGAGGGTGAAAGGTGCTTTTAAGCGCCGCGGCTGGATACCGTACAGAAGATAATTACGGACACCTGAAAGTCAAAATGGTTCGAGCACGGATACGTCTAGACCCGTAACAGTTCTGGGAATGGCCGGCGCGCCAACCCCGTGTCAGGAACGTACTTTCGAAATTACCCTATCAAAAGGTCGTAGCTCTAATTCATTATTCTGTCGCTGACTGCTGCTGTGACACTGTGCTTTCCAAGATGCCGTTCGCCGCGTTATAAACCCCCAATCCCCCATTCACGACACTTTCCTAACTTCATCCCCACCCACTCGTACGTATCTTCTGCTACGTACTGGCAAATTAATTTTTTTACCTCTCACTGCTATGCTATTCGTAATTTTCAAATATAAGTTGACGAGGATCACGTTTGTAAAAAGGTTGGAGACACACAAACATACAGCCAAACACAAATGTAATTTTATTTCTTTTTATGCATCGATACAATTGTATTTTAATTGTATTTTAACTCTGTAATATTTATTGCACTATTCGATACAGTGTTTTAATCCATATGGAATAGTTTAACAGTCATAACTTGTAACAATTTAAAGTGAAATAATTTAATGTACTTTAAATTGCCATAACTCTTGAACTATTAGATTTATGGCATAAGTGCCTTAATACTATTTTGTAAAGCTCAAAAAACTAGATCGAATAGTGCTGTCGCATTCGTAAATTTTCATTTTATAAAAAGGATGCAGTTGCATCGGTGCATCTCGTAAGTGCAATTGCACTTTTAACAAAATTAGAATTTTATAATTTTGATCGCGCTATTCGATGCAGTTTTTAAATCACTACAAAAGAGTATCAAGACACTTGTGCTCTATACCTAATAGTTACAGAATTATACCACTTTAAAGTTTATTAAATTATTTCAATTTATGTTGTTATAACTCTCGAACTATTAGGTTTATGGCATAAGTACCTTAATACTATTTTGTAGAGCTTAAAAAACTAGATCGAACAATGCCATCAAACTCATAGAGTTCCATTTTTAAAACGGATGCAGTTGCATCGGTGCATCTCATAAATGCAATTGCACTTATATGTATATTTTCTCCGCCATATAGACATCAAAATGAGATCGATCAGTTTCTAATTAATCTGAATAAAATAGCGAATCTTTTCACATATCAAAAAACTGAAACCAATGCCAATGATCTTTTAATGATTTTTCAAACCAAACATTCGAAAGAGAATCGATGCAGAGGTTTTATCCGTTCGAGAAAGTCTTAATAGAACGATTGTCGATATTATACGTACGTCGACAGGCCTCAATTGTTTCAGTTATTATATATGGTATAGATACAGACTGGTGCCACGCCCGTTTAAAAGATAACTCCATACATATGTATATCGCGCCAAGGCGTCGTCGTTCAATCGTAAATATAATCATAAATCGGTTTCGTATCGTAATTCGTATCGTTCGGCGCCTCGTCATTACTTGATCGATGCAAATACGATCGGATGCTGTTGTCACCATCGGTGTATTTGTCTGTCCATGCGTGAACGCGTCGAACCATAAGAAATACGCGAAACGCTAGACCAAAGCTGATTTCCCGTATGAATAAGTTATGAATTTCATTCTATTAATTAAGCACGACAAGCGGGGAATCACCGTCGATTATCCATCGTGATTTATTTATTTGCTGGATAGACTCTTCGATACGTAATTTGCACGTAAAGCGAGATGATTTATTTAAAGGAAAAATTTGTCTCTATTTTCCCCAATTTTCTTGCAACCAACGTTTAACCTAAAACTCGAGGCGAACATGCGTTCGGGGAAGTAAGAAACGAACAATCTTAGGAAACGGATTCAACATTCTAGGAACGACACTTGACAGATTGGCTATGCAATTATGTAGATTGCTTGTCTAAAACTCGGTTGCCCGATAGGCGGTAATTATTTTCATAGGAGAACGCGATTCGCGTTATCTCGATGGCGTATAGAAAATTTGCTTTCGTTTTAAACGCCTGATTGACAGAATTAAACGTCAGACGCGACTTTATAAACCTTTTAAATGTTTGTTTCGACAGATCGAAAACAAAAAATACTGCGAAACGAATACTTTGATACTTGTGTAAAAATTCGTCTCTAAATTAATACTAGTTTTCCACTCGAATGACCGAGCAACGCAACGTGATTTTATCGTTTTTTCTCGGGTTATTCGTAATTAGCAACGCTCGCCGGAAACGACCAATTTTTTTTTATTAAATAATCAAAGAATAGAATTTTTATTTCGGAATTATTAACGTCGGTTTTTATTTTAATTAGAAGAAAAGAAATTTTTAAAGATGTAGCAGAGGATATACAGAAATGAACAATAAACGACACATAGATTTTAGGTTACGTTTAATGCATATAATACGTATCGTTGCATACATCGTATCGGTAGTGGTATTGCCCAGTGTTGTACTATACTAGAACAAAAGATGGCGCGCATGCCCGCCAACGAGGTAAAAAGAAATACCGCCAAAATGGTAACGAGAAACATTTCCAACAAGAAAAAACAGATACAATGAATTTTCATTGCAGATGAGGTGAATACGATCCGCAAATGGTTAAGAAGACAACCGTGAAATCGACATAATCGACAAAAAAAGGGTAAGAAAATTAAAATAGTTATTCATACGTATAAAGGCGACATCTATAACGTTTCTGTTTGTAAAATGAGACGTGACCGGTCAAAGGTTAAGATAATTACCGGGTTTGTCGGTCGATTAACATCATTGCTTAATAAACTGAGCGAGTTCGTAAGAAGGTTTACGTGGAATATAGCTTAAATTGCGCAACTGTAAATAAATCATCGGGTGGTAACAGTGTGACGGAAACAGTTCGGATAACCAATTTGCACCGCGCGCGGTTACCATTTGTTAAGAGTTATTATTCATACGAAATGTACGTATAGATGTGTATGTATACATATAACGTGGCCACAATCATTTCAATTAGCCAATAGACGCATATTTGACGCAATCTCGACGATCGTAACGAGATCTTGGCTCGCGGGACCACCTATGTAGTGCACAACGAGTCCGGCAACTTGTAGAAGGAGCTTTACGAATGAAGAATATCGTACGTTGCTCTGTCCCGTTTCTACGTACGTACGTTCATCGTGCTTTATATCGATATCGACTTACTTCCCCGGAGCTACAGCCACTTGCAAAATTGAGCGTACACCTTCGTTGCCAATGACGATTCTCGGGAAAATAAACAAAAGCAAAGACAGTCTATACATTTTATTTGGATATTTCGATGGTTAATTATTTGAGAGAAACTTTTTTTAAAACGAACAAGTTATATTTAACGCTAAACGTAAAAATAGTCTTGTTTTGTTGTCGCAAGAAAAATAACAAACCTTGTGCATCTATAATTGCCTTTAAATGTTTTTTTTATTGTCGAACTCGTAATATTGTTTCGAGTATTACAGTATAGAGTTTTATCGAGAAATTAACTGCTGAGATATTCAGATAAAGTATATATTCTGTCTTTACGTTTGAAAATGTCTGTTTTCGTTCATTTCTCCGACCAATCATCATCGCCCAACATAGGCGTACGCTCGATCTTGCGAATAACTGTATGTTCCATTCTATTTCCAGCAAATAGTATGTCATTTCACTTTTTCAACCAGCATCGTACCGTTTACGTGTCTCGACAGTCGCCATTTCGACCCGAGCATCGAACGGAAAATGAAAAATTCCAAATCTATACCCTCGTTACCGTCTATTTTAACGGCGAACGTTTATTATTTATTTTGAAAAATAGCACGGACCGCTTGCTCGACCGATTCATTTGTTTTCTTGATTTAGAAGCCACGATGGGAAACGTTGGGAAGCTGTAATAGAGTTTCTTGTACTCGCGGCTCAAAAGTACCAGCGAATACTATTAACGCGAGACGAAGAGCTGATATACGTTACCACGTCGACAGATATTAGCCATAATGGTGTAACCGTGTATGAGAGATGATAATTATTTAGTGGTGAACCAGAGATTACGCGATATTAGTCCAGAACAATCTTTTTTGTTCGTCGAAAAATGTCAGCACGTATTCGAATTTTTTTCTCGAAAATGCGTAGGATTTCGAAGGTATGTCCAATGACCAAAAATGATTGTAATTTACCTCCTTAGCTAATAATAATTTTTTTAAGATGATTTGAAATTTTTCAATTTCGGCGAAAAATTTCTGCATCTACTCGAATTTTTTTCTCGAAAGTGGGTAGGAATTCGAGGTTATGTCCAATGACCAAAAATGATTGTAATCAACCCCTGCAAACGAAAATAATTTTTTTAAAATGATTTGAAATTTTTTTTTTCGTCGAAAAATGTTAGCACCTATTCGAATTTTTTTCTCGAAACTGGGTAGAATTTCGAGGTTATGTCCAATGACCAAAAATAATTGTAATCAACTCCTGCAAACGAAAATAATTTTTTTTAAATGATTTGAAATTTTCTTTTTCGTCGAAAAATGTTAGCACCTATTCGAATTTTTTTCTCGAAACTGGGTAGAATTTCGAGGTTATGTCTAATGACCAAAAATGATTGTAATTGACCCCTGCAAACGAAAATAATTTTTTTAGAACGATTTGAAATTTTTTTTTCGTCGAAAAAATTTCACATTTTCTCGAATTTTTTTCTCGAAAGTGGGCAGGAATTCAGGGTTATGTCTATTCACCAAAAATGCTTGTAATTGACCCCTGTAATAGAAAATAATTTTTCCAGAACGATTTGAAATTTTTAAATTTAATTGTTAATAACTTTTTAAGGAAGCTTCAAACGAAAAATTGATGTTCTTGATTTTCGTCTTATTTTGGCCTCTAGAGTCCCCCATTAAAATTTTTTCCAGGGTTGGTCGAACACCCTGTATTAGGTGTACAAATGAATAATTTCAATTATCTTTTGCAGTTATAAAATCAAGTTGGAGATGGAATTCATCAGCTGGCTGAAAGATGGCTTAAAATTATAGGAAGCAACGGCGAATACTTTAATGGAACAATTCAATTTACCTTCTTTTGAAAGAAACATTGAATGTGGCTGATATATTGCTGGTGAATATTACAAACTCGCTTAATTTTGAAAAATTTGGAATTAAGTGAAAACTAACAACAATTTTTAATAATTCTTGGCGCAATTAAATTGTAATTGCGTAGAATTCTGGTATCGGGGAACCTAGTTTCGTTTCCATTTTAGCTGGATCCGCCTGCGGCTGCACACGAGGGCCCCACAGCCGGGGAATGGCAGGGGCCTATTATCGGCCCCGTAAAATCACCAGTTTACGATTTCACCAGTCAAAATGAATTTCGAAGTAGCATCCGACTCCGGCGATACTTGTCCGTTCGGATCGTACGTCATCGGATTTTATTGAATATCCGCGCATTTTCATAAAAATGTTCAGCTACTAGCATGAACTTCCACGGAGAATAAGCTCGTCCTTACACGCTCTTTCGTTCCTTCTTCTCTTTCGTCACGATTTAAGATCGAGGCTATTGTGAAAAGAACCGTGGCTGCCGATCGTATCGAACGAAACGAGGAAACTGGATTATCATTACGAACTTTTTCCTGTATTTCCATTTAACCGGGATATTTGATCGAGTAAACTGGTTATTATAATTAGGCGCATAGAGACTCTGTTTTAGAGAACCGTGTGTTAGCGATAAGCACTGTTCGAACATTTTTATACAGTCTTGTTTTAATCTACTTCGGTTCCTTTTTTAGAGAAATTATAATACGTGTAAATTTGAGCGTTTTACGTGGAAATTTCTTAGAGAAACCAAAACAGTGTAGCCTCGACCGAGTACAGGGTATTGTATAGTCTGAATCAGAACCTATCAAGCAACTGTAACAAAGAGTACGGACGATGCATGTTACCAACGGTTAATCGCTTCATGTTACCGATAATGAGTACAGAGGTACATCTTACCGACGCGATAGTCAAATAACAAACCTGGTACACGAGTAGATTTTACACCTTATGGACTTTCGTAGCCTAATTTCACTGCCATATCGGCCTGAGGTGCCTAAATTTTTCGAAGAAAAAAATTTTTCTCAAATCGTTCTGGAAAAAATATTTTCGTTTGCGAGGGTCAGTTACAATCATTTTTGGTGAATAGACATACCCTCGAAATCTTATCCACTTTCTAGAAAAAAATTCGAGAAGGAGTGAAATTTTTCGGCAAAATTAAAAAATTTCAAATCATACAAAAAAAATTATATTTAGTTGCAGGGGTCAATTACAATCACTTTTGGTGAATAGACATACCCCCGAAATTCTACCCACTTTCGAGAAAAAAATTCGCGGGGAAATGTGAAATTTTTCGGTAAAATTAACAAATTTCAAACCGTTCTAAAAAAAATATTTTTTGTTGCAGGGGTCGATTACAATCATTTTTGGTGAATAGACATACCCCCGAAATCCTTCGCATTTTCGAGAAAAAAATTCGAGTAAGTATTGAAATTTTTCGACGAAAAAAAATTTTATTATAATTCATATTTTATTATATTGTCGATTTGTCTCGATTATCAATCCGACGAGAATGAACTTTCGTGGACGGCAACGGTTGTATCGAACGCGCCGGTTACGTGACAAATGCCCCGGACGTAAAAACAGAAAGGAACGCAAGACTAGTTCATAAATTGTCAGAAATATATCGAGCCCTCAAGACCACGCATCTCCTATCGTACTGAAAGTGACAGGATTGATGTAATTCTGGCCCCCTCGAGTGGCAAGAAAAAAGAATCACTGTACGCAACTCGGCCGTGATTGCCCTTCGATTATTCTTCGTTGTTGGTCTCGATGATTATAAACAAAAGAAGAAAAGGGGGTGGGGGTGGAGAGCAAAAGATTGCACAGGTCTCGAGAAGGGATCCGAGGAGAGAGAGGCTTCTTGGAAACGGCGTTTATAAATCACCAATTGCGGGCAACCCCTAATCTTCCACCCTGTTCAAACGCCAACCCTCCCGACTGTACTGTCTTCCTTTCGTACTTTTATTCCCCCGTTCCTCCCGCGTTTTGGTTTTGCACGCAAAGCTACCATCACTCCACCATTCATCATCCGACGCCGAGCAACCTTCTCTCTTTCTGTTTCCGCTTTTTCAGCCCCCCGTGACCCCTTCCCTTCTACCTCCGCGCCCTATTTCATACCCCCCTCCCCCTTCACCCCCGATGAAATTCGCCTCGAATCACAGGATAATTAACGTCAACGAGCAGCTATGCAAAATACAGGACATTTCATCGGCGATCGCCTCCGGCGTCGATGATAATGGGATATCTTCATGCTTTCTGACCGGTCAACGAATCGTCAACCAACGAAAAGATCAATTATCCACGAACAAAACGTGTCTCATAAGCCAATAGTACATGGCGTAGCCAACATACGTGACAGAACCTTCCAAAATTAATCTAATTTTTGTTCTTTAACCCAGATATTAGAACTACCAAAGCAGTCCAAATTCGTTGTTTCTAATAAATCTCGTAAAAATTTACAAAAAAAAAAAAATTGCAAAATTTTTGTAAATTTACAAAATTCTATCGTTTCAATTTCTTTGCTACAAGTAAACGCGCTATAATCGTTGATAGTTGCGGTGTTAACGAAAAGGGAGAACGTGAATTAAAACAGCGAACTACGCGTATACGTATGTATATCAATCGAATGTTTAAACAAAATAACCAGGATCGTTACTCGGGCGGGTTCGTTTCGACGGAATATTTATGGAAAGTTGAAAAAGGTAGCCTAAGAAGAAACGATTCCCTAATAAACTGAAATTCGATGTTATTCTTCGTGCATAAGAGACCTTCGAATGCATAATAAATCCTCGTTGAGACTTATTGTTCCCGCGGGCCACGCACAACAAAGAAAACAAGCAGGAAAGGAATCTTCATAATAGAGCAGAAGAATCGTTTCTTGTTTCATTTCCATTCTTTTTCCCCATCGCGGTACATATATCTTTCTTAGCTATTAACCTATTTGTTTCTCATTAACGGATCCACATTAATCTTCGGACCTTATTTGGGGGCTCTCGCGAACGAACCCTGGATCGTCCAAATGCTCGTCGTTATTTTAAATTTTTATGAGTCTCGATACCAGTCGTATAGTAGAATCGTTCAAAACAGAAAATTGTTCCTATTTATCAATGAAATTTACTCAGAATCAGTTACATTGCTTGTATGAAATAGTAATTCATGGAAATTCATATTTCTATTAACAGAATTAAAGAAATTTTTGCCATTATCTCGACCCCTAAATACAATAATTCGTATCTCCAACTATTCCTAATATTCTTGCATATTAAGTGGATTTTGTAGATTTTCGAAAATTAAAATTTCCCATAATCAGTGAAAACTTTCGAGCTCAGAGCCTCCCAGAGCTTTTAGGCATAAAACACGCAAGAACGCCAAGATCCGTTGCACAAAAATTAATCAACAATTCTCATAAACGATTCGGATACTCGAGACTCGTGAAGCAATTTAAAGGACAATAGCCTGCTAACGAAATCGCATTATTACATCTGGTACTCACAGCCACTTGATGCACTTGCCACCTTGAAACAGCAACAAGAAGAAAAGCAACCAAGCGTTGGCACCGCTTCTCTTCGTTACCACCATTTTTGCTCACTTTACATTCTAAACAAGGGCCTCTCTTTCGAAGTTCGACAACTTGGAATAGTCTCTCGTGTTCGTTTCAGGGACCACTGCGTTTCTCTCGATGATCGGTGGATCGTTTCACGTCAGGCGGCGGTACTCTGGTCGCCTTCATTTTCAAAACCTTTCAAACGATTCCTCGCGACCAATCGACTATTTAATCTCGCCAATACCGTTTTCAGGATACAAAGTGAACATTGGTGTCCGTTTAAATACGACAGGCACTCCACGTTTCTGTTACGACTCGTAATAATTGTCCAACGATCGAAAATCACTGGCGAAATCGCGATCGTTTGGTCTGTTCCGGCCATACGGTGAACATCGCGATTAAAGTCGATTTTCCAAACGATCCCGCGCGCGTTCGACGGAATTGCATTATCGTTTGCTCAACTAATTAACGAAACACCGATTTTTTTGGATTTGGAAAAAAAAGTCACTGTCGCGCCACGGGATTAATCGTAGATCGATCGAGAAACGGGACGCGCGAACGTCGGTACCCTACCTTGAACGATCTGCGAACGATACGATTCGTTATTGGGGAAGTTCCTTCGCGGTGTTCCGTTCGGCAGGGAGTCTGCGTGGTTACAGGTGTCCGTCGAGCCGTCCTGCAGGATTTGCCGGTCGTCGTGGAGGTGGAATCCTCCTACTACCTACTCTATTTCCTCCTACTTCGCCTACTCGTTTTTCGTTGGACGGTGAACCGGTCATAGGGATGGCGATCTGGACGCGAAACACGATCAAATCGACCAAGGGAGGAGACGGGGATCGATACGATCGATGATTGTGTGACATAACGTCTAGTCGCGACGATAATCGAGAGACCTACCGCTGTTCGTTCGTCGAGTCCAAGATTCGCGTAGATCAATTTATAAAGAAACTTTTCTTCCTGAAATTTTTCGGCGCAAAAAAAAATTTTCAAATCGTTCTGAAAAAATTGTTTTTAGTCGCGTGGGTCAATTACAAACATTTTTGGTGAATAGACGTACCCCCGAAATCCTATCCATTTTCTAGAAAAAAATTCGAGAAGATGCCTAAATTCGGCGAAAAAGAAAAATTTCGAATCATTCTGAAAAAATTATTTTCGGTTGCAGAATCCCATTACAATCATTTTTTGTCATCACACATACCACCGAAATTCTACGCATTTTCAAGAAAAAAATTCGTGAAGATGCCTAAATTTTTCGATGAAAAAAAAAAATTTCGAATCATTCTGAAAAAATTGTTTTTAGTTACGAGGGTCAATTACAAACATTTTTGGTGAATAGACATACCCCCGAAATCCTATCCATTTTCTAGAAAAAAATTCGAGAAGGAGTGACTGTATTCGATGTGAACTTAATTCGGGATCCTTCGTATTTTTGAAATTTTACGATTTATATATCGACCGAATCGCCAGGTGTGTGATTTCAAATGACCAATCACTGCATTATAACGATTTAAAAAATTCACTCTGACGATTCGTATTCGATGTGAACTTAATTCGGGGTTCTTCGTATTTTTGAAATTTCCTTTTTTTGAGATAGCGTTCTTCGAATGCTAGTAAAAATAAATTCTGTCCGATAGCGTTTCGTTCGTTTATACTGCAGGCTGATAGAATTCGAGTTGGAATAATGAGCGTCGGCCTACCTTCTCATCTTGGCTCCTTCGGATATTCTTCTAACTCTCGCGGTGTCGATAAATAAACCTCTGTCAGGCGTTCATTACGTCGTTAAGGAGTTATACTACCTTGACCGGTCCAAAACGAGCAGCATCTTGACCAATATTTTTTTTTATAGAGAATATATATGCCCTCGATCGAAATGATCTTCTTATCGGTTATAAAGCATTTCCTGATCTGCAACCACCAATTTAAACAAAAAGTATTTACATTTATTCATGGCGGAACGACGGTGTTACAGGTTTTGCGTGTCAAATTAACCCTTTTATTCCCCTTTTTACGAGTCACGATTTCTCTACAATTCAAGCCACTGCAATAACGTTATTATTACAAAATAAAAATTACATATACTTTTGTTATTGTTTTGAGAATCAATGTATATACATTATTGCTTCTGTTGTGTGATAAACTAAAATAGATAACAAACAGATATGTCAAAGAGTTTTTATTTCAAATCAATTTGTTTAGCAGTTAATGGAGGCTTCCTTAAAAAGTTATTAACAATTAAATTAAAAAATTTCAAATCGTTTTGGAAAAATTATTTTCAGTTGAGGGGGTCAATTACAATCATTTTTGGTGAATAGACATACCCTCGAAATCCTATCCACTTTCGAGAAAAAAATTCGAGGAGTAAAATTTTTCGACGGGAAAAAAAAATTTCAAATCGTTTTGGAAAAATTATTTTCAGTTGAGGGGGTCAATTACAATTATTTTTGGTGAATAGACATACCCTCGAATTCCTATCCACTTTCTAGAAAAAAATTCGAGAAGGAGTGACATTTTTCGACGGAAAAAAAAATTTCAAATCGTTTTGGAAAAATTATTTTCAGTTGTGGGGGTCAGTTGCAATCATTTTTGGTCGTTATACATACCCCCGAATTCCTACGCATTTTCGAGAAAAAAAATTCTTTACCGAAAATCTAATTAGGTGATTTTTTTCTAGGCACCAGCGAACTAAACGGGGCAAGGGCAAGGAGAGAAGGTCTACGCACCGCCTTATTCCCCACCATAGAGGCTACATAGTACTAGGATCTCCATAACCGCAAGAGATACACTTTTCTTCTATCCGTGGCTAATATTTTGAGCCTACGGTTACGTCAAATGACTCTCAGTCTTCTTCTCCTATCCTACTCTGTCCCTGTACGTAGCTGTGAGCAACTCAGCTAATAAGCTATCAAGCTACGGCCAATCGGCATGCCTAGCCATCAAGTAATCGCTGTACAGTACATGGACATTTCGAAAAAGCATCAAAGCTACTCCAGAAAGGTGCAAATGCTTTCCCCTAGAACTGGAACTCCCCTCCACTTGCACGTTTAGCTAAAACCAATTTAAGAAACATGTTCTCCTGGTCATCGTCACCGGTGTACTTCCTTTTAGATCCAATTCCAATCGAGGGTACCCTAATCGACGCGTACGTTCCTCCCTTCTGAACCATTTCTTTCGGATCTCGAGATCTTCCCGGACCTTCTCACGTTTCTGTTATCGCTTTAAGAATATTTCGCTTGGTGATTACTGTAAACTGAACAAATATCGCGGCGAGACGAACGTCGTTTATTGTAAACGGTACGTCGAGGCGTCAGGCGAACGTGATTCCACGGACGAGAAAGTTATAAATTAATGCACGCTCCCAGCTATTATGCAAATCACGCGAACGAAAACGCTTACTTTGAATTTACAATCGCAAAACGGTCGGTTTAGCGAGATGTAAAGGGGAGATGGGAGCGAGTTAAAAACGGTTTATTGGCAGAGGACAGCCGCTTCGTTGGTTTCAGATTATTTCCTGGCATTATTCGCCGAAGACGTCCACGACAAAAAGGGGCAAACAGATCTGGCGACAGCTGCTTGGCTATTAAAATCGACTTAAACCTTCAAACCCTCGGCATGATTGCAAGAGTTACCTCTCATACCACGGATCTACTCCGCCGTCGATATTCCGCGCAATCGCGTACAAAGCCAACGCGCGTACACGCGCAAATCTCTCCCAAGAAATTACCAAATTGATCAACGGAAATAATAATTAGCAAACAAACAGTATCGTTCCTTTGTTGACGTTACAAATTGCCTTTCGATAAAATACCAAAAGTCTAAATGTTCTCTTTCGAACGATGAAGACATCATCATCGATGTCTCTGTTTTTTTATCAAATTTCTATTCGTTCCTTTATCATTTAAAACAGATGTTATTAGATTAATATGGAGAGAAATATTAACTATCGTTTGTTACAGAGTGTCTGGTTGGATTTTCACTCACGGAGGCAATTCCACCGATCCAGCGAATTATCAAAGGCTTCTTTTAAGGTAGGAGATGAAAGAGAAGTTTTTTTTTCTGACTGCCTTGAGTATGTTTATTGTTCAGCGAGTTACTGATTTAGTTTTGGCTGGAGAATGTGCTTCGTGAGCAGCGTGATGTCCTGTAGAGTCACGACGATGTTAATTTCCTTGTTTAACTTCATCCAGACGCAGGCAGGGTGGAACGTGGAACAGCGTTTCTATTTGTGCATGAATGGTTTCTTTCGATTACGATATTTTTTAGCGGTATTAAAGAAACTACCATCCCGACTAACTTCCGTATATTGTATATAATTGATTCGATATCGTGCAATTAAATTGATATCAACGTATTCCGCAACCACCGCGTACATTTGCATAATCTATAAATAATAACGTCTCCGAAAGAAGCGAACTTAGTCCGGTGGTAATAAACTTTTTGTCCCTTTCTACCCGACGCTACCCCGCTTCTCGAGTCACGAATTTCTAAATATACAGGGTGTTCGACCACCCTTGGGAGAAATTTTAATGGGAGATTGCAGAGGTCGAGATAAGAAAATCAAGAATATCAATTTCTTGACCGGGGATTCATTAAAAAAATATCGAAAAATTGCGAATTGTTCTGAAAAAATTATTTTTGGTTGCGGGGATCAATTACAAGCATTTTTAGTGAATAGACATAACCCTGAATTCCTACTCACTTTCGAGAAAAAAATTCGAGTAGGTACAGAAATTTTTGATGAAATTGAAAAATTTTAAATCGTACTAAAAAAATTATATTTAATTACAGGGGTCAATTGTAATCATTTTTGGTGAATATGCATACCCTTGAAATCCTACCCACTTTCGAGAAAAAAATTCGAGTAAGTACTGAAATTTTTCGACGAAATTAAAAAATTTAAAATCGTACTAAAAAAATTATATTTAATTACAGGGGTCAATTACAAGCATTTTTGGTGAATAGACATACCCTCGAAATCCTACGCACTTTCGAGAAAAAAAATGCTTCCCCGAAAATCCAGAAATGCTTCCTTGAAATTTCATGCGGATCTTTAAAATGTCATAACTCCTGAACGGATTGGAGGATTTTAATTTTCAAAAATGCAAACAACGCGTATTTTAGTGGAGAATATGTAGAAATTCTAACAATTTTGATGAAATTGTTCCTTGACACCGTAAAGTAAGAAAAACCCCCTAAAACTGGTCCAATATTCAAACGGCCATAACTCCTATAATAGCAAAGATATCTAACTGAAATTTTTTTCTGAGACAGAGCCCATGGGTGCCTACAAAAAAGTATTAGACAATTTTTCTATAGAGCGTCAAACAAATTTATTAAAAATGAAAAACAAGTTTTTAAGAAAAATTGCAAGGGCGTAGGTGCCTAAATTTTTCGGCGAAAAAAAAAATTTTCAAATCGTTCTGGAAAAATTATTTTCGTTTGCAGGGGTTGATTACAATTATTTTTTATCATTAGACATACCCTCTAAATCCCACCCACTTTCGAGAAAAAAATTCGAAAGTGTGTGAAATTTTTAGACGAAATTATAAAATTTCAAATCGTTCTGGAAAAATTATTTTCCGTTGCGGGGGTCAATTACAATCATTTTTGGTTATTAGAGATACTCTCGAAATCCTCCCCACTTTCGAGAAAAAAATTCGAGAATGTGTGAAATTTTTCGCCGAAATTGAAAAATTTCAAATCGTTCTAAAAAAATTATTTTCGTTTGCAGGGGTTGATTACAATCATTTTTGGTCATTAGACCTACCCCCGAAATCCTACTCACTTTCTAGAAAAATATTCATCAAATTCGTCAAATATTTTGGCCTCTGGAATTTCCCATTAAAATTTTTCCCATGGGTGGTCGAACACCCTATATAGGGAATTTCGTAACACGCGATACTTATTCCAGCGTTCGAGGGAAAATAAAGAAGGAATCAGTTAAACGATAATATTGAATTGTTTTCATCATTTTTGTTTTCTTTTTGCAACCAAAAATAGTATCACGTGTTGCAAAACACTCTGTACAGACCTTTTTTTTTATATTAAATGCCTTCTATAGACAAAAGAAAGGGAAAGAAATAGAATTACCTTCGTCCAGGATTCTAGCCACTTTGAACGAACGATTTGTAATCTTATCTTGTATTGCAAAATAATTATTATGTATCCAGTACTATCCAGGGCATCCATGTTCCATTGAAGTGTTCGGGTAAAGAGGCTGGATCCACTGGTGCGTTCGTTTGACGCACCAAAACCTTCTTATACCTCTCTATATAGAGAAGCAGCTTGTCGACGATCTATAAACGAAACAATTTTTAAACAAAATATAATCCCTTGTAAGAACTAAAAAGTATGAAAATCGGATTTGTAAAAAAGGGCTAAAAAGAAGTGAAAATTTTAAGAAGTAAAAAGTGTGAAAATCGTATTTGTAAAAAAGGGGGTAAACACAAATGAAAAATGTTAATTTCGATCCAACCTGCCTTTGGATACGCGAAAGACAAATCCGTGGTTTCGCAAGGATCGCTGTACACGTCGAACAAACACCTGTCCAAACATTTTGGGTGCGTTGTGAAATTCGTGCAAATCACCGTCGCCTCTTTTCGTAGCTTAATCATCTCCTCCAGTTTCAACGTAGACTTCGACGTGTCTGTAATCGCGGAACCTGCAAGCGATCGTAAAACATTCGATGCATCGTACTCTGGGTAGAATTCATTTATACCACTGTCTCCATAGTAGTCGCCGTACTGGAGTTTCGCTCCTTGAAACAAAAATACGAACAGAGATATTAAATTCTAAAGGTATGATTCCACTGAGGCAACACTATGCGACTTGTAATTAACTGACGACATTGCTCGACATGTTCAATGTTGTCGATTCGACAAAACAATATCAAATAATCCCGCATTTCTTTATTTCAGGAAGGAAACAAACGAGTGTGTAGCAAATACACATGTCAAGTGTCTACATAACGTCGACATGTTGCCTCAGTGGAATCACGCCTTTATACACGTGTGAACGAGGATCACAGTTTTCCATTACCATTGATCAGTTTATATTTTCCGATCAAAGCAGCCGAAGTATCTTCAACTTCGTCGATGTTTAGCAATAGATCCGTTCGATTGGTCTCATTTTCGGAGACGATGGTGAGCCACTGATCGGTACCGTCGAGATTTTTCTCCAAATCGTCCAAATCGCCGCCTGCGGCCGAGTAGAACGTTGGCAACCAATCCGTCACGTGGAACAAACGATTAGAAATTCTCGAGGCGTGTTTTATCAAAGGCGAATAGATGCACGCCACGCCGCGAACTCCACCCTCGAAAAGGGTGAACTTCAACTGAAATATCGTTTAAAAAACTCTTCTAAAAATTTTTAATCGATACAACATAATATTAGAAATAAATTCTATATTTTAAATGCACTCTTTCTATTCTATTTTTTTTTATGTACTGTACACTTCTCTGAATCAAATTTAGACACGTGCGTTTTTATTAATAATAACTCTGTTTCTATTATTATTTTATTATACGTATATGTACTATTTTTATGAGACGTTTCTTTTATACGCAACACGATTACTCGATACAACTTGTGTATTATTTGGAGCAGGTCGAGAAGTGTGTTTGTCGAGTACTTGTGAGAGAGGCAAAGGTCGAGCGCGTCCCTCTATCGGCGAGCGCGATAGTTATCGTCAGATATCAACACGTTGACTGCCAGACCCCTCAAATTAAAAGGAAAATTAAATTTTGTTTTTAGACAACTGGAACTAGCATACTAGCATACCAAGAATTTGTTATGGAATTTATTTTCACAGACTCGTTAAAATTCAAGGGCCCTAGCTTCATTTTCTTTTACATCTAATCTTGAGAATTAATTTTTTTAACTCCTTGGTGAAAAGTGGGTGACGTGGGAGTCAATGTGTTGAAGGAATTCAATTTGTTACCCCTCGTAGAGGATAGTTCGATCCAAAGTTCTCTAAAAGTCCCACAGTTTGTGCGCCATTGTCGGACATGAATACGACGATCGAATTCTCCAACATCCGCGTTTCCCTCAACGCCTTCATTATTCTGCCGACAGACTCGTCCAGTGCAGTAACAACACCTGAAATATTACTGCAATATTACAGATCTTTCGTTCGAAATTCACCCATTCGCGAATCAACTTGTTTTAGAAATTTGGGGCACGCTAAATATTAATTTACAAATAGATGAGACAATCGTTGTTATTCGTTTAGAAGGTATATGTTTTCTCTCCTTTGATAAAAAGTAATTATAAGAGAAGTTAAGTCGATCGAAATATAACTCGTATTCTTCGAGATACTATCAATTATGCACCTCCAAATTTTCTTCTGTCGAAGTCTTCGATGTGGCGTAGAGTGGAGTTCACTTCCACCGCGTCGCGAACTTCCATCACGTCTTTCGAATCGCTGGAATGAGGAGCAACGTGGGCCAATTGTAGATAAAGTGGTTTCTCACGATCGTGATTCGTTATTATACTTTCTGCTCTCTCCGTTATAAGATCGGTAATATATTCGTTATTATAATCTACGGACAGTTTACCAGGGATATCGTAGTGCAGATCGTATCCAGTGTAATTCTGTAAATTACCATTATACGTGTATGTCTATTGTTTACATAAAAATAGATTGTGAATTGTTGGTTTGTAGGTTCAGACACGGTTCTTCGCCCAGATTAAGTAAAAGAGAAAATGCAAGATTTATTTGTAAAATAAAATACAGCGATACAACACGTGGTGAGACTTAACCCTTTGCACTCCGAATTATATTTGAATTTTGTTACCAGCAGCTTCCAACGCTTTTAACACTTTACCGACCGGTAGCGGTTGATTAATCAGCTATCGGTCGGTAAGCGTTGGTCGGTAAAAAAGTTTATTAATACGCTATCGGTCGGTAAGTGTTGGCCGGTAAAAAAGTCGATTAATAGGCTATCGGTCGGTAATGTGTTAAGTGTTTTATTTGAAATTTACGTTAGCTAAAAAGTAGGGCAAATTGAAACAAATTCAATTAAATATCTGTTTTATTTACATTATTGTTGTATTTTTTAATTTTCAAGTGTATAGTGTTAAGACGACGATCCAAGGAGAGTCTAAAAACAGGGGAAAAGGGGGGCAGGCAGCAGCCCCAATCATACCCAGAAAGAAAGATAGATCTCTTGATCTCTTTGTTTCCAGAATTTGTTCGAAGAACCGTGACGACGTTTACAGATAAATACGACTTACATTTTGCACGGTGGTGTGATTAAAGTATGTAATGTAGCCGTTATAGTATCCAAAGAAGGTGTCGAAGCCTCGATGCACCGGCGTGTGATAGTCGCTGTAATAACCAACGTGCCACTTTCCAACGAGATGATTGGCGTACCCCAATTGTCGTAGATATTCCGGCAGAAGAGTATTATTCAGAGGTATTGCGCGTGGTTCGCCCGCCTTCAGCGGATAGCCTTGCATGCCTACGGTAAAAACGTGCTTTCTAATATCTGCCGTACAAATGAAGATTCATTATCTGTCAAAAGTATAAAGACTAGGATCGATTTATTATTATTGTTACGGTGCATACTTTACGTGGCGAACCAGTATGATTAATATAATGTGATTAGACCGTTGGCGTCTGTTTGCATAGTCGACCGGTCGATTAGTATGCGTTTTAATGATATACCGTGGTAACACGACGTTCGATTTTCACGTTACCAATACGTATACAGGGTGTTCGACCACCCATGGGAATTCTGGAGGTCAAAATAAGACGAAAATCAAGAATGACAATTTTTTGATTTTCGACAAAATTAAAGAATTTCGAATCATTTTGAAAAAATTATTTTCGGTTGCGGGGGTCGATTACAATCATTTTTGGTCGTTAGACATACCCTCGAAATCCTATCCACTTTCCAGAAAAAAATTCGAGAAGGTGTGGAATTTTTCGACGAAAAAAAAAATTTCGAATCGTTCTGGAAAAATTATTTTCTGTTGCAGGGGTTGATTGCAATCATTTTTGGTCATTAGACATACCCTCGAAATCCTACCCACTTTCCAGAAAAAAATTCGAATAGATGTTGCTCCTAATTAATATCCTATTAATGCCCTATGTGTCCGGGTTTCTTTTAGAGCTGCTCATGAGATTCAATTTCTATTGCTTTCGATATAATTAAATTTTCCCAATATTTAGTTGCAATTCTAAACATTCAGAGTGCGAAATTCGAATTCTGGTGTGAACCGATAACGTTGGAAGTGACACGGGAATGGTAAAGAGTAACCTAACCTAATCCGTACGATGCAACGTTGCATGTAACGTCTATTCTATATAATCTGCGCTTGAGTGTCGATATTTGATAATCGTCGTCGATATAAACGTGGTTTTCAGTGCTGATATGTACGTCGAATCGAAATAATGTGAATAATGTGAAATAATCGTGGTGTGCCGGAAAGGCGGGAAGGGGCTATTGCGTAATGCGCAAAATCCCGCCATTTTAGTAACCCGATCACGGTTTTGGAGGAAATACTTCGCGATGATCGACAAGGATCCGCGAGGATATTACACAAGCTTTATTGGTGTCAGTTTCTTATAACAAACTCTATGGACAGCCACCTATTGGATCAGATGACGAATAAATCCCATAAAACGATCGAAAGTGGAAAGAAGAGTAAGTCCCAACCAAGAAACTTTGTCGTAACTTTCGTCGTCCGGATCGTTTTTATCCGGACACTGGATATCCTGTAGCTGCCTTATTCTTTCGAAGGTTAGACAACCATATATAATAAATTTAATTAAATAAAAGTTATTAACCCTATGCACTCCACGAATTGTTTTCAACTAGTTGTGAACAACTAGTAACTTGAAAGCAACTTTGTGGTGGTGCTTCTGAGAATCGAAAGTGTTCGTTTTTTCTCAGAAAAATTAAAAAATATTTATTATCTCGTTTCGTTTATTCATTTTGCATTACTGTAAATTAAATTTGGACCAAGTTGTGTGCATATTATGTATACATATTCGTATGTTTGTCGCTGTAGCAGCGTCAGTGGGACGGCAAAGGGTTAATTGTTGTAAAAACCAAAAGAGATAACAAGAAAAGATATGAATAATACAGATCGCTTAACATATTTAATTATATGCTCGGAGATGACGTTATTCTAACCTAATTGTTAACGCTTTCGAAATTATTTCTCGTGCTATATGGTTTCAATTCATTACGCTAGGTGTGCTGAAATAGTATTCCAGTCTGACTCGATAATATAGGAAGTGTCATGGAAATGATAATGATCATTTTACTCTCGTATTGAATTCCTCTTTGAATTATCGAAAAGATTGTATAAAAAAATACTACATTTCGTTCGATTAGGTATATCTTTGTCAATCCCTCAAAAAGAGAACAAGTGCACCCTAGCTCTTCTTTTAAATGAATAATTATTAAAAATTATATTTTAAATGTCGATGGTATATGCACAGACGAGATATGCTAGCACACCTTTCACACAACGTATTTTTTCGGACCATTTTTATGGGGTCTCGAAACCCCATTACCATTTCCGTGTCACTCGCAACGTTACCATCATACATGAGAGTTGAATCTGTTGGTAACGTTGCGAATGACGCGAAAATGGTAATGGGGTTTCGTGACCCCATAAAAATGGGCCGAAAGAATACATTGGATGAGGGATCTACTCATATACCTCGTTTCTGGCAATACTCTAGAATCTTTGATGAATCAATGAGAATCAGAACTAACCTAGCGAGGAAGCTCTATATTTATGATGATCTATGCAAACCGGATCGCAGCCAATTTGCTAATATTATTTAGTTTTTAATTAATAATTGCATTACCCAGCTAAGAGTGGTACGATTATTAATTACACGTTAAATAATATTACCCAGGTCTCACCTCGTGGAGGTTGCTGCGAATGTAGACCTGCCCTAACCGATTCCCAACTACCCTCCATTAATAAAGATCTTCTGTGAAAGAAACAAACGAAAGTGCAACCGATGAAAGATGCACAACCAACGAAGAGAGTTGAAAGAGTTTCCAAAAGAATTTGTCTTCAAATAAACATTACCTGTCTAACATAACGCCTGACCAAACACTTGGCTAATTATAAATCTAAATTCGTTTATTATATCAAGAAACAATTGTAAATTCGCAGCCATTAGCTCGGTGTTGCCCACGGCAGAAAAGCTTTTTTCTCGTGGGTAACACCGATTACCAGGTCTCACCACGTGGAGGTTGCTGCGAGTGGAGACCCGAAGGGAGATAGATGGAATCAAAGTTCCATCGATCTCCCTTTTACATTCTTACAAGCTAGATTACCAAACTAGAGAGATAGAAGGAAGCAACGTTCCTTCGATCTTCCAGTTTAGTCGTACCGAGTAATTATTTTGTTTAAAAAGGGGTGAAGCTATATCGTAGGATACGCGACGCGACGCGATACGACGCGATGTCGATCAGCAGTGATCGACGCAAGGAACGAGATACGCGACACGCGAACCGAGTACCTGGTCAAAAGATTCAGCTCCGTTGCCTCTCGGCAAGTCCAATCGAAGGGGAAGCGAATCGACGCACCCGGCACAGAGGATCCCCATTTCTCCCACGCATCCCATTGGGAGCCAGATGGACCCAACTCAGGACGGCTGACTGAGAGAGGGAACGTGAGTCGGGGCTACCGTAGACAGGAACAGTCCCTGATCCCCTCTACGGCCGAAATACTCTTCCCTTTGGATCGTCTCGCCAGAGGACGGCAACTGACCCTTCGGATCAGCTAAACGGCCGATCACTTGCTTTCTACATCAAAGCAGTGGTGACCGGAACGAGAAACGGGAGAACCGGGTGAACGAGAAGCTAGTTGGTAAGTAAAAGAATTACTTGGCGTCGATGCTTATATCTAATACAAATGTACCAAGCAATTATTTTGTTTAGAAACGGGGTGAAGCTAAATTATAGGATTCGCGACGCGACGCGATGCTGTCACATGTTTCGATCGATGAAACAGCGGTGATCGCAGCAAGAAACGAGAGAACGAGTGAACGGGTGAAGCTAAGTTAATAATTGCTTGGTATCGCGACCTTAAAAATAAATTTATACTAAGGGCCCTGGAGATAAATGTCCCTCGATGTCCAACGTTGTCGTCCCACGATGATGGAGGTCTGTAAGCAAGCTGAAACTAAAAAAGTCTACATTTGCGATTAGTTACAGAGTCAAATATAATAAATTGGGGAACGCGAAGTTGTGAAATAAAATAAATGGATCCAATGAAACCAGTGACGTAAAATAGACATGGACAAGAGCACAACATATACCATAAGCAACGTTTAAGACAAGAATAAAACAGAGGAACGAACACATTCACAAACAAGGAGCCAGAAGTAAAATATGTAAGAAGACCAGACAAACGTAAACGTGGCGAAACGATAGATTCAAGCCCAGCAGACATTTGAACGTCGAAAAAGAAGACGTGCAATATAGAATGTGCATCGAACAAACCAAGCAAGGAACAAGTAATGAAATATGGAAGGAGGCCAAAGAAAGAAAGAAAGAAGCCCCACGTTCAAGCCCAACAGATGCTCGAAGGTCGAAAAGGAAATTAGAGAGGAGAGATTCGGAACTCTCTCACTACTCGTCACTAATGGTCAATATTGGTCAGTACTGGTCACCAAAACTGACCAGTACTCGGCCAGTGGTCAGTAGTGATGAGTGAAGGTGGAGCGCGGACCCACGAGGGTCCGTCACGTCCGCCAGCCTAGAGAAAGAGTGAGAGAGTGCTCGCCGCCGGCAGGTAGCCTCAGGCAGAACAGTTAGAGGGGTGGGGATGACCGACCTTGGCGAGTTCACCAACCCATTAACCGTTAACCGTGCCTTTGACCGAAAAATGAATATTCTACGTAAAATGGTATTAAAATAATTATTTATACATCCTACGCTATGGAGCATTATTTTAACTATTGCTTGATGTTAATTAATAATTATTGCAAACAATATGTATGAAAATATGGACAAATTCGAGGAGACTGGAAGTTTCTTTGAATTTCTGTCGAGAACCAAGGTCGTACATTTTACGTACTCGTTTCTTCGATATTCTGTCCTTGATACGATACTTTCTTTTGTATAAGTTTTCGTTTTTCATTTCTTCTAAGTAAATTATATAGGATTCTAATTAAGATACTTAATCTGTGTCATTAAAATCGCAAAACAATATGTTGCAACACCCAACAAAACACGCATTAATGCACACAAAGGGAAGTTGTGTATTTTGAATCGTAAATTTGGAAAATATTCAAGCATCGAGGGGTTTAATCTCGCAACATGCGAGAACAATTCTCGTGTCGGTCAATTGGAACGGTTTAAAAATATTAAAGAAATATTAAAATGATTATACGTATTGTATTAAAAAATTTCAAACAGTTTTGGAAAAATTATTTTCGGTTGCGGGGATCAATTAGAATCATTTTTGATAATAGACGTATCCTTGAAATCCTAAGCATTGTCGAGAAAAAAAATTCTCGACGAGGTAATCCCAGGTAGGAATCGCGATTGTAAAAGAAATACAAGCTACCGTTTTTCTTTTGATGATATGCGAAATATACACGAGGTATATCTCGAAAACTTATACAAAAGAAAGTATCGTATCAAGGACAGAAGATCGAAGAAACGAATACGTGATGTACGACCTTGGTTCTCGACAGAAATTCAAAGAAACTTTCAGTCTCCACGAATTTCTCCATATTTTCATATCTGTTGTTTGCAATAATTATTAATTAACATCAAGCAATAGTTAAAATAATGCTCGATAGCGTAGGTTGTATAAATAATTATTTTAATACCATTTTGCGTAGAATATTCATTTTTCGGTCAAAGGCACGGTTAACCGTTCATGGGTTGGTGAACTCGCCAAGGTCGGTCATCCCCACCCCTTTAACTGTTCTGCCTGAGGCTAGCTGCAGGCGGCGAGCACTCTTTCACTCTTTCTCTGGGCTGGCGGACGTGACGGACCCTCGTGGGTCCGCGCTCCACCTTCACTCATCACTACTGACCACTGGCCGAGTACTGGTCAGTTTTGGTGACCAGTACTGACCAATATTGACCATTAGTGACGAGTAGTGAGAGAGTTCCGAATCTCTCCTCTCTAATTTCCTTTTCGACCTTCGAGCATCTGTTGGGCTTGAACGTGGGGCTTCTTTCTTTCTTTCTTTGGCCTCCTTCCATATTTCATTACTTGTTCCTTGCTTGGTTTGTTCGATGCACATTCTATATTGCACGTCTTTTTTTCGACGTTCAAATGTCTGCTGGGCTTGAATCTATCGTTTCGCCACGTTTACGTTTGTCTGGTCTTCTTACATATTTTACTTCTGGCTCCTTGTTTGTGAATGTGTTCGTTCCTCTGTTTTATTCTTGTCTTAAACGTTGCTTATGGTATATGTTGTGCTCTTGACCATGTCTATTTTACGTCACTGGTTTCATTGGATCCATTTATTTTATTTCACAACTTCGCGTTCCCCAATTTATTATATTTGACTCTGTAACTAATCGCAAATGTAGACTTTTTTAGTTTCAGCTTGCTTACAGACCTCAATCATCGTGGGACGACAACGTTGGACATCGAGGGACATTTATCTCCAGGGCCCTTAGTATAAATTTATTTTTAAGGTCGCGATACCAAGCAATTATTAACTTAGCTTCACCCGTTCACTCGTTCTCTCGTTTCTTGCTGCGATCACCGCTGTTTCATCGATCGAAACATGTGACAGCAATCGCGTCGCGTCGCGAATCCCATAATTTAGCTTCACCCCGTTTCTAAACAAAATAATTGCTTGGTACATTTGTATTAGATATAAGCATCGACGCCAAGTAATTCTTTTACTTACCAACTAGCTTCTCGTTCACCCGGTTCTCCCGTTTCTCGTTCCGGTCACCACTGCTTTGATGTAGAAAGCAAGTGATCGTCCGTTTAGCTGATCCGAAGGGTCAGTTGCCGTCCTCTGGCGAGACGATCCAAAGGGAAGAGTATTTCGGCCGTAGAGGGGATCAGGGACTGTTCCTGTCTACGGTAGCCCCGACTCACGTTCCCTCTCTCAGTCAGCCGTCCTGAGTTGGGTCCATCTGGCTCCCAATGGGATGCGTGGGAGAAATGGGGATCCTCTGTGCCGGGTGCGTCGATTCGCTTCCCCTTCGATTGGACTTGCCGAGAGGCAACGGAGCTGAATCTTTTGACCAGGTACTCGGTTCGCGTGTCGCGTATCTCGTTCCTTGCGTCGATCACTGCTGATCGACATCGCGTCGTATCGCGTCGCGTCGCGTATCCTACGATATAGCTTCACCCCTTTTTAAACAAAATAATTACTCGGTACGACTAAACTGGAAGATCGAAGGAACGTTGCTTCCTTCTATCTCTCTAGTTTGGTAATCTAGCTTGTAAGAATGTAAAAGGGAGATCGATGGAACTTTGATTCCATCTATCTCCCTTCGGGTCTCCACTCGCAGCAACCTCCACGTGGTGAGACCTGGTAATCGGTGTTACCCACGAGAAAAAAGCTTTTCTGCCGTGGGCAACACCGAGCTAATGGCTGCGAATTTACAATTGTTTCTTGATATAATAAACGAATTTAGATTTATAATTAGCCAAGTGTTTGGTCAGGCGTTATGTTAGACAGGTAATGTTTATTTGAAGACAAATTCTTTTGGAAACTCTTTCAACTCTCTTCGTTGGTTGTGCATCTTTCATCGGTTGCACTTTCGTTTGTTTCTTTCACAGAAGATCTTTATTAATGGAGGGTAGTTGGGAATCGGTTAGGGCAGGTCTACATTCGCAGCAACCTCCACGAGGTGAGACCTGGGTAATATTATTTAACGTGTAATTAATAATCGTATCACTCTTAGCTGGGTAATGCAATTATTAATTAAGAACTAAATAATATTAGCAAACTGGCTACGATCCGGTTTGCATGGATCATCATAAATATAGTGCTTCTTCGCTAGGTTAGTTCTGATTCTCATTGATTCATCAAAGATTCTAGAGTATTGCCAGAAACGAAGTATACGACTAGATCTTTCATCCAATGTATTTTTTCGGCCCATTTTTATGGGGTCTCGAATCCCCATTACCATTTTCGCGTCATTCGCAACGTTACCAACAGATTCAGAAATGAATTTTAATCCCTTCCATAGTCAAATTACATGTGGTTACATACAAACTACAGTTGGCTAGCTATCAATACTAATTCAGTGAATAGTTTCTCAACTGACCGCCATCCATGAGAGGAGGCCGCTAGAATCACCTCCGAATTTTCAGGTCGGTATGGCAGTCAGATTGGGCAGCGAAAATCCATAAAGTGAAAGGTCTATTCGTATACCAGGTCTGTGGTATATGGACCATCGGAATTGTATACTTAAACCAAATATATTGCACGAAACTTTTTCGCCATTTTAATAAACATAAAACACATTTCACGGACGATATCGTGGTCTTTTAAGATTGCCAAATGGTAGGTGATGCGTACCTGTTCGAATAGGATAGCGTCCAGTAAGGAAAGCTGTCCTGGATGGCGTACATATCGGTAGAACGTAATGTCGTTGCAATATTACGCCGTGATAAGCAAGAGCGTCTATATTTGGCGTAGGTATTTCATTGCTGCCATGAAAACTCACGTCGTTCCAACCCTTAACGGACAATTTTAATTAGTCTCGGTCAACGTAGATAATCAACAAACTTTTCGCGTCATGTAAAAACATGTATGCCTGGAAGTCCAGTTCAAGGATGAGAGGTTGGCTACCGAGTCTGATTAGTAACAGTACAATCTACTTCCTGCAGACCATTGCCCACCTTCGTGAGTTTATACATGGAAAGTAGATTATACACTGTTACCAATCAGACTCGAATTTGAAAAGTAAAATAAAATTTCGTTTTATAATATTTCCATAGTAAAATAGCCGGATGTCCTGACGCATTTGGCCATTACTCGTCATCTCTATTTATCGGTTATCTATTATTTAATAATAGACGTTCCTCGACACTCCTGCTTGAAAATTCGTCTATTTGAATTGTGAAGAAAGTAAGAGCATTACCAGATCGTCCGCGATGATAACAATTATGTGTGGCCGCTGCAGAATCGACTGCTTCTTGTTCGACGCTGGCAGTAGTGCAATATAGAAACACACAGTAAGCACAGCCACGCTTAATACGAAAATCGCGACGCGTGCCTTCGTACCCGACATATTTATTTTTTCTCTTCGCGTATATTTGCTTTGATAAAAATGTCGAACCACCGATCGAAAAGATCGATATTTACGTGAACATGGAAATTTGTTAATTATACTACTCGGCGTACAGAAAGGCGAAGCATGAGCATTTGCACGTACGTTGGCACACGGAATCGGTTAAACTGCAGGTGACAAACGTTTCGGTACGGTTCTTTTGATAAGGATCGTGCACTCGATAACAATGATTTAACCACGGGAACGCAACTGTACCATGAAACCTACATGTACTTTGTTACCGTTTGCAACACGGATGGGGAAAGTGTAATGTGGGATGCCATGGTCCGCCTATTATCACTTTCGCTCGTGCAACCATCCGATTTCGAAGGTTGCACTGCATTGTTGTCAGGGCCGTATCAATGGCGACCGATGCCCTGAGCGTAGACCAAACACACACGTAGTATGTATTTACGCTTTTACGCGTAATCGGTTAACGTGCAGCGTCTGAAGTTGACAATTATTATAAACAAACAATTCGTCCAATTGCGAATAAATGAAAAAATACTGGCTCGGTTTTAATAAAAGGAGATATCTTGAATAGATTAGCTTGGTAACTACGCCAATATTGACGTGAGATAACACAGATCGCTGCAATCTTCTCTGAGATTTAAAGAAACGACACAATTATCGATATCTTTGAACAAACAATAACGATAACGAATCGTACTGTGAAATCTGAAAAATATGAATATGTACGAACGATTTAATTCGATCTGTTGTTTTATTCTTTCTGTTCTGACGAGGCATGGATCTTTCATCCAGAGTATTTTTTCAACCCATTTTTCTGGGGCCTCGAAACCCCATTACCATTTTCGTGTCATTTGCAAAGTTACCGACAGATTTAGAAACGAATGATAACGTAATTATATTTGATGTTTATTACGCAAACGCGGTGCTCGATAGTATAAAATATTTTACATTTGATTTCACGTAAATATTAAACGCAATTAAATTAATCGTTACAATAATTTAAGTTATAACAAATATAATGAATATCGTTCGTTAAAAGGTACTACTTCAAAAATATACAAGTTATTGTTTCGTGACGTCGGAGAAATGAACTTATTCGTTTCAATTTGTACCTCGCTAATCACATTCATTGCTATGGTTTATCAGCCAACCCTAAATCATTTCGAGTCAAACTATACTATTCAACAACATCGAAATAAATATGATTGAAGCGTGGATGCAGTACACCAAGTGTCCGAATACTGCCGCGGCGTTAGGAACGTGCATCGTAGCCCCCGAGTTCATCCACGGTTCCCACGTGTTGTTTCTTCTTCTTGGATCGGCGAACCAATCTATGGGTAATTTGACTTGCGATACTAAGATACGTCCATAACTTTCCAGATAAAGATCCAAGTCACGCGCGATCTGCAAACGAGAACGTTAAATTTCCATAGTTACGCATGTTTTTTTGTAGAAAGTCATTTAGTAATTAGAATTTCCGAAGCAACGAAATCGTAATGGTGCGCAACTCGTGAGTATAGGCGAGATATGAGTTCGAAGGAGGAAGGATGAATAAGTTACAAATCCAATATGGCGGCCGTCCCTACGGAATCGAAACGAACGAATAAAGAAAATGATGCGGTGTGTTATTTCGCAAGAGAACACGATTACATATTATATGTATAAAGCTATCTCGGCCACCGCGATCTCAGATATTCTATAAATTCCCGAGCAGTGTGTTTACGATTCTGTAACAAAATCCGCTTAAAAAACATTCTTAGCCCCGTACTGGTATGGCGACACTTCCCGTACTCGCCACCAGGCGGCTACGCTTTCGTCTCTCTCGCAAGCGCTCGAATAACCCTTTCGTTCTTGTTCAGAGTTTAGGGTCAACCTTGGGAAAAATTTTAACGGGAGATTCTAGAGGCCAAAATAAGACGAAAATCAAGAATACTAATTTGTTGATGTATTCTTGATTTTCGTCTTATTTTGGCCTCTAGAATCTCCCATTAAAATTAAGAGACTATCCAATGTCTGCTAGGATGCTTTTCTTCTCTCGCGTTCGCTATTCCTCGTAGTATAGTAATTAAAAGAAAAGTGTAGTGGCTAACGCTGGATCGAACGAAACAATTAGCATTTTATTATCACTTACCCTGGGATACAATAAGGCAATGTTGTTCGTTTCGCACGGATCGGTAGCTATATCGAACAAACATTCGGTAACGTTGCACGTGGTGAACACGTGTCTGCTAGAGTGCGTCATATTTGGACGGCAGTAGACCGTTGCTTCGTGCCGTAATTGTTTCATTGTACTCGGTTGTGTAACTGGACCCCCTAAATGAAAGGTGATATCTTGAGAGACAGAACTATCCAGCACGAGGTCCGTATAGGGCACTGTCTCCAACGTTATCCCGAAATCACCGTAATATCCATCGTAATAGCCGCGATTGAACGAACCTTAAAAACAAAATTTGACTCTCGATCAATCTCTTTGCGCCCTTGGCCACATATGTGGACGTTTAGTATTATTATTATAATAGTTACTGTCAATAATAAAAAAAAAATTCGTCCCTGGAAGAGGTTAAAACGAAGAAATTTTAAGAAAATATTATGAATAATTGCCTCGTAATAGCTTGAACCGACTGTATATCGCCCCCTCGGTTTTATAAACTTCGTCGATGTTTAATAAAAGCTTGTCTCTGCCGCGCCCGATCCCTTCGCTCAGGACACGCCATTGGTCGATGCCGTCGATCTCGCCTAAATCTTTCAGATCACCGCCGGCCGCTGAGTAGAGAATCGGCAACCAATCCGTTATGTGGACCAGTTGGTTCGAAACGCGTGCTGCTTTCTGGATCCTTGGCGACCATAACGCCGCGACCCCTCTCACGCCTCCCTCGTACAATGTGTACTTCGTCTGCATTACAAAAGGGAACCGAAACGTTTGGTTAAAAATATTTGTTTCAAGCGCACGGAGAACACGCGATTCGTTCAGTTTAAACTTGTTAACCCCTTCGTTAACCCCTACGGGATTTAAATCTCAAGCGATACAGCTTGCGATTTAAATTTTAGTAATATCTCAAGTGGTTAAATCATGGAAAAGATGTTTAAAGAATAGAAAGATATGCCATCTGCTACATCGATATGATTTAGTGGCGTCGCCTCCCATGCTCGCCACCAGAGGGGTCGCGCTCTCACAAGCGCTCAAGCGACCCCTTGGTTGCTATATATTCAAACGACTTCCCAATATCCCAATCGTCTAAGGCAGGACCTGCTAGAAAACCTTCAGAAACGCCACAATTTGATTCATAAATATAAAGATACACGAAGGGTTTAACAAGGCGAATTAATCAAATAAATAAATAAATATGTCGCTTCATACGATCTTACCCCTCTTAAGGGGTAGTTTGAACCCCAATTTCTGTATCTACCGATGGACGCTGCACCATTATCTGTGAGAAACAAAATCAAGGAGTCCCCGAGCATTCCTTTGTCGCCTAACGCGTGAAAGATATGCCCGACCGAATCATCCAGTTTCGATACCATTTCTAAGACATAGAAACCAAGTTGCTTTATAAATTATTAAGCGCATTTGAAATACATACTGTGATAAAATTAAGAACACCGGAAGCAGAGAGAGTTTTCTGCTCTTTGTTTCACGTACTAGCGTATTTGCGACGATTTGGTTCGCTAATTTCGCTGAACTCCTTATCGTTGTATTGGCCCGTAGGTTGTTCCAAAGGCGCGTGGACAGCGAGATGAGATATGTGGAGATAAAGGGGTCTGGGAAGCTCGTGATTTTCGATTATTTTAATTGCCTCGTCGGTGAATAAGTCTGTTGCGTATTCGCGATTTATTCCGTGGGCTGGATCGTCTCCTCGGTGCATGTCGTATCCGCTCATGTTCTGAAAGTGTGCAAAGTTGTTGAAACAAACTGTCTGTAAAAAGCAAAGCTTGTTATTCGATTACATTATATTTGAATGTTTGAATTAACGCGTCTTTGGCTCGTCCGCGAGTAAGAAGTGGTGGGGGATGGACGGGTATCACTGCGCATGAGTGAACTGCGCAGAGCCGAGGAACGATCGACGATCGTAGTCGTGCAATCGGGTGCGTAACGCGAAGGTGCGTATTGGAACGACGCGAGTAAACATTGAAGGTTACGTGTGCATTCGGGAAAGTCGAGCACGGGATCGGAGGTTCGTCTGAAATTGCGTTTAATTCTAATTAACAACTGCCGAAATCTTAGTGTAATTTTCACCGAGGAACCAAACAAATTAGTTCTCAGACTTAACCTCAACGTAACCTCCATTGTCAGCGGTAGTGTATACCAAGCTCGAAGCGTATAATTCATTTCGAATATCCACGTTGTTATTGTATTCCGAAACACAAGAATTTCAAGTTGTTACGCGTTGATTCGTTTTACCTGATTCGAATATTTGTAATCGTAGTAAGTGATGTGACTATTGTAGAATCCAAGGAAGGAATCGAAGCCTCTGTGCAATGGTGTATATTGAGGCGTATGGTATCCCATATGCCACTTTCCAATCAGTTTCGTGGTGTATCCTAATCCTCGTAGGTATTCCGGTAAAATTTTTATATTCAACGGCAGACCACGTGGTTCACCACCGCGTATTCCATCCCCTTGCATCCCTGTATAAATCATTCGCAGTTGTCTGTTACGTATGCATTTTAAAATAGTTTGTATACTGAGATAGGAAACAGCAAAAAAAGAACCAAATTTAAAGTATAATTTATCTCATTCAGGCGCAATAGATTAAAGTTTGCTAAAGTGAATTGTTAAAGTGAGATACATTTCTTTTTCAATTTGTTACGTGAAGTTTTATCGCGGATTATAGAATCATGGAGCTGGAAATATTATGTTTGCGTACGTTTCCCTTTTCAGGTTATGTTAAGATCAGTTTTTTTGTAAAGCACATACCAATACGTATTGGATACAGTCCGGTAAAAAAAGCTGTCCTAGATGGCGTGCTAGATGGTAAAACGTAGTGTCTGTTTAATATAATTCCATTGTAGCCAAGTGCGTCGATGTTAGGCGTTGGTATCTGATTCGATCCGTGAAAGCCGACATCGTACCATCCCTATAAGATATTTAAATTTCGTGCTAGATAAAACGATTGCATAATAAACGGGGTAATTGATACGGTGGCACCGGGAAGAGGAAAATTTTTGTTTTGAAGCCGCGATGAGTCACATACACTAACATCCTTATTATTTGCGCGGGCGTGGATAATTTTCGAGCCACGATAATTGTCTTAACTAAGGACAATTTTAATTCAAAACGCTTTCCTACTACAGATTAATCATAGCGAATTAAGCAAAGTAGGCAGACACAAACCATATACAAGCGGTTACACGTTACATACATATGTGCACGTATAATATTCACATTGTATCTGGACTATTTTTTTAGCATTTTTAATTTTCTAGAATCTCTTTCGTAATGTTGCTAATTGTCATCGCTAGCGATGTTTAGACATTTGTTAAAATAATAATCTCTACTTTAACGATCAGAGGTCCTTAGCAGGCACTTCAGACATGATTTTAATTAACGATTATTCGTTGCAGAGGTTTCTTTGAACTGTAAAGAGAAATATATCGGTAACTTTTTTTTTTATCGAAATGACGATTAATTAGCCATTTTGCATAAAATCGGACACTTTTAACAATTTTTCAGGAAATTTTCAGTAACATTTCATTTAGTGTTGTAGTTTTTAATGATATTTCAACCGTTACATTTATAGCTATTTGAAAATATTATTCAATGTGAAATTATGAATGAAAAATGTAATTTTTATTTAAGAATCTTAAATTCATTGCACTTATCTGCCATATTAATAAACTTTAAATTAAATAATTTTCTTCATGTATTAGCCTTTAAACAGATATTTTTAAATTGACCATAATTTTCGGAGCTTTCTTTAACACGTGCAAACGCTTGTATTTTTACTAAATATTTCTTGCAATCTTACCAAGTCGTCGACCATAAACACGATAATGTGCGGCGCAGATTCGTACAGACCAACCACATAACCGACGCACAATATTAGACGCAACACGAAAGTACTTATTAGAATTAGGAAAACCCGACACATTTTTCCACATAAAAGGAGTCGAAAGAACGTTAAAAAAAATTTATGTAAAAAAAAAAAAAACTGGAAAGTTGACACACAAAGGGACGGATTCGGGTTCCTTTATACCACTTTCGAACACGATTCACGAAGTAGAGCCATCAGAATATTACTCGCGATATTTATTACAGAGCTCCTGCTGGGCACAGAAGAATGAGGAACAGAAATAAACACGTTTATATAGTCCTCCCACGAGGAAACATTGTCATGAATAGACTACATGAAAGGGAAGGGAAAATACACTAATAATTACGGTAATAAAGGAGGTACGTGTTTCAACTGGGTTACTTCTCATCTTACATGTTATCTTTCGTACTTATGTAATTGTCTATCTACGTACAGGACGTTTCGTGTAATTTCATATTTAAATTAAATTTACACGTTTCAATAGAGTGCGATTAAGTTCCATCATTGGGTATGAGTTAGAAGAATTAGGTTTACGGCTTTGTATATTTGCACGTTGATGCATTGTTTTATATATATATATATATTCAACTATATCGGACAACAGAATTTTTTTAAGCCGAAATCTTTGCAAGTAGTACAGGATATGATATACAAGATTAGGAAAGTATGGTAATGAAATGGTTGCTGTATATCCAAGTTATTTTCACATATCCTGGTTATCGAGACAATCATGAACATACTGATTATTAACTTGAGTGGTTTAATGAACCGGCAAATAAATAGTTATCATAATTTTTGTAAAAAGTAGTGCGTTTATTAAAACTGTTGGGCATAATTATATTATTGTCACATAGATTAAAATGCAATGGAAACTTTACCATCTTGAGAAGAACATTACTGTTTTCGCGAGCAATTGCTAGTAGTTTATTTTAGCAGCACAGGCCCCCGTAGTAGTATTCTTCTGCGTTCTGCATTTAATAATGTATAAAAATATATTGAGTATTAACGTTTTTTTCAGAACAGTGACAATCGTCGGGACTTTCTATACATATTTTTACAATACTCTTAACTACACAGGCATTAGAAAAACTGAAATTAAAAGAATAACACAAGTCAAATAAAAGCGAAAATAATACATGAAAAACTGTTTGCTAATTATATAACAACGTTACAATGTACAATACAAAAAATTTTATACAATGAAAATTATAGTTAAACGCATAATAAACTGAAATGTAATGAAGATGATTAAAGACAGAATTTCATGGTACAATATATAAGTATTTATTATATTAATATGTACTTATGCTAAGTAATTATTAATTATAGTAGCATTTAATTTTATAATTACAATACTTTCGTTTAAATATTATAAGAGAGAAAGAGAGAGAAAAAAGAAACGGTTTTAGACATATTATAACTGTGTTTGAAATAATTTAAATATATGTATCTTAAATGCAACATTTCTATGGAAGCTCAGAAATAAAAATAAAATACATATATGTAGAAGAGTTTGAAAATTATTTTAAATGTAGTTATTCTATATTATATGAATTTGTATACCTGGCTAATTACCACTCTTCGTGTTTCGTGATAGAATCTTATATATTTAAGAAAAATCTCGGTTTGGAAACGCTATACGATTGACCAGTGTCCATACGTACAGCCCCAAACACATCCAGGAGGATATAATTTTTACCCACATCGAAGCGGCATTGGAGTTCAAAGTATTCAAAGTGGAATTTGGTCTATAAAAATATTGGTATAATTACACTAAAGTATAGCACTTGTAGTAAAAGATACGTATAACAAATACTCACTGGTACCAGTTAGTAAGAGTCATCATAACGTATAACGTAGAGAGGGCGAACATTAGATGAAATGAACTCCAATCGTAAGCTACTTTGTCCTCCTCGTTGTCCCAAACTTTAGCTTCGCCTCCACTTTCTGCATCAGGATTCCGGCCTTCTACTGGAGTATAATCTGGTTACATTTAGGAAAATGGGAAATAACTCAAAAGAAAGTGTTCTACGATATGATGTTTCTTTCTCAAATAAATGTTCCTGTTAGGATTAATTGCACAACAATAGCAACGAATGTTATTACATGCGTGTTTAAACTTTATCTTGATCCTTTTGGTACAGGAGCATTAGGCCACGAACCACTTATTTTATAGCTCGCAATACGATGCTAAATCTTGGTTCAAGTTCAACTCGCAAGAGTTATTCTTAAGAGGATACAGCATCGAACGTTGTGAGAAATAAAATAACGATAGAGTCTGGAAGAGTTGTCTTTCGAAGCAAACACTTCCGGTACAATAAAGCGAATAAATATTGATAGCTCAAACAAGTCCTACAAAGCATAAATACATACACTTTGAAAACAAACAATCAAACGTGGTTAAAGTCGGGATGCAGCAATTTTAGAATACTTGTTCGATGGTTGTCGATTAGAAACAATGCCTGTACCGAAAGGGGTTCTTTTTGTATCGAGTAACAAAGACTATAAGCAAACAAAAATTGATGAGAATGAAATTTGATATGAAATTGAGACTTATGAATAAAAATTTATATTAGAAAATATTTGCATTGAAAATATAGTAACAGAATTCTTGAATGAAAAATTTAAATCAAACAGAAAATAGTATAAGACAATGAAAACAGGCACACGCTAACTACTAAGCAACCAGATGACTAGCACTGATTGCACGACTGGAAATTTGATAATTCTATTTTGAAAAAATAGGTAAAAAATGTAAAATGAAATTTCTTTCGTGAGATTTACGTTTTTAAGAAAGTACACGTTTCATGCGAGCTTTTGATTTTTTCGATCGTGTAGAAAGATACCCATATGTTTATTTCAGGATCATTATATACGTCCAATAGAATTATTTTATCTTTGCAAAATCCGTCACATCGATGCATAAACAATTGTACGCTCACTCGACAAATACTCGAAGAATTTTCGGAAACAAAGCGTCGTATGAAAAAATTTAATTCTACATTTTCTAGTTGCAAGACACCCCGAGTTATCATTTACGACAAAAATTATCATAGCTTGCATTTCGAAATCTTCATGATTAATAAACAAAATTTTTGTAGATATGTTAATTTCAATATTATGTATATAACGTAAAAGCTACTATTTTCAATTACAAAAAAAAAACAAATGACCAAGGTAACTATACTGAATTTAAATAATATTTTAAAGGTAATAGTGTGTGCCTACCTTCATTGTTGATAAGACACTGGTCTGCTGTATTCCTGACTGTACGAAGAAAGCACATTATTTTATTAAAGATATTTCGATCAATCGTTTAAATATATGGAAGAAAAGTGAACATATTAAGTCATTTAAAAGTATGCTAAATATGCGAGTACATATATATTTTTAAGTCATTTAATTTAAAGAAATCAAACAAACTGTATTAGCTTTAAATAAAAAAAGTGAATTGGTTTCTACATACCTGCTCCGTTATCCTTGACTAGAACATTCTCAGACATTATAATCTCTGATGATAATTTGGATGCATTGCACAAAGAGCTATACAGCACACAACCGAACCAGATGATTAAACCAATAATACTTTCTTTATCAAAAGTAACGTGATTGCGTGCTTTAGCATCATCGGGAGAGAACATTTGCAAAAATCCAGGATTGCACTCCTCGTCTGTGAATAGAATCAATTATGGTAATCATTAAAGCAAATAAATAGTATTAACCCATTCAGAACGCCGACAATCCATAGTTAAAACTGCGTTTCTATATCAACTTTTCGAGTCGCCATAATACGTTTAAATGTTCGCGCCAGCAAATTTTTCTGCCATTACGAATCTCGTTCGTCCCGTAAAGGTTAATATTCGACGCATACTTGAAGTACGTAGATATACCTGGACTGTTTGAAATTCCACTCCACGTTAAATAAATAACATACAGCGAAACGATAGACGATTGAAGAAGACCAGAACGCGGATAACGTTCTTGTACGCTTGGGAGAATTGACACAATACTAGCAATCACGCACAAGATTAAGTTGAAAGATATAAAGAATTTATTCAAAGAACAGTTGTCTGGCTGCAATAGAAAGATAAAGTAAGTGTCAAAAATGTCGAGCTATAAAATAAATTATAACTAGATTGTTTGGATACTTACATGGGTAAAATATACAAAGAGTAAACTAACTCCCGTGATAGAAACAGCATAATTAAACAATGTTACCCCCAAGAGCGCAGCGTACCTGTTATATTTATTTAATAATATATACTTTGATCCATTACGAATTAAACAAAGTACAATAATACACGCGGTTATACGTACCATCCTTTCGATTCTGTATCTTCGTAATTACCTACCCACACATCGGCCCATGAATGGGCAAACACAATGATAAGAATCAATTGGATAATAATAAAAAGAAAACCACCTATCATTCCGAAATACATCCATGTTATTCCAAATGATTTTTCAGGGATGAAAAAGGCTCCGATAATCCCACCGATTATTAGAAGATATTTAATAGCCCAAAATCTAAAATCACAATTTACGCGTTACATATAGCTCTCGATACGCAAAATATATTATTTTGTCATACCCGTTCTGTATAGGTGCCCGAGGATCTTTAGAACTTTTCACGCCGATCATTATGATAGACATCAAAAAGAAATAAAGTGTTATGATGAAACATATCCTATAAACCGCTAAATATCCAACAGCAGACTCGCAATCGACGGTGAAAGTCGATGGGACATAATTTGTACTGTTAGCACAAAACGGTACCTATGAAAGAAAACAGGAATATTTCGTATAAAAGAAAACATACCCCTTTTCTTTATAATTTAATTGAAATTTACCAATTCCATATGTTGTAATGTTACCTTTTTGAGTGCATCTTGTAAACCGGGAGCCAATGTAATGCAAGCAGCGATAGTTCCTAGCATTAATAATAATGCATACATGATACGAGTACTTGTGCTGTTACGACATGTCGGGCATTGAGAGCAACAGAAACTGCACGCTGTGCTGCCGCACAAGCAGGCAAGCTATAGAACAGAAAATATGTAAAATAACATCTAGTATTTTCTTACATCGTAAAAGTTATTTTGGACTTTAAAATTGTTTAATAACTTAATATGGAAAGGGTTGAATACAATAATACAAAACAATAATTGTGATGCAAATATTAATATAGTACAGTTTGTTTTGATAAGACATTGATTATAGAGTATACGTTTATGCTCTCAGAGTTAATATGATGCGAAGTAAAATGTGATCAATGTTATAATTAACTGTATACTAATCTTTGTTCGTTACATAGAAAATGATATCATCTAATAATGGAGAGTAAATGTCACAACGACCAGATTAGATCGAGGCATTTTTAAAAAGTTATTCAATCGACGATCGAGGGTGTATTTTAAAAATGAGTATCGTATACGTTATTTACAATTTAATCGACTTACCTGTGCTGTGGAACAAATGAGTCCCATCACGATGTTTTATATCCGTTCAATGGATCAAAACGATATAGAGAAACCCACAATTTACAATTATACACCTATACTATTAATTACAGAACAAGATAAGTCATACGAAAGAACAAACAACACAGTAGCTTTCAAGAAAAATTTACACAATGACAATGGCGTCTTGACAGATCGTACCCAACTTCTCGCTATCAGCTGACTTGATGTCACATCCTCTTCAGAAGCTAATATGAAAAATGATCGACGTTGATTAATAAAAGTAACAAATTTATTAACAATGACATTCAACAAATAACAAAGCTATAATAATGAAACGGTACTGTTAAATCAATAATCGGTTTAAATGAATATTCGAATTTGTATCGAATGCGAAATGCTACGAATGACGTCATTTCCATATTTAAAATTCGAACGGGCAATTCCAGATGGCGTTGCAAATAGTTTCATCTGGGGAGCCGTTGGTGGACGAAAGCAAGATAGCAGGACGTCAATTACAATAATTTTTGGTAAATACACATGCCCTCGAAATCTTATGCACCTTCGACAACAAAATTCTTTACCGAAAACATCATCTGTGACCAGAAATGTTGCCTCGAAATTCTATGTGTACATATTGGGCGGGAAAATTTTTCGACAAAATTAATGAGTTCCAAATCATTTTGAAAAAATTATTTTCGGTTGCGGGGATCCATTGCAATCATTTTTGGTCATTAGACATACCTTCGAAATCCTACGCACTTTCGAGAAAAAAATTCGAGAAGGTGTGAAATTTTCATACGAAATTACAAAATTTCAAATCATACTAAAAAAATTATATTTAGTTATAGGGGTCAATTACAAGCATTTTTGCTCGTTAGACGTACCCTCGAATTGCTACGCATTTTCGAGAAAAAAATTCGAGAAGATGTGAAATTTTCAGACGAAATTAAAAAATTTCAAATCGTTCTAAAAAAATTATTTTCGGTTGCAGGGCTAAATTATAATCATTTTTTGTGAATAGACATACCCCCGAAATCTTACGCATTTTTGAAAAAAAAAATTCTTTACCGAAAATATGAAAAATTTGGGGGATTTTAATGTTTCAAAATACAATCAACTAAATTTGAAATATTTATACATATACACATGGAGAATCGATTGTTGATAGGACAAGCAACAAAGAAGGAAGGAGAGTCGTTTATATTTTCATTATTCATTGTCTATATCTTTCGATATGTGACACGATTACAGTATATATACAATTTATACATACATCTATAGAAATGCCACCTCACAGTCTTTAACGGTGCATGATTTTATTTAAACTTCTGCTCGATTCATTTAAGTATAAAAAGAAGTAATTTTAAATGCAATCTGCTGATATTTAAATAATGTAGAGCTAATCGTGTTAGTCTAACGTATATAACATAATAAAAAAAAAATATTTGTAAATAAATAACACTGTACCAAATTATTTAGATACAAATTTTTATGAATATAACAGTATGTGTATAAATATAATTGTCTCTTAGCTATCATATACATTGTATATGAGGGCAAGCCGTGGTATTTAATTTTACTAGTAACAAAATAAAAAATTTTCATATAATATTTACAATAGCCTGAACCGTTTGGTTTAAATTAAAATTACTTTGCTGCAAAGCATTATGGCAGTTTCAACTTTGTCGTAGTTTCCGGCACGGTTTTCTTCTTCAGCAAGTAACTTTTAATATTTTGGCACGGTGTATCGAAGAGCAAAGTGAGCGCTATCGAGAAAGCAATAATCCATAAATATTCATTCAGGTTGAACTGTGAAAAAAAAATGAATCCGTTGTAATTGTTACGTTTACTAACCACGCGCGTTTAAAATCGTACAATATTTCGACTCACTTGCATGCTGAAGAATTCGTAGTGCACCGGGCTTCTGGTTCTTCCAACGTTATAAAAGTATATTGGAAATTGTGTTAAATATATCGCGTAACTCAGCCTTGTAGTGATCACAAATCCTTTCCAAGCTAAAAATCTACTAAACCAACCTGTAATTTGCAGAAATTGTTTGTCAAAATATCGGTATTTTTAGATTACATTTCTTTTTTGCCTTTAGAAAACTATTTCTCATAAATTCATTACAGGTTTCGTTTCGTTATAGAAACAAGAAAGTTCTATAATAACTAAAATAAATATAGAAATAAAAAAATTTTAATGGGAGATTCTAAAGGCCAAAATAAGACGAAAATCAAGAATAGCAATTTGTTGATCGAGGCTTCATTAAGAAGTTATTAACGTTTAAAGTTCCGCCTGTAGATATGCAACAGCTGCATACAGCTGCGCGCGCACGATAGCGGTTCTCACTCGGCACGAGGAACTCTACTTACCGACGTATCGACAGTCTTACAGTTTTCTGAGTGGGAGCCACTTTAGTGCGCGCGCAGCTGTTCTCAAGTTGCCTATCTACAGGCGGAACTTTAAACGTTAATAACTTTTTAACGAAGAAGAATCTAGAGCCTAGAATCTCCCATTAAAAATTTTCCCAAATGTGGTTTATACTTGCACGTATAATACGAAGTGACAATTACCATTCGTGTTTCTAGTGTGATGCATCACGGTTACCCAAGCAAAAATGGAACACCAACCGATAGGAGCAAATGCGTTATAGAGCGCTGCGTGCATCGGATCGTAAACGTAATTTATAGATCCCATGTGCGCCGGACCAAAAAACGCGCAACAAAACATGATCGTGCAGACGATCCAACCTGTATACAAAGCTGTCTAAACGGGAACAAAAGCAATTAAATACAAGTATAAATGAAACTTGATAATACGAACGTAAGTGGCTCACTCTATTCATTTTGTAATCTTTAGGCATGTATCTCAATAAATAACCGACGAATATTCCTATTATATAAACAGTCAGTCTATGCGACGGTAAGGTGTACGAGAGATCCGCGGTGTCGAACAACTGTTTTATTCTGCAAACATGAAAATAACATTGTTGAACAGGTATGCTCGAAATTAGTCCCTGTAACGTGGACAAACATTTTTAATATATCAACTTACGATGTACCAAAGAACACATAGTTATTTAAATGTTTGTAATGCGTCACGAAGTATCGCAGCGCCGTTGAATTTATAGCGCACAAACTGAGAATGAAAAATCCAGTTTTTGGTTTTTTAAACAGCAGCAATACCATTAGAGGCGAGAGGACAAAGAGTTGAGTATCTATGCCCAAGTGATGAGTGTGGGTGAGACACTGAAATTACCAAATATAGTTTACTTTGTGATATACAGAATGTTCGGCCAACCTCTGGGAAAAATTTTAATGGGAGATTCTGAGGGTCAAAATACGACGAAAATCAAGAATAGCAATTTCTTGATCGAGGCTTCGTTAAAAAGTTATTAACGTTTAAAGTTCCGACTGTAGATAGGCAACAGCTGCATACAGCTGCGCGCGCACGATAGTACCGAGTGAGAACCACTATCGCGCGCATGTAGCTATGCGCAGGTTGCCTATCTACAGGCGTAACTTTAAACGTTAATAACTTTTTAACGAAGCCTCCATCGATAAATCGGTATTCTTGATTTTCGTCTTATTTTGGCCTCTAGAATCTCCCATTAAAATTTTTCTTTGGTGTTTGCGTATTTGAAACAGTATACGCACCATCGACTCAAATCCAAAGTAATTGTGAATAAATAGAAAATTTCGCCACCAAGTTCGTTTGCAAATATTCGCGTGCTCGGTCACCACCAAGTTCCATTGCGGTCCGGATCCGATGTGAGGTATTATATAAGTACAAAATAGCATCAGTGCCGCTAATGGCGGTACTAATCTATGAAAAACAAAACAATTAGCGTCGAGGAATGTTTGGAAAAGATTTTTGTATTTCTAAAATTGCAACGAATGTATCTATGAAAAAGAAAATGATTAGCTTCGAGGAATGTTTGAGAAAGACTTTTAATAAATTAATTATATTATAGGTATGAATTAACTTTGTCACCTGATCAAACGTGACAAATATTCGTCCCTGATGTTCAAGTTACCAGTTCTCTTCAACTTTCCAATGAAAGAGTAAGACGTTAAGAGTCCAGAGAGCATTATAAAGGGATCCGTGTAAAGGCTAGCAGCTCTTCCTATAACTGTCCACGGTTTGCCAAGATACTGTAACAAGAAACTATTGTATAGTTCTTCTAAAAATAATTGAAAGTGTGTTTCATATAGTGGGACCTTACTTCGCTCATTTCCGTTCTGTTCGTGTACGGATTGAAAAAGAGCGCCATGCTTTTATGAGCCAAAAGTAGCATTATGGCGTTTATGGCTCGTATACCATGAAGCGTGGCTATGTCGTTTTGTCCTCGTTCCAGCGACACGAGCTTCTTGAAATTACGTTTCAAGGAAAATGACAAGAGTAGCTCGCCAGCAGGTATATTACAGTGATCACACCACGTTGCTACGATCGCCAATGCAACGGTAATCGTAAAAAATAAACTGAAAACGAATACGATCGTAATGTTAATTTAACGAAGTCCGTGTTAACTTTCGGACCAATTGTTTATGGAACCACTTGTTACCCAGCGTATATGGTTTCCGTGGGAACAGTATCTTTCCTCTTCACCTGACACATCTCTTCGTTTACCTTTACCGTAACATTGATACCGGTTTGCATGCTATATCTCCCAAGAATACCGCGAATGGATGTTTCGACGTCTTTAAAGTTGCATGCTGCTGGGGTGCACACGCCCCAATTTATTATGCTAAATCGTGGCACTCGATGCCCAGGCTGAAAAAAATTCAATTGTAGTAATGTTATTACTATATGTCATTTGTTGTAACTAGCGTGCATGTACAGGGTGATCGATCAGCCCTGGGAAAAATTTTAATGGGAGGCTCTGGAGGCCAAAATAAGACGAAAATCAACAATATCAATTTCGATAAAAAATTATTAAAAAATTTAATTCAAAAATTTCAAATTGTTCTGAAAAAATTATCTTTGGTTGCGAGGGTCAATTACAATCATTTTTGGTCATTAGATATACCCTCGAAATTCTACCCACTTTCGAGAAAAAAATTCAAGAAGGTGTGAAATTTTTAGACGAAATTAAATAATTTCAAATCATGCTAAAAAAATTATATTTAGTTACAGGGGTCAATTACAATCATTTTTGGTGAATAGACATACTCCTGAAAACCTACCCACTCTTGAGAAAAAAATTCAAAAACGTGAAATTTTTAGACGAAATTAAAAAATTTCAAATTATGCTAAAAAAATTATATTTAGTTACAGGGGTCAATTACAAGCACTTTTGGTGAGGAGACGTATCCCTGAATTCCTAACCACTTTTGAGAAAAAAATTCGAGTAAGTACTAAACTTTTTGGACGAAATTAAAAGATTTCAAATCGTTCTAAAAAAATTATATTTAGTTACAGGGGTCAATCAGACCCGAATAAATTACATTTTATATTATTATCAGACCACACGTGTCTACAAAAAACAAGTATTCCATATTAGGTCAATTGACCCTACTTTCTTTTGCCAAAGTGTTTGTACAAGGTACAAGTATGCTTTGCAATACATTCCATCTGTACAGCCTTATGTTAAAAGAACCTACAGGGCACAATGATATGTACTTACATCGGTAATATTGCTTCTGAACGCGTAATGAGAGTGTAGAACCCGATGAAGATGCTTAAGATCTAACCGCGATTCGTCGATGCTCAAATTCAGATACACCAAACAATATTGTCCACGAATGCCTTCGGTCCCTTCTATTCCGATGCATTCGTCGAAGTCGCCAAATTGATTCACGTTTCCGTTCAGAAGGCCAGACGGTAGTTTCGCCGTTGCGTCGTACACTTTGAAACAAAAAACAAATAAGCGAAACAATAGGAAAACGAAGGGTAAAAGAACCAACAAGACTTTTTAAACTCACGATGCTATAAAAAAAAAAACCAAAAATATCGATCGAATCGGTAGAAAACTAAACCAAGTCGTAGACGAACCATGTAAGATTTAGTATCGCGTAAAAATTATTTAAACGGATCGCGAGAAGCACTACTTACTTTTTAGGGCCCACAGAGTGAATTTGGCGAGCTCCTCGCGGAATATGTCCGCGTGACTTTTGCATTGCGGACTTACTCGGCCGACACCGGGATAATAAGCGGGGAGGATTTGCAATAATCTCCTTGCCTCTCGATCGATTTCCTCTGGAAAGTCATCTGCAAAAGTTTCAAGCGTCGAGGTTATACAGGATGTTCTAGAGGCCAAAATAAGACGAAAATCAAGAATACCAATTTGTCGATGGAGGCTCTGTTAAAAAATTATTAACGTTTAAAGTTCCGCCCCGTACTGAATTTTTTTCTCGAAAATGCGCAAGATTTCGGGTGTATGTATATTCACCAAAAATGATTGCAATCGACCCCCACACCCGAGAATAATTTTTCCAAAACGATTTAAAAATTTTTTTCCCCCGAAACATTTAGGCACCTACTCGAATTTTTTTCTCGAAAATGGGTAGGATTTCGGGGGTATGTCTAATGACCAAAGATGATTGCAATTGGTCCCTGGAACCGAAAATAATTTTTCCAGAACGATTTGAAATTTTTGAATTTAATTGTTAATAACTTTTTAACGAAGCCTCCATCAACAAATTGGTATTCTTGATTTTCGTCTTATTTTGGCCTCTAGAACCTTTGGCCACTCTGTATTTATAGAGTATTATCTTTTATCGAAAAGCGACTAGGCGATAAAATAAGTGGTTATTAATTTTAATTTCATTCGCGGTTGTTTCGTTGATTTAGTTTGCATCGCCGTAAATGAAGATTTAAACCGAGATGCGTGTTAGGGACAGTAGTATTCCCGATATTACAGAAACAACGCGACGTTAATTAAACGTCTGACCACTAATCATTGTTTCTACTTGCGTCGAAGGAAACGCCGTGCTCGAATGGAGTCCATTCCACGCGTACACTCCGCGGCAAAAAGTTATGTAATAGTTAAATAACAGCAGTTTTTTTTATTATAAATCACTCTCTAGTTAATTATACATTGCACGTGTTCAGGGTGAACGCGTTCTCTCCGCTTAGTATGTTAAGGGCAACCTGAAACGTAAACATTAGCGCGTTAAAATGATAGTGTACCTTCGAAGTTCTATTTCTCCGGTAAACACAAGGTCGTTGAACTCTTCACGCGAATATATTTAGCATTGTAAGAGTTTCGGTTGGAAGATTTATTAGAAGTTTTATTAGAAATTATTAATGGGTCATTTTGACTGGTTTTGGTAGCTCTAATGTTATAGAAAATTGGAATCGATTTTGATCGTCTCGTAGACTTCTCAATGATGAACTTTAATGTTGACTAACTATGTAACTGCAAACTAACTAACTAGCTGACATACTAACTAACTGACAAACTAATTAAGTAACTAACTAACAGACATACTAACTAACTAACTGACGAACTAACTGACTAACTGCAATCTAGCTAACTAACTGACAAACTAACTAACTGCCACACTAATTAACTAACTAACAGACATACTAGCTAACTAACTGACGAACTAACTGACTAACAGACATACTAACTAACTAACTGACGAACTAACTGACTAACTGCAATCTGGCTAACTAACTGACAAACTAACTAACTGACTGACAAACTAACTAACTAACTAACTTTAAGGAAATGCAAGAAAACACTTTCGATTTTTTGCAACCGCGATATTTTCAACGAAAGAATTCTCGTCTTAGGGGAATCAAGATCGAAAGAAAAACTCAAGAAAGACTTTCACTCTCGTTCGAAGGTTTCACGAGGTTGTACGTGAATCGTAATGAACCAGACGCGACGCTACGTACGTGTTCCGTGTGCAAGCTGAGATTTCGTCGCAATAGAACAGAAATCCAAAGTTCCTGACATTGACATGTTACTACATATAGTGAAACAACATTTTTACAAACGTGACGTTTCGGCCATTGATCGCGAGATACACGCGAGGTTTGTAAATTTCAAAAGAGGGCTGAAAGAACCAACCACTCGAAATGATTCCCTTCGTAAATCTTGGTTATTGTTTTCATATACCATTGGTATTGATCATTATTTTAATTTCAATAAATATTTTTATCGAAGAATGTTTCGTTAAAGGTTGACCATCGATTAAACCCACGTTGTGTTTCAAACAGCCTAATTTCGAAAGCCAGCAGCCATCTAGAGGAAGACCCTAGTTTCATTTCTAGTGCAATTATTAAAAAATGCTACGTAATAATCACAGCAACGTCATTATCTCAAATAACGACTGTAAAAGTTATTTATGAACGTTTTATATTCGACTTAAATAAAAAAATGTTTTAAACCAATTTACTTCGGTTTGCCAAAGCTTCGAAATTAGCATCCTTAAGATATTTCAATTTTTAAGCAGCTGAACCAGGTCTTTGCCTATAAGGAAATGTTATTTCTAAATCCCGGAACGTATTATGCAACAGGGAATAATCGACCAAGGAATAATTTCCATTTTTAAAGGTGAAAATAACTATTGATGCGACACAGAGGATTAACGCAACATCGCCGCAATTGTTAATTGTTTTTTTTTATGTTCGTCGTAAATCCGATCGAGGAGTATGCATTAAATTTAGCATGCAAATCGATTCAGTGAAAGCCAGCGCCGTTTTCCAATACACCGCAAATATTCATTCGAAATGTTAATACAGCCGCCGCGTGGATGACCCAATTTCCGTCGTTTTCGTCGAGCGACATTTTATTGCAACAACAATCTGCGAACTAGAAATAAGGCCGGATGTCTCGTGTCTGCAAGCGTTGATTTCGAAACGTGTCGATCGTCTATCCACGATCGGTTAATATTGCTTGTCGCCTGAAATTATCTCGACAAACAAACCCTTCGTTAGAGTGTTTAATTATTGTTCAACGTTGATTCCTACCTTAATGCCTCATCCTGGGACATAAGTGTCTTTATACTCTTTTGTAGTAATTAGATAGTTGCACCGAATAGCGTGATCAGAATTTTAAAATTCTAACTTTTTTAAAAAGTGCAATTGCACTTATGAGATGCACCGATGCAACTGCATCCTTTTTAAAAATGAAATTCTATGACTGCGACAGCACTGTTCGATCTAGTTTTTTGAGCTCTACAAAATAGTATTAAGGTACTTATGCCATAAATGTAATAGTTTAAAAGTTATAATAATTTAGTATACTTTAAAGTACTATAACTATTATACTGTTGAGTATAGGGCATAAGTGTCTTGATACTCTTTTGTAGCGATTTAAAAACTGTACCGAATAGCGTGATCAGAATTATAAAATTCTGACTTTTTTAAAAAGTGCAATTGCACTTATGAGATGCACCGATGCAACTGCATTCTTTTTTAAAAATGAAATTTCATGACTGCGACAGCACTGTTCGATCTAGTTTTTTGAGCTCTACGAAATAGTATTAAGGTACTTATGCCATAAATCTAACAGTTCAAGAGTTATGGCAATTTCAAGTATATTAAATTGTTATAACTCTTAAACGGTTAGATATAGGGCATAAGTGTCTTCATATTCTTTTGTAGCGATTTAAAAACTGTACCGAATAGCGTGATCAGAATTATAAAATTGTAACTTTTTTAAAAAGTGCAATTGCACTTATGAGATGCACCGATGCAACTGCATCCTTTTTAAAAATGAAACTCCACGACTGCGACAGCACTATTCGATCTAGTTTTTTGAGCTCTACATAATAGTATTAAGGTACTTATGCCATAAATTTAATAGTTCAAGAGTTATGGCAATTTAAAGTATATTAAATTGTTATAAGTTGTAACTCTTGAAAATTATGAAAAATTGTAGAGTTCCATGTGGGAGAAAGATACAGTTGTATGGATGCATAGAAATGAAATCCCTCGAACCGACAAATTTTGTTTGTTTTCTATTAAATTACAAATGGCACGAATTTATGGGACGACCTAATAGTTGATTAACCATGAATGGCGAACCAGGAGAGGGTGCAACGATAACTGTTTGCAAGTTTCTGGCATCTAAGAACCGGATAAAGAAGACTTGCGGATAAATAGACGTCCAGAAAGTTTTAACCCATTGATTTTGAAGAAAGCAAGCCATCCAAAGCGAGGTGGACCCACGAAGGAGCCCTGGGTTCACGGGCAGAGATATTTTGTGCATTCAAGGACGATTCGGTATCGGAAGGTGTACGTGTCCCTGCATAAGGATGAGGTTTCTGCATGCTTCAAAGACTACGTCAACTATGTACGTCCAAAATCAGATCGGTAATTCCGTGAAATATCTCTCACGTCTGATAAACATTTTGCAGTAATCAAAAGATTTAGACGAAATTAAAAAATTTCAAATCGTACTAAAAAAATTATATTTAGTTACAGGGGTCAATTACAAGCACTTTTGGTGAATAGACGTATCCCTGAAATCCTACTCACTTTCGAGAAAAAAATTCAAGAAGGTGTGAAACTTTTAGACGAAATTAAAAAATTTCAAATCGTACTAAAAAAATTATATTTAGTTACAGGGGTCAATTACAAGCAATTTTGGTGAATAGACGTATCCCTGAAATCCTACTCACTTTCGAGAAAAAAATTCAAGAAGGTATGAAACTTTGAGAAGAAATTAAAAAATTTTATATCGTACTAAAAAAATTATATTTAGTTACAGGAGTGAATCAGACCCGAATAAATTATATTTTATATTACTATCGGACCACACATGTCTATAAAAACAAGTATTCCATATCACGTTAGACGTTGCAGAAATTCAAAATGACGGACAACCGGAATGATCGTTTTGATTCGTGTCTAGTAAACTGAACGTTTCAGTTTTCGTTAAATTTTTGATTATACGACGAGAAAAGACCCAGGAGAAACTCGTTTTCACGCTCGTACGAATATTTCTGGCTAGCAATTGCGCGATTGATCCTCGAGATAACATTTTCAATCGTGCAACTTGCCTTGCCACGAACGTTCCGTGTTCCATTTTCGGAAAGTGTCCTCAATGAGACTGCGTTAAACGTAGGTACCAGCAATGATCAAGGTGACGAGCAACACTTCCTCGAAGCGTGCTCTTCGCCAAGCAGCTCTACGTGACTAAAAATCCAATTGCCCTATCTAAATATTACGCGATCGTTTTCTTCTTGCGTCTTTTTGTAACATTTCGCCAGTACAATCCGGTCTAGAACCTCTAAAAATTCATTCTCCGCTTGAAATTTTTCAAAAATTTCGATACAAACAACGCGATGAGTCGTCGACGTTAAAATAATTAGCGTTAAAAAAATCACAGAAATTCTGAATTTTCTATATCAACACTATGCACCAAAATTCTAAAGCTGTTTTACATCGATACGAATCAGGATATCTCAATGGTGTCCTTTTTTATTAACACTAGAACGACACTCAAGGTGTATTTATTTCTATCAAAGGAATTAAAACGATATATATTTGAAGAAATGTATCGTATACAATGTAAATAAATAGATATTCATTTTCTAAAAAGAATCACTGTAAGTTTGCAAAAATTCAGTCGAGACAATTTTTTATTATTAGAAATTACAAATGGGCCATTTTGACCATTTCGGTGGTTCCAGCGTTGAGCAATCCTCGTTCGTACGCTAGTCTGTTTTCTTTAATGTTCGAAAAGGTAGAGCAAACGTTTGTACAATTATACGCTTGTGTGTGTTTTCGTTCGTTTCGTTAGAGTCGCGTAATTCTCGAGTCCGCGTCGCGTCGCAACGTGCACGCGATATAACGAAATCGCATGCGGTATGCAGACATTGTACGTGGATGAAAATCGAGCTTAAGTAGTACTCGTTTCGAAATATCGAAAGTAGTTTTGCTTTTTTTCCCCCGCCCCAACGCTACGCGATATTCGGTCATTCCTCGTCCATTCGATGAACACGGTAAAAAAAAAAAGATCCAACATCGATGTTGTATCGAAATTATTTTAGAAAGTCGAACGTTTCAACGACAAATCTATATCGTTACCATTTATAATTTATTTTCTAATAATTCTTAATGTTATCAGATCGTTCCACCGACGAGCCACTCACCGTAAAACGGATTGGTCTCCCGAGCTTGGACGTCCACGGGCCGCCACGCGTCTTTGCTCGCCTCGATCGTGTAATTCCTCAAGTTGTCGCCGATCAGTTCGATCAGCGTGAAATTATTCGACGCGGAGGTCTCGTTGCCGGACAAAACACGAAGGATCTCGTCCTCCTCCAACGCGTTCAGTCCACTCGACGTCAAAACATCCACCGATTTCCCGGCACACGACAGTCTCGTCAACAACAATACCATCCATGCTTCCGCGAGCATTCTAATTCTAATCTTCGTTGAACTTGTCGGGTGAAATTGTAGCCGTCGTACGACTTTACCACGCGCGCGTAACGATCGGAGATCCTCAACATTCGTCGTCGATAACGATAAACCTTCGAAATAGGATCGCGGTTAACAAATAGCGCTATTGAACGTTTCACCGACTCTGTATTGTCTAATCGTTCGAAGCCGAGCTTTATGAGTGATCGTGAAACCACCAAGTCCACCTGTGCTCGCGAATAGAACGAGAAGAGGGGTGAACACTGTACACCTCCTCCCCCACTCTGTTCCTTTTCGTACGATCTTCCCGGTCGATGTCAAATCGTGACAATTGCGTAAACGATACCGCCACACGCGGATCATCGCTAGCCCGCAGGGAGTGAAATAACTAGACTGCGGATCTTTATGCAAATTCACATTTTTATTAATAAAATTGATGAAATTGGAGCTTCGTAGAGGGCTGTCTCAACCCCTAAATATAATAATTCGTATCTTACTTTAAGTATTCCTTATATTTTTGCATATTAAATGCATTCTGTAGTTTTTTGAGGATTAAAATTTCCCATAAATGCATATACATCCGCAGTCTAGAAATAACAATTTTAATGGGATTTACTGGTCCCCTATTCCGAAGGAGAGAGATATTCCCTCGTAAGATTAGGTTTCCTGTTTATATAAAAATGCGATAGGACCTCGCGTAAACACAGGGGAGGTATTGGTCTTCAAGGTTTTTTCTGTACGATTGCAGTTTAGTTCTGTTAGTAAAACTCATATAGAAAGGGTGTCTCTTCTAACCGTAATAGAATTAAGTGTAGCGTTTATTGAAAGGAAATGTGAGTATTTAATAAGCAATTTCTAATATCGCTAACGTAAAGTCAGAGACTAACCCGGAAGAAATAAAATAAAAATTTCATTCTTTGAAGTTTTACACACTTAGACATCGCTAACGTAAAGTCAGAGACTGATCGTCGATTCAGAGATGCAGCCAAAATAATTGCATTTCTCATTCGCACGAGAGCTTAAAAATAAATTTCTTTGTAATCGAGAAACGAGGGAAAAGTTTCCTAAAAAAAAAAAAAGTACATCCTGTACGATACCTATAACCGACATTCGTGTGAATGTATGCCAATGACACGTTACGTTTTTTTTTTTCTTTGCAGAAACTGTGTCAGAGAAGAAGAATATCGAAGGATAGACCCAAGGATGCTCAGTTTTCTCACGAACGGAGCGCATCGACCTGGCCTGACATTTTTTTCACGTGAGACGCATGAATTTACGCTCTTTCCTCGACCAAAAGAACTGATATCTAATTGAGCGCGAAAGATACAAAGTTTGAACTCCAAAGCTACCGGGGGTTGAGCTTTTTCGGTGATCAGGCTGAAATATACCAAGCTCTAACCGACCAGCCGACCTTAGCGCGTGTTTTATTATTATGATTATGTTTGTTATGGTTTGTTACGCGTTATTTTATTTTAAAGCCCTCGAACAGCGTGGTTTCTCTTTCGCGCACAATAGATCATAAACCTAGAAACGATTTCTTTGAACGAAGACCAGCAATGTATAGTTTTATTGCCGATTTCTTGTAACGATGACGCGTCTTCGATCATTCCAAATAGACTATTAAGCTACTCAAAGAAGAAGAGGAATTTTTTAGACGAATTAACTTATTTTAATTGGTAAAAAAACAAGTTTAAAGAACGCGTAACGAATTTCAATAGGTTCTACGTGCTAGACAGTGCCAACTGCATCGAAGAAATAATTGTAATTCGATTGTCGTTGCAACTATTGTTCGGATATAGCTACATATCTAAACTTGTGTCTTTTTACATTTATATTTGAAATTTTTGATCGATTCTGAACAAAGAAATTTCTTTTATTATAGTACGCGATAGTTTACACTTATTAACGAGATCGTAATCATATTTTGGTGCACTCGTGTTACGATTATAGTCTTGTTAAATCGAGAGACTTCCATGCAACGTATCGACGTTGACAAATTGTACACGCTTTGCTCGCTAGATGCATAAATGAAAACGTTTCCTGGGAGCGAAAGATCCTCCTTTTAATATTTAATTTGTCGAAACGTGTGGTTCGGTTACGTGCACCGTTTAATGGTAGCGTTCGCCACGGTGCTCAACGTTTATAAATCAAACGTTTGCGACGAGTATGTCATGTTCGACGCAGATGCGCGAATTGCAATAGAGAGTAGGTCGGGGCCCCTGCGCGTTGCATTCTTCGGTAATAGTTGCAACATATTCTATTCGTGATCACCATGAACGAGGTCTTTAATTCTACATTGTAGCTAGCTGGAAGTTCAATGAACATACCCACTGGAATTCACTTTCTTCGTTGACGATTCTACTCGTTGAATAGAATTTATGTACGTACTACGGAGACACTCGATCGATCCTTTTAAAATCTAGAAAAATTTTAATGGAGGATTGTAGAAGCCAAAATAAGACGAAAATCAAGAATACCAATTTGTTAATGGAGGCTTCGTTAAAAAGTTATTAACAATTAAATTCAAAAATTTCAAATCATTCTGGAAAAATTATTTTTAGTTGCAGGGGTTAATTATAATCATTTTTGGTGAATAGACATACACTCGAAATCCCACCCACTTTCGAGAAAAAAAATCGAGTAGGTGCTGATATTTTTCGGCGAAAAAAAATTTTTCAAATCGCTTTAAAAAAATTATTTTCGGTCGCAGGGGTCGATTACAATCATTTTTGGTCATTAGGCATACCCTCGAAATCCTATCCACTTTCGAGAAAAAAATTCGAGAAGGTGTGAAATTTTTCGAGAAAATTGAAAAATTTCAAATCGTTCTGGAAAAAATATTTCTGGTTGCGAGGGTCAATTACAATAATTTTTGGTGAATAGACATACCCCCGAAATCCTGCGCATTTTCGAGAAAAAAATTCAGTATGAGCGGAACTTTAAACGTTAATAACTTTTCTAATTACTAAAAATTATAGTTCTTTACAATTCGTGAATATTTTGAAACTGACCGTATTTATATTTCATCGATAATAATAAACAAAATCGGGAAAAGATTGCTCGTTTGAATTAAAAAGCGAAACGTTTAAAAATAATACACATACATCATGTTTCTTTGCATTTCCCCTATCTTGGTACAGTAATAAAAAATTCTCAAGTACTTGCACGCGCATATCTTAAACAGGGAAATTCTTACGAAAGCATAGCTTACGTAATTATTCGTTTGGCGGCATGACGTCTTTTGTTCCGCATTGTTCGAGCAGAAAATACAGTTACAAAAAGTACGTGACGTTTATAAGTAATGCTTCGAATCTCCCAAAAGGGTGTACGAGAAAAGTTGCAAGAAAGTTTCGATTCGTTAAAGGAATATTTTATCAGGTGCATCGTTTCTCCGTTTCATAAATAGTCGAGTTCAACGAAGCATAAAATTATTTCTAAACAATCGTGTATGTATTAAAAAATTTGCGCGTAATTCAATAATCGGCTGCGTTACGATCTATTAAAAATAAAATTTAGTATTCGGTGTATAATAAATATTCTAGCCGGCTATATTTCTTGAAACAGGTTCTTTGGATGTTTTTACCCGAATAGCGACAATGTACAACGAGCAATTTACAAATGGAAATTAGATATAAATTCCAAGTGCGAAAACGTACGCTCCGGAAATTGAATTTACGGGCTCGGTTGTTGTCGGTAAAATTCGGCCGTGATCGTGCTCGCGACGAAGAGAACGCACGCATGGTGGTCAGTACGAGGGAGACCGGCGCACGGGTAGTATGTACTGCTACGTTCCGTTTCGTCGTCGTTGAAACGAATCGAAATCAAAGCGCGACGCGCAACCGGTGAGAAATTATGACACGCCGTCTTCGTTCTGGTTGTCACTCTCTTTTTTCTGTGTCGAATTGTCGCATACAACGGCCGGTAAACGGTGGAGGCATGGCTGTCGCGCGACTAGCTTTCACGACGCGTACGAGCATGTAATTTCGTACATCGGCGCATAAACATTCGGACAAAGATCCACGACGTTTCTCCAAACTCTTTATCACCGTACTCCCGTTTCTACAGTTTATCGTTCTGTGTATCATGTACATGTATAGCGTGCGCTTAACTTGCGAAACGTCTGTGTGTGCATTTGTTCGTGCAGTATTGATTCGCCGATGACTGGTTTACACCGACGTGCACGTTGTGTCGCGTCCACGTTGACAATGGATCTCTGATTACAAACGCGTGTGTAGTTGACCAAAGTGCCCCTCGATACCGAACTACGCACACACAAACCAAACGCTATTTTTATCCTAATGGTGAGTTTATAAATCATGGACATCCATCGCGCGTCGTCTCATAGTTCTTCGGCCGTTGCCAATTTCACATTTCTGCAATGTTATTCTTAACCGACGTGCTCCTCGATGTTACGTATTTTAGAAATACTTGGATGCTTTTTCCCCCCCCAATATATTATCGGTTGTTGTCTTTTCATTTTCGTCCACGTCCTGCGTGAACTCGGTAGAAACGATGTTTTCAGAAACTCGACGAATTATCGATTCACCGATCAATCGTCTTTCTGCTGTGGAACTGTTATGTTTTGAGTATTTTGTGTCGTAGGCGAATTGTATGTCAAGGCACGTTACATCGATGTAAAGATTCAGTTTCTCTTTTCTTATAACTACGTACGGGAAAGTCCGGTACGAATCGATCACTGTCTTTTCAGGGTTGTTGCATGAGTAAAATAGTATAAATGTGGAGAAACGCTATTTGTGCACGGTTAATTGATTTTCCATTGTTCCGTAGTATGGACTTAAATCTCGTATATCAATTTAACACGATTATTCAAGTTCTAACTACTACCTAAAATGCGTAAATACACGTTTTCAAATTTAGTCATGATTTTCGTAATACGGTTACACGCGTTCCATATTAAAACAGCGAATAAATTTCACGAGAAACTTATTTGCGCAGTATGTGCAACATTCCCAAAATTCGCCCCTTTAGTGCGTAGGTACACTTGTCATTGGGTATGGTATGATAGTTTATTTAAACGGATAGACTTTTACATACAAATATAGAAATATATTATACATAAGACAATACAGGATAGTAAACAAAATTTTCGGAACTTGGCTGTCTTATTTCGGATCCGCATCGGGAAGAACAGTCGCGAGCAGCTGATGAACTGCTCGCTGGTAGGTCGCGCTAGTGTCGCAACACTCGCGAACAGTTATAACCCACACACGCTTCGAATTCGCGAACAGTGTTCGCACTTCGCTGTTTGCTAGGTGCTTGCTGTTCATGAAAATGTCCATACTGGAGCTGTTCGCGAACAGAATTGTGGTCTCGGCATAAGATATCCCGTTTATCTACATTTTAAACTACATTTACCATACATTAATCAGATATCTGCGTTGAGTCATAGACGAAGTACACGTATACGTGTGTGGCGTTATACCTGGTCTGTGATACCGACCATCGTTGGATCACCGTCACACGACTCGTATACCTCGTCCGGGGTGTACGTATCTATTTACACTGCCCGACACTGGGCAGATTCGGTCCTCCCGTTTATGTGGGCATAGCGTTCGTAACGGCGAGAACATAATAGTTTTTGAATATTTATAATCAATGTTTCGTTATTGTAGTAAAACAGTTTAGTCACATATATCGAATTGATTACTGGCGCGATGGAAAAGCCAATAGAGTCTACACGTCGGAAATGGAAATCCAAAAGTGGAATGAGAAGTTCCCGGTGCACCGAGGTCTCCGACTGGCATTACGTTAATAGAAATGGATTCGATTTCAAGGTATCAGGATACCTATTAATAGTATATCTGTACAAACTAACCCTTCGAGGGTTATATCTATACGATGTACCGATCTAGGAATATTTGCCCGACGAACAATAGTTTGTAGTATATTTTTATAATATCGTCGATCAAACTTTTTTAACGTTCTTTTACCATATATTTTCCATAACTCCTCTAAGAATTAGTCAAAATTAGGCAGAAAGCTGTACCCTGTCGTTTGAGGTTAAAAGTCACTTTGTAACAGAGGGAAAATTTTTACAGGAGATTCATGAAAAATTGATCCGTTAACAGCAATTTCTACTGTTACTGCGCCATTTCTAAACGGTTTCTTTGAAAGATCAATCGCAAATTACCATCCATTATCATGATTAATGTTTTATAATATAAAAAGAAAAGTATCTTTTTTTTTTTAATATTCACCTAATTTAATTAGGTGAACCGGCGCAGATTCTTGCAAGATGACGGTTCCACTACAGCAGGGACAGATAACCGTATCGTTCCCAGGTATAGGAAGTTTCATGGATATCGAAGGAGGAACCTTATTATAATTAAAGGTATCTTCTATTGAAAGTGTTCGTGCCAGATTTTTATTTAACTCTCGCACGTTCCCATTAACCTTGTAATATTATTTGCTTTATGTTCGCATCTTGATCCTGTTAATCGTGCTGTTTGTTCGGGAGAGAGACAGACGAACGAAATGGTTCTCATTTTGCTTTTATATTTTTGATCATTTTGTTTTTTGATCTCAGTTTCTAAGATATTGGCAAAACTTCCGGTACTATTACATGGAATTCTATTTATACACGTAAGGTAGCCAAGAACGATAGTACACGGTAAATATTCCAAAATATATAACGGATAACGACACAAATTTTGGATATATAGTATGAAATAACGTTATAACACCGCACCCATCTATCACACGAGAGAAAATACTCTTTTGTCGATAGATACCGGTCGAGAACATTTAAGTTTCAATTTTATTTACCACATCGAACTAATCGTACATACGATAACTTGGATATTCCTTTGTGCACAGCGAAATGACTGTGACGCTAAATAATGTGTAACAAATATGTAGTAGTAAGCATAGTAATGAAAGCAGGGCGAGACCATCGATCACCGAAAGCGTCGTTCGAAACTACCTTTGTTCATAAAAGGCTGGTCATTCCGAGTCATGAGCCATTGATCTTGGAGCAGCCAGGGTGTAAAGTACTCGGCCAGGTACACCGAAGCAGATCAACATTCAACGTAGCTTTGCATGAGACGTTAGAGAATAGATTTTGTTGAAAGAAACGTTCGAAAATCAGTCGGTGAAGTTATCAGGGTAATTAAAAGCATTCGATCTGTTTTGCAGTGTTGAAAAAGATGTTGTTAACGCCGAGACGTTCGGGATCGATCAGTCCCGAGGAAATAGATAATGGACCCGAGACGAAGGATCTTGGTACCGCGGAGAATGGTTCGGTGACTCCAGGTGCATACGAGAACGGAGAAGGAGCGAAAGAGTTCCTTACAACCGGTAGAACCGGTAGAAGGAACGCCATGCCGAATATTTTGGGCCGTCACGCTGAAATTGGACTGTTAGATTTGTCGAATCGTTTCAAGGAACTTTCCACGCATACAGGTGACGAAAGTGCAGCCTGTAAACTATCTTTAATTCTATTACCAATTTAAATGAAATTCTCGGTAGAGGTTGTAATTCGTTAATGTCGAAATACGGAAATATAGTGACTGTTCGTAATTTCTAAAATTATTTAAAAGTTCGTAAACAATGGCATCGAATCGTAAAGTGTTTACGCGAACGTATTGATTGCAGATCGATCGAGCAGTGGTGGACAAAATCTGAACGCGCCGGGTACCTCGAAACAACAAGATTGAAATGACTCTGGGTTGCTTTACCGAATAACCCTGTTCGTGACATCGACAGCGCGTACGCGTTGTCGATGTAAAACCAACGAGTGGATATTATTAAAAGTTTCATTATAGAAATTGCCGCGATGCTATCGATCTGCCGGTTGGCATCGAACATTTGTCTACGAACGATCGCGTAGCTATATTGGCATCGGTGTACGGTCAACTTTTTCAAGTCGAATGCAGTGTGGCCAGATCGGACATAATTTAGTGAATCGATAACGAGACGAGCGACGATGAATCCACGATTAAGATTCATTCTACCGGTTTAACACGTTCGTTGCCAGCCGCATAACCTAAAATTTCTTTCAGTATCGATCTTCCGCGAGAAGAAGGCACAGAGTGTTTACATCCCCCCACTCTTGCTGCAGTCCGCTGATTGGCTGGCGTCAGCGGACTGCAACAGGAGTGGGGATGTAAACACTGTGCCCTCTTGTCAAAATTCCGAAATTCTATCCAAATTTATTTTTCTCAACACCTTAACTCGAGAATGAACTTTTCTGGTATCATATATGGGTGACGTGAAAGTGTCGAAGGTATTCGACAAACATTTTTCTTTCTCGCTTCCTCGAAGTTGCGTAAAATGGCCGAGGTCTCGCGTCGCTTTTCTCGTTTTCGATTCGCTCGATCGTGTCCGATCTGGCCACACCCGGTCGAATGCACCCGAACATCATCGCGAGCGTTATGTTTACGTGCTTGTTCGTAGGTTTGTTATCGAAAACTTACGCGAGCAATTTGTAGTTAGTGGTTCAAGGCACATAGATAGTGTGCATCGTGAAATAAGCGGTACGATGTCGTTGGATGCTGTATGGTAAACCCAGGGGATGAGGAACTTGGTATCCGGTGCTTCGCCCAACGAACCTGTTCACGCCTAAACCGGAACTCGCGAGACGTTCGTCTCCCCTGATGTATGCGGTCTAGGAACTCCCAACGATTCGTTGTTATAAATACCTCAGTGTTTGCGGGTTCTGTGTTAACATAGTAATAAAATACTCTTCGAGTTCTATGCAATAACTCTTACTCATCGAAACGATAGACTAATTCTTTGCGTGTCTCGAATCTTTCTAAGCAGTTGTAAAGAAGCACTACGCGAACAGTGAACGCCTAATATCGTTCGATAATCGTTAACTGGAGTAATTACGTATTTTCCCGTATCATAGACCAAGTTACACACCGAAACAGTTGATAACATTCCCGATGCTAACGGAACCAATACGCGTCTACGTTGGCTCAAATAAATGTCACGTTCTCTTTCTTCTGTATACAGTGTAAATGTTAACATCGTCTAATTAAGAATACGAATCTGATCGAGTTATCGATACTCTGTATAGTTTCTAAGTCGAAATTAGATAAACAGTTCTTACTTGTATTATTTTACTTACAAGACGGAGAATACAGGCTACACCTACAGATTTTTATGAGCTTTTACACGGTAAATGTATATCGAAAATTAATCAACGCGTGTCCTAACGTTTTCAACGTTACCTCGTACGTACAAATTTATTTATAATTTTTTTTTTACAGATACGGATTAAATAAAAACTGCTCTTAGGTGATTTGAATTAAAATTAAATATTCCGAGAAATAATCATTGTCGTACTTCTTATCTTTCTCGATACGTTTTTGTTCCGGAACTTATGCTTTTTAACCATTCTGACAGTAATTTCTACTATTAAAAAACTGCTCCACGTTGCTTCACTCACTAAAATACGTTCGGTATTAAAATTTGTGAAATGGATATTTATATTAATAAAAACTCACGATTATAATATCTAAAATCCTTTTTATTTCTTTTCTCCTTTACCTTTCCATTGATTCCTTGTCGTATCATAAATATAACCGATCCAAATAATACTTGTATCTAATTAATTTCTTACCAAGTCGTTAATAACCCGTATCGACCATTTTTCATGTAATTAATAAGTTATAAACGAATTAATGGAAACGATATTTATTTCAATATTGCGCAAAAATGTGCAAAGAAACGGTATCGCCATCTAATATCAGGAATTCGAACTGCTAAAATGCATATATATATACGAGCTCACGTACGTGAATGGCCTATAGTTGTGTTAAAATCTGCAAAGAAACAGTATCGCCATCTAATATCAGGGTTTCGAAGTTGAAAAATCGTGCCAGGATCACAGAATGTTAGTGGAGGTATCCGGAGTACAGCTACCCCTACCCCTCCTCCTCCTGATATACATAGCCTTGATTATTCATCAATAACTCTCTTTTGAGGAATAAAATATGAACTTTTAGAATCGAAGAATATAGTATAGACCCTTGGGAACATTCAAGGATAGTTTTCGTAACGATTCCGCCAGTAATTAAGACGTTATTAACGAATATCGGAAGTCGAAACATTTACGACTGTTCACGTAATGATATTCGTTAATAACTATTTAATAAGGCACGAGATGGTTGCAACAGGTATCCTTGAATCTTGTCAAGGGTCCATACTATATTCTCAAACTCTAAAAGTTCATAATTTATTCCCAGGAAAGGCGCAATTAGTAAATTAACGAGCAGCGGTTAATCACAAGCATAGTTCCCGTTTTCGCCACTAGTCGCCGCCACAATGCAAACGACTGTTTTCAACGAATCGAGCTCGTTAATTTACTAATTACGCCTTTCCTGGGAACAAATCACGAACTTTTAGAGTTTAAGAATACAGTAGAAACCCTTGGCAAGATTCAAGGATACTTTTTATAACCGTTCCACGAGTTATTAAATAGTTATTAACGAATATCGGAAGTCGGCGCACTGTTTCGAACCATTTAACGCGACATCTTAGGGATCTATCGCTAATAACTAATTAATTAGAGCGCGGAGCGTTGCAAAATCGGTCCTTGAATGTTGCCAGGGATGTCTGCTAGGTTCTCTAATAGCGAAAATATGCGTGTTGTTGTCGAGAAGTTGATAATTCGTCGATTAAAGCAGACAGTGACGCAACCGTAAATGTTCCGACTTCTGATATTTGTTAATAACGTCTTGATTACTGGCGGAATCGTTACGAAAACTATCCTTGAATGTTCCCAAGGGTCTATACTATATTCTTCGATTCTAAAAGTTCATATTTTATTCCTCAAAAGAGAGTTATTAATGAATAATCAAGGGTACTGCGTGTCAGGAGTAAGAGGAGTGGGGGTAGCTGTACTCCGGATACCTCCACTAACATTCTGTGATCCTGGCACGATTTTTCAACTTCGAAACCCTGATATTAGATGGCGATACTGTTTGTTTGCAGATTTTAACACAACTATAGGCCACTCACGTACGTGAGCTCGTATATATATATGCATTTTAGCAGTTCGAATTCCTGATATTAGATGGCGATACCGTTTCTTTGCACATTTTTGCGCAATATTGAAATAAATATCGCGTAATTCGTTTATAACTTATTAATTACATGAAAAATGGTCGATACGGGTTATTAACGACTTGGTAAGAAACTAATTAGATACAAGTATTATTTGAATCGGTTATATTTATGATACGATAAGGAATCAATGGAAAGGTAAAGGAGAAAAGAAATAAAAAGGATTTTAAATATTATAATCGTGAGTTTTTATTAATATAAATATCCATTTCACAAATTTTAATACCGAACGTATAAGTACAATTTTTATCTAAAATATAACGAAATAAAGGGTAATGCTGACTAAGGGAATTGTCGCTTATTAACATTTAGTCCCTAATAATTTTCATGCGATTTATTAATTACAAACAGTTGTCGAAAGTGATAATTCTCTTGGTAGATACATGAAAAGTGTCTGCGACGAAGAGTCACTATTAGCAGTGAGAATTTATTCAAACAGTGCATTATATAATAAAATACGTTAAAAGTATTTTTATTCAGTTAAAATTCATTACAATTTACAGATACATTCCCGAAGATATATCTCACGTAATTCATAATTTCGACGAATGAGCTCCCTTCCTCGGTATATTATTCGGTGGCTTTACCAGCGGATACAAAGACTGACTAATTTTGAATGCCATAATGTCATCGATCTTTTTATATTGAACTTCGTTCACTGTATCAGACGGCTGAGTATCCTCGTTCGATTCAATTACATCTTTCTTCGATGATTCTGAATCTGAATCGTCTGCTGTAGAAATTACGTGTATCGATAATTTATGTTGCGTATCCCTTTGAATTATTTTCTGAAAATTATACGTAAATTATAATTAAATGTAACGTAATCCGTATTAATGTTTAATCATACAGTTCGATATATTCTTAGCTTAATGCATATACCTTGTAAAAGTCCGATATTTGTTCCAACGTTATCGTTCGTAAATACGCGGCTTCAATGTTCGGCCGATCAAAGCTATACTGTTGCGATGAAATTTCCACCCAAAAGACGTTGCACAATTTAGTCAACGTTTTAGGTTTTTGAAGGATTTTCGTTGCCAATGACTCTTTGTGTCTGTCGAGCTCTTCTTCCGTCATATTCGTTATGTGATGCTAAAATAAATATAAATCGATGTTGCATAAGTATGATTTAAATGAAGTTTTTAATTGTTCAAGAATCAACTAATTCTCTGGCCACCACGACGCTCATTAGCAACACTCACTGCGCAATGCGCCAAATGACGATTTTGGGCATTTGCACATAATTGATGTGCGCGCGCACCGATCTTTCTGCCGGCCGGTCGAAACCTCGTGGTGGCCAAGAGCGCGGTCATTGCCCCAGTCTTGCTCCAACCGCCGACTTGTCTAGTTGTACAAGTGTTCTCTCAAATTCTCTTTGTTCTTGTTCTTCGTTATCAATCTCTTATTTTTGTTTTGTGTAAGTTTCTCACTTATCCATTCAAGGCTCAAACTCACAAACCCTTATTAATATAATTAATAAATTAATATAAATTAATATAAATAAATTATAAAATTCAACTCTGTTGGAAATGGCGATCAATAATATCGTCATTTCCTTAAAAGATCTCACAATGGCCGCTCATTGCTCATGATTCTATTGTATTTAAACGTCTTGTTAATAATTGTGAATTAAAGATCTTGTTTAACATTTCTCGCGAACCCTTCCACCTAACCGGCATTCTCAAAATTACAGTCCCACGATTTCAAACAATAATTTAAAAAATATTACTAACCAACATGGTCTCCAAAAATATATCGATTCTTTCTTCAACGTATTTAGGATGTTTGTCGCTCTGAATTAGCACTCTTAATCCTTCTGCCGCTGTCATTTTTTGAACTCCGCTGAACACGACGTATCCCAATTGTTCTTTGGTCCTTAAAGTAGAATAACATGGTTCCGAGATGATCTGTGCCACAAGTTCTATCAACATGTTCGATTGCGTGGATTGTAAACCGGTTTGATAATAGACTCCTGTACAGGAATTGTGATGTAACGTATTGTCGACTTCGAACAAAAAATGACAACCTGTAAAATAGTCGAGGAAAAAAGTGTTACTCAAAATTTCTTAACATGCTTTTTACATAGTTTTATTTTACTTACCATCCTCTAGCCTGATTTCACGATTCAAAATTAGCTGCCTCGACAAGAGCGGTATCGACTGAGGGACTGTGCTCGTTAGCTTTGTTTCTATTAACTTGGCTGTCTCAAGTGCTTCCGACATTGTCACGTTACCGTGAATTAAACATTCGATGTGCACTTTGCTTAAAAATTGCGGTATGAACTGTCGAAGCCCCTCGATCGTTAATTCTGAATAAGGTGTTAATATTGAAACGAATTGTAATAAAGATTCTTTTTCGAGTAATCTATAATACTGTTTATATATACGCACTTACGAGAAATTGCCTTTAATAGTTCGTGCTTCGTCCAAACTTGTACCGATAATAAAACAGCGAGATAATAGACTGCATGCATGTACAGTTGTTCGGCTTCAAAATTCTTCAAGCTTCTCGTATACTGAAATTTATAGAATGCAAAATGAAAATGATCTTTTTGGATGATGTATATTGCGTAGCGAAGTTTTTACAAAAATTAAATTAATACATACATTTTCTTTTAAAACCTCGAACCTTTTTGGATCGATCTCAAAATTCATCATTTTGTCCAAAATTTTATTCAGTAAAACGTATTGCTTGTTATCGTAACCACAGATTTCTATCTGAAATAATATTAACATTATAGAAAATATTATAAACAATCAAATTTATACTTACTGTTATTCCATATTTATTGCTAATAACTGCCCATGAAAGTTCAGCCAAGTCAGCGTAATATGTATACTCGTTTAGGGCATCGCGAAATAATTGTACGAACATATAACTTAAGTTATAACTGAGAGGATCCATATATGTTAGCGGGCTATGGAAAAATATATGTAAATAATTCATTTATTCTAAACTCCACGAAGCTCTATTTTACATTGTACGTTACCTGACAAAATCTATAATCATCTTAGCCTTAGGTACAAGAAATTCATCGTCTTGTTTAAACCACAATCTTAACAATGGAGTATCCTCGATAATCGTTGGGAATTTAGTTATCTAATAGATGCAATTAAAACAAAAATTTAACATTTTTCCAACACGTATGTACAAGCAATAATTTCATACGAAATAGAAAAGCTTTTACTCACATTATTTTCTGCTGATTTAATATCGAATTTTTCAGGTACAAACTCATTTTTTATTGGCAGTTTAAGTTCCGGATTGTAACCAGCGTTCATCCAACTGTTGATTACGTCTTGCGGTATTTTTTCTTTCTTGAACTTGGTACCGTACCATTTCTCTGTTTCATTGGCAATACTTTTGTACATTTTTCCACTTACATTGATCCTGATGTTCTCCGGTGTCAAATATTCCAATACCTCTTTGATTAAATCAGGTTTCCATAATGGAATAAGATATTCCCCCACCAACACTTCTTCCATTTCATAGTCTTGTAAATTTGTTACCAAATTAGTGACGTACGCAGTGGGTGAATATTTTTCTTTGAATCGAAAGTTCATGTTCGCGATGTCTCTGTATTCCTTTAATAAGAAATAATTTTTATTAATAAGTAACCCTAATTTTCCATTCTATTAATATATACAGTACTGCTAGAAGCAAGCGCCACGTGAATTTACCTGTCACGGCCAGTCACCTTTCTGCTGTTCCTCATCTCTTTGCATTCCACTCTCAAAACGAAAGAGAACAGTATAAACAGAAATGACCTTGATAAGTCGATTCCCATGGCGCTTACTTTAAATGTATAGAATGAGACCCATAAATTGGCTACCTAAATATCTTCTTCATTTTTAAAGATATAAAAAAATGTTCCCAAGTAGAAGCTGTTCGAAGCATTTTTATCATGCTTGTCGCGAACTATTAAGATCGCCAATTTTCTTTTCAACGATACTAATCGATATACATTTTTATTTAGTCTCTAACAGAAGCTTTTCAACCGATTGCAACGATTTAACGTGTGTTAAATCGGTAAATAATTTAACATACATTTCCCACAAAACCAATCAACTTTTTCTGTGTCCTATTATTTTCTAGAAATAATTCAGTTAATATTCAAACACTTGATCTTGTATGTAAAGTGCAGAGAATTCACAGTATTACCGGGACAATTCTGTATAGAAAAATAAGTCGAAAGCGCAAAATTGATTTATTTTACGGGCCGAGGCTTCGTTTTTTGAGAAAATTTCTTTTTAAAATCCATCTTATCGTGTTTGTTTCGGACTTATTTTTTTCTTTTATATAGTATTGTCCTTTTCTCGACTCTGCTGTAATTTTGTCAGCATTCGTACATCAAATATACTATTATTATTCATGTAAAATTACATTGTAGATCCATTCAACTGGTCCATGTTTCTTTAACATGTTAATATATTGGAAAATCAGTAGAATGATATCGTCTACATGCTGAATACCTTCTTCCGTCAAATCAACAATTAAATTAAAGAAACAAAAACCTCTGGCGCCTAATCGTTTGCTCGACACAAGTAAATTACACCATCCTTTCGATTTCAAAAAAGACAGCAACGATCCCTCTCCTTCGTGTCCGAGTAAATATAAAATATAATATTCAGGCTATAAAACATCAATATTTTCGTTAAATAATCGTGGTCGATGGAATAATTGATTGTAAGGTAACTATAATTATTACTGCAGCTTTGTAATGTTCTCGCAAATCGGGTAATGGAAATGTAATATTCAAATGCCTCGTGTCTTTTATTGGAACAATATACCATTTCGTTCGAAAATGCTCTTCGTTAAAGGGATGTTCTAGCCAAACGGGTAGATCGACTTCCTTATTTTTTACTTCAGAAAAGAACTCTACCGCCATTTTTTCAAGTTCATCTAGACTCTCTAAATGCACAATATAATTTTTTATATAATTCCATAAAATATCTTTGCCGCATAGACGAAACATTTTATTTACCTTTTCCATATATACATAATGACATAATGTTGGCCGAATAATACTTGTCATAAAACTCGAGTAACTTTTCTCTGGTATTTATGCCCTTCGCTTTTGGTATTACGTCTAACGTTTCCTTATTTCCATTGCCAAATTTCCTAAAAGGATGATTCGATTCCGCGGATGATTTTTCCACCTGACCTATACGCCATACGTCGCTGGTTGCATTTTTTACATGTTCCAAATGAATAGCATTTAACTCTAATTCGGTCGCACTTTCTGTGAAAAGCGGTTCGATGAAAAACTGAGCGAAACGATATAATCCATCCTTCAATTTATCAGGACGTATATGGAAGTAGTAAGTAGTATGATCCATATGCGTCGATGCGTTGGACAAACCACTGTTTTGCGATAGGAACATTTTATATTCATTTTTCTCTGGATATGCCTTTGTTCCCAAAAACAACATATGTTCGCAAAAATGTGCCAATCCGGGTAAATCATCCGGATCGTTTAAATAACCTACAAACAATATTATTAGTTTAAATACCAGGGCTTTAATTTCTACAAAATTTTACAAGGAATTTTACCAATATTCACATCCAAGGACGCGGCACTTTCATCGGTCGTCGGATTACTAATAAGTAAAACTTTCATTTTATTAGTGAGCAACAGACCTCTGTACTCTTCTTTATCATTTGGCGATTTAGTTATATCGTCGTATCGCTTTTCTACATAATCGTGTAAATGCATATTGCCTAAAAATATTTTCCTCTTCGACGATTTATATCTAAAAAGTATAACAAAAGTATAATAGAAAAATCAAATAATAAATTTTTATATTTTTAAATTAATACATTGTATTGCACAAGTAATATTAACCATGCAGATACACTAATAAAGTTTTAATTAATAACAATAACATCTGTGTATAAAATCATCTTTTAGAAGCAGTAATACCATTAGAAACAATACGCTATAGATCTATACTAATGTTAGTTGCATAAAAATGTTTAAGAAGCTTTATCTAACTCGACTAAAAAAAAATTTTTGTACGATATAACAGTTATTGAAAAGAAAATGTTATTTGAAATAAACATACGTTACGTTCGGTTACAACTTGCATAGAACAACAGTAGCGACGATGATAAGAATTTTGTATTTTACATATATTTTGAATATATTGGAATATTTTACGTATCAACGATCAAATGAATTACAGTAATATAGAGAAACTGTGAAATAATTCGCATCGCGTAACAATAATTGTAATCAATTGTTTCACAAATAGAAGCGAACGAACGAAACTTGATTTATGCAGGCCATGATCGAGTTATACGTGTACACCAATTTTCATAAAAACCGTATACGTACATACCCGTAAAATGATAAAGATTGTACAGGTGTATGAAAAATACGTGATTTAAGTACGAGTGAGAAGATCATTCTTAATTACATTTTTCTTAGATAATTCTGTAAATTACCTCAAAAAAGTTTACAAATTACTGTTTTGTTATGTTTTGAAGTACGACACAAATTGCCTGTATACCCAATTTTAATTTCTTAACGTTGCAACGCAACACGAACTATAAGTATTCTTCGACCAAACATTAAGGCATAGATGAGTAAGTGGACGAATCTAACATGAGTTAGATTTTTCTAGTCGTGAGTTAGCGAAACTACCGGCCAAACTCTTGAACTCGTAGACACGCTTTTATGTACAAAACTCATGACAAAACGCAGAATTTTCTTTCAAAATTTTTCCTTGGTATGAAAATTTTTAGGTATAGTTTTTAAAATAGATTCAGTACTAGTAAAAGTCGACCAGCTTTAAGAAAATCTTTGTTGCGTTCTGATCTCTATGACGAATGCTACGCTGTACACCAACTATGGTTACATCGTCGGCTAGGATTAACTACTATTTAATAAAAGATAATAAAAGATGTTTTCGTATAGTTTAAGGATGTCTCTTTATAATCCTAAAAGTCTAGTACAATTTTAACTCTTTACGAAAGAAAGGATTGTTACTGTTGCACGAGAATCTCCCCTTAAGTATATTTAAGCTTGCAATAGAGTGAACCAACTGTATAGACGATACCCTAGTGACCAATCGCGGCTATCAGTGCTACCACCCTGCATTGATTTTTATACGCTATACATATATACTACATAAAGTTCAATGATACTCTGTCTATAAAGACAGTACGCTATAGCATCAGTGCCGACATAACCTAATCCAATATTATTTTTCTTTATCAAGTATAAATATTTATTTTCGTACTCGTCATTGTCCGGATATTGTAAAGAATGTCAATTGAAATCGAATCTGCTGAGTAATTACCTTAAAATCTATGATTAAAATTCCATAAATTTATTCTTGATTACCCATGTCCCATTGTTTCTTTTCAGTGTCATTCGTCTGATACAACAGTATCTGAAAGAATCAAATCTCGTGAAAACGTTACAAACGTTACAGGTAATCCTTCACAACCTTTGTTAATATATTCGTTGATTTAGTAGTACTATGTAACAGTAAACCTGTTTCACGATTGAAATAAATGAACATGTTATTACGTAGGAAGAAACAGGGGTATCGTTGAATACGGTGGACAGCGTAGATGGGTTTGTAGCGGATATAAATAATGGACATTGGGATACAGTATTAAAAGCGATACAGTCGTTAAAATTGCCTGATAAAAAGCTGATCGATTTGTACGAGCAGGTTTGATGTTATATTTAAACATGTATATCTTAATAGTAATTTATGTAGGGTAGTTTATTATATGTTGAATGGTTCGTAGGTTGTTTTGGAATTAATTGAGTTAAGGGAATTAGGTGCAGCTCGATCGTTATTGCGACAAACGGATCCGATGATAATGATGAAGCAACAAGAACCTGAAAGATATATTCACTTAGGTATAGTAAATTGTAATAATAATTTTATACATTTAGTTTTATAATTAGAAATTATATCTAATGAAAATATCATTGTATTCCATTGGATTAGAAAATTTACTCGCGCGTTCGTATTTTGACCCGCGCGAAGCATATCCAGATGGAAGCACGAAAGAAAAACGAAGAGCTTATATAGCTACTGCTCTTGCCGGCGAGGTGTCGGTGGTACCTTCGAGTAGGCTACTTGCGCTATTAGGGCAAGCGTTAAAATGGCAACAACATCAAGGTTTACTTCCACCTGGCACTACGATAGATTTGTTCAGAGGAAAAGCGGCTGTGCGTGACCAAGAAGACGAGAAATATCCCACGCAACTTTCCAAACAAATTAAATTTGGACAGAAATCTCACGTAGAGTGTGCACGTTTCTCACCGGATGGCCAATATCTAGTTACCGGTTCCGTAGACGGGTTTATCGAAGTCTGGAATTTTACAACCGGTAAAATCAGAAAAGATCTAAAGTACCAAGCTCAAGATAATTTTATGATGATGGAACAAGCAGTATTATCGATGGCTTTTAGTCGTGACAGTGAAATGTTAGCGGGCGGCGGCCAGGATGGAAAAATAAAAGTATGGAGGGTACAAAGTGGACAATGCCTAAGAAGATTCGAGAAGGCGCATTCGAAAGGCGTTACGTGTCTTCAATTTAGCAGAGATAATAGCCAAATTCTATCGACGTCGTTCGATACCACCATACGGTATGTGAAAATGATAAGCACAGCAAACATTTGTACCTGCCAGTATATTATGATATATATAATGTATTTTTGACGTAGTATACACGGACTTAAATCTGGGAAAACGTTGAAAGAATTTCGAGGACACGCTTCTTTCGTGAACGAGGTAGTTTTCGCACCGGACGGACATAATATAATAAGGTATAGCCATTTTTCTCAATCTTTTAATAATTTCATGATAAAAACTATGTATTCAATCGCATTGTTTAGCGCGTCGTCGGACGGAACCGTGAAAATTTGGAGTCTAAAAACAACGGAATGCATAGGCACGTATAAATCTTTAGGGGCCGCCGATTTAACCGTAAATAGCATACACCTGTTGCCTCGTAACCCGGAACATTTCGTCGTGTGCAATCGTTCGAACACGGTGGTTATTATGAATATGCAAGGACAAATTGTAAGATCGTTTTCTAGCGGTAAACGAGAGGGTGGTGACTTTGTGTGCACGGTGGTGAGTCCGCGCGGTGAATTTATTTATTGCGTTGGCGAAGATCTCGTACTATATTGCTTCTCTACGTCATCTGGCAAACTCGAAAGAACCCTAAACGTAAGTATAAACTGATTTACAATAGTTGTTGCAAACTGTTATTTGATCCTTTCAGAAATTTTATACCGTTCTGATGTTTTGTACCATTTTTTCTATTTCAGATACACGAAAAAGATGTAATAGGTTTGACGCATCATCCTCACCAGAACCTTTTGTGCTCTTATAGCGAGGATGGTCTTTTAAAATTGTGGAAACCATAAAACCGTCGAGGAATATATAAAAATTTGAAATGATTTGCCGAACATGTAAATAATGTTTATTTTTTAATACAATTCTTGTATGGTCTGTGTTTAATCGTTTCCGATCGTAAATGATATTTTTTCCATAATCCGATAGCAATAATTTCATCGTGTAAAACTTTTGTTACGACGTAATAAAACCGTATTATGCGCAACGATCTACTTCCTTTTCCCCAGAATTTTCTTATTATATTGTATATTGATGATCATGCTTTAACAATTTTATACAGGTACCAGATTGGTCAAATTTTATTCACGCTTAATGAATAAAATTCTTATAAATGAATGAGAGGTACAGATAATAAAAAAAAGGTACAGCCATTTAAAACCAATATGTCTTCCGTCTAAACTATTTCTAAACAACAGGTTCGCAAAGATCAACCCAAAGCATGGCCGCCACGGTCTTAATTGGTTAGATTTTAATCGTTAAAATATCGGATATATTGTGTATTCGATGTTAACAAATGATGAGATAGAGACTGTTCGAGGAAAACGTACTGTTCAATCAGTACAAAAATCGATGATGTAGATTACGCGACAGACATTTTGAATGTCGTTTAGACATCGTCAACTCGAAAAGTAAAATATGAAATATGAAGTATGGAGTTGAAATATCTCTCTCGTCGCGTATTAGAAAAAATTCATGGGTGTGCACGAACGTTGTGGTAATTGGGTTTGAGTAAATAAGCAATTATTATATTTTGCTTTGGCAAATATTATAATAATGGGCTAAAGGGGTTAACACGGGTTATCTCGAATACGATCATCGGGCCCAGGCGTTATAGAGAGCGGCAAAACCGGCACCAGATTGCTTGCCCATTTTTCTTTCTTTTTTAGCGTAGCTGTTTGGGCAAAAAAGGAGACCGCGACAATATCTTTACACATCTACATAATGAATCCGTTTACGGCGTAGCATATATGTGTATAGACTTTTGAAAGAATCATTTTTTAGGTAACATTGAAGAAAATTTAAACGCAATAGAAAATACCGGAATCCAAATGGCCCGAAGTCTTAAAATTTCTTACTTGCTATTATTTAACTTGTTTGGATTAATTATCAAATTTCCTTTTGCTACGTTCAAGTAAAAACGCATTACAAATTGAACACTACAGTGATTTGTTATGCGAATGCGCCTATATATACGTATATGTATACAAAAATGATGCAAATGAGGTTAAGAAACTTGCTACGAAAATTCAATCGATAAATTATTTTTGTTCAAATAATTTGACAATTGGTTGTATGTTTCGAATGTTTATTAGTTGTATATATAATGTTGCTACAGTGATTTAAATTATTATCAGTTACTAAATTGTATACATACTTACGTACGATAGGTGATGTAATGATAACGCTGTCGGTAGAATTCTATTTTTCTGTGTGTTTAATACCGGAAATAAGTACATTTACCTAATATGTATTTTCAAACAAATGGACCGGAAGACCTATGGCTAATGTGATTTTAATTTCGTTCGATCTTAGCTTCTGTCGGCTTTTGGTTCATCTACGAGGATCAATTATCGGTCCATTTGTCGCTTTCTCTTCTTTATAACCTTAGCTTGTTCCAACCGAAACAGGAATCGCTTATTTTATTATATTCTACGTCAAATCGATCGTTCTTTGCATTCGATGTTACCGATACCGACAAAAAAATTATTGTTCCGTCGATTAAAATATTGTTCGAGGAATGTACGACTTTAAAGTTTAGTATTCTAACCTATTTTCGCAAAACTTGTCCACCATAAGGCTTATTTTCGAAATTATCAACGGTATCAGGTTGATCTTCTTTTCTTTTTATCGAGAAGGATCAATTTTCTGATTTAGTATCAAATGCAATGAAAGTTAGTGCGAATAAATGAGATGAAAAGAATATGATTAAATAAACGCCTGTGGTTCAGCTAACGTGCACTCTGTAATCGACTTATTGATCAATGATACGACAAATTGGAAATCTATAATCTGCATAACACAACAACAACAACAATAATAATAATAATAATATTTCTTTGTAGACTAATGGAAAAAATAAGAATACAAAATGACGATATAGACAAAATTGTACAGGGTGTTCCAGTTATTTTTCGTAAAACTTTGCCAACATATTCCGCGAGCAAAATTAAGAAAATACCATTACAAACGATAGGAAAGTTTTCTTTCAGTGATATTTAAAGTAAGTAGTTTTGAAACCTGTTGCGAGGTAGGAACTTCGTATGAATGCTTTTCGTACGAAGCTGGAAGGACATACGCACGGGTAAGTTTGCTTCCTTTTCGCGATATTATACGAGTTCTTTCAAGCCTTATTAAATACAAAAGCAGTCAAATATTCCCGTCGCATTCGTAATTTAGCGATTGCTGTAGCGCGAAAGAAGAATCAACCGAACAAACAAGGAAATTTAAAAAGAGATAAGAATTCGTCAGATAATAAAATATACAGTAGCCTGAATATTTAATATTCAAAAATTTAATATTCAAAAATTTTTATTTTCAGACCTACAAGGAAGGAAAGTATCGTTCTAGAACCACATGGAACACATATTTTAAATATGTTTCGAGGCTCGTCGAAACGAACGTGTCTCGATCATGTTTTTATACAACATAATACTCTCGATATTAATTGTAACACCATGGCGACCAAAATGTGACCTCGAGAAGAAAATTTTACTTCGACAAGCTTCTTCGTGTCGTCGATCCTTAATATAAAAAAATCCTTGTTTCGTGAAATGTTAATTCAATAGACGGATTATTAAAATTGTTAAAATCAACTGAAATAAATGTTAGTCGATGCGTGTTACACATACATTATATGTACGTACGGCATAATTAAAAATTATCAGGCGAGAAGGATCGTGCGATGGAGGAAGAGTTCCGTGATTATTCACAAAGAAAGGAATAAATGAAAAAACTAAAGTGTATCGTGCGACACGCGTCCACGAAAAAAAATAAGAAAGTTGTTAGCAGCGGGAACCGTTGTTTTTGTATTTTCGGAGGATTTCCAATTTCGCGATCATAATTTGTTAATAATTGGGCATTGTTTGTGTCTAGGGTGGAAGAGATTCCTCTCGCTGGCCAACTGGTCCCAGGTGTATACATGGGGAACGTGGCGGACGCGTGCTTCTCCCCACTTCAGACACTGCTAGCAGCCGAATACACGTTGGTCTTACTCATTTTTTCCTTCTACAATGATTTCCTGTTTCACCGCGTGCAGGTATACACACAGAGGCGGTGGATCGTCACGGCGATGGTTCCCGCGCGTATTAACAACGTTATGTTAATCTGTTTCAAAAACACCTTGTATTCGTAAACTTCGTTTCTCGCGCGGAAACAACGATCGTACTATAATGATCGAGCTATAATGTAAATGTAACGAGAATAAATAGGTTACGATCGGGCGGAAAGAAATGCATCAAAGCAGTCTTGCATTAAAAGATTTGCATTTCGGAAAGCCGGTAATTATTCGTAACGGAATAATGCAATTATCAAATTGACCCTCGCACCCTCACATAATCACCCGGACTTGACGATTTAAGTGGATAATCATTGGGAATTGGCAAACTGTTCACCGAACGTTGAAATTTAGCGAGCATCAGAATGTGGGGCGCCAGGTCGTCAATTTGCACCGTGTAATTTGTGTTTCGCGTACGCATGCACCTAGCGTATTAACCGTGCACTTTAACGGTCCGTTTTCGAATTGTTTCTCGAACCTTTCGCGACAAACTATCGTTTCGTTCGTGTCTCGATTCAATCAAGCCACTAACAACTCGTTGTCATACACCAAAATCATACATATTCCTATAATTTAAAAACAAAACTACGTTAGACGTAATCCGAAGACGCGAATACTTTATCAGGAATAATAAATAATTTATTATTTTGGATGCCAGTTTTAGTTTAATAAATTGATAAAAAATCTATGGGGAATTACTGGAATAATAAATAATTTATTATTTTAGAAGCCAGTTTTAGTCTAATAAATTGATAAAAGATCTATGGGGAATTACTGGAATAATAAATAATTTATTATTTTAGAAGCCAGTTTTAGTCTAATGAATTAATAAAAGATCTATGGGGAATTACTGGAATAATAAATAATTTATTATTTTGGAAGCCAGTTTTAGTTTAATAAATTAGTAAAAGATCTATGGGGAATTACTGGAATAATAAATAATTTATTATTTTGGAAGCCAGTTTTAGTCTAATAAATTAATGAAAGATTTATGGGGAATTACTGGAATAATAAATAATTTATTATTTTGGAAGCCAGTTTTAGTCTAATAAATTAATGAAAGATCTATGGGGAATTACTGGAATAATAAATAATTTATTACTTTGGAAGCCAGTTTTAGTCTAATAAATTAATGAAAGATCTATGGGGAATTACTGGAATAATAAATAATTTATTACTTTGGAAGCCAGTTTTAGTCTAATAAATTAATGAAAGATCTATGGGGAATTACTGGTTTTTGATAATGTCGCTGCTGAAAACGTTGTTTTATCATTTATTTTGAACTGGAGGTTCCCAAAGATCTTTTCGATCACGGTGGGTGTTTTTAAAAATGAAACTTTGCTCCCGATCGTCGAGCCACTCGATCACACAGGAGGGTGCCACATTGTTAAGCCATAACCACCACTCTCTCTTTTTCTTTGCTCCGTTCACCATCACCACCACGTTGCAATCTTTTTCCTCTAGTTCCGTTGTTTTACGAGGACTCTTTAGATCGGCCGTGGGTTCATTATATCGTCCGCGGCAGCGTTCAATACACGAATTGTATTCGAAAAGAGAGCGATTGTTTTGCTTTTCTTTGCCTTTATTCTTTCCGTTGTCTTTTAATTTACTACCCGGTCATGCATCGATCCTACATTGCTCAACAATGGTTTCCATTCTTCGAGATCGAGAGGGGATTCTCGCGTAACAGCGTCAAAAATTAATGTTTCCCTTTTAATTCGTTTTCGTGAAGAATTCAAACAGGTACAAAAATGTTTCCCTCGAAATGCCACAACTTGTTAAATTTTCCATATTTTTTTCTTTAAAACAGATTCAGTACTCTATTGTCTTCCCTTTGCTCGACACGTTTAGAATTTATTTTG